TTTTAATCTTCAAATAATTTTTTCTCTCAATCCGGAAAGACTTACATCAAATATCTTATATCATTTTGATAGTATTCGATAAGATCTATCCAACAAGATCTATCATGAATATGTTTTTCGAAACTTAAAAAAATTTATGCAGTAGCCTTGGTCTTACTAAAAGATTTTATAATCTTACTTGTGTCTTTTAGGACCAAGACGCCTACAGAAAAAACCAAAGGCCAAAGCCCAAAAATCAAAAATTAAATACCAAAGAGCAAAGACCAAAGACCAGAGTAAAGAGCGAGCGTGTGTGAGGAACAACGACAAAAGACCAAAGACCAAAGACCAAGAAATCGAAGACCAAAGAGCAAAAACTGAAAACCAAAGACCAGAGTTAAAGTGCGAGCGTTGTGTGAGGAGCAAAGACCAAATACCAAAAACCAAAGAGCAGATACCAAAAACCAAAGACCGAAGGCCAACGACCAAAGACCAGACCAAAAACTAAAGACCGAAGACCAATGACCAAAGACCAAAAACCGAAAGCCAAAGACCAAAAACCAAAGGCCAAAGACCAAAAATTAAAAACCAAAAAGCAAAGACCAAATACCAAAATTAAAAGCGAGCTTGTGTGAGGAGTAAAGACCAAAGACCAAAGATAAAAAATCGAAAAAATATCAGTGTGTTTAGGATTTAAGGGGGTTTAAGCATTTCCTTATCAGTTAAGGTCTAGTTGTTTAGGGTTTAGGATTTAGGGGGTTTAAGCATTTCCTTATCGGTTAGGGCCTAGTTTGTGCCGTAAGACCCAAGTCTAATTAGTTTTAAAAAATTTAAACAAAAATAAATTAGCGTTAGGATTTAGGGGGATTTAACCATTTCCGTGTTGGTTAGGGTCTAGTTGTTTAGGTTTTAAGGTTTAGGAGATTTAAGCATTTTCATGTTGGCTAGGGTCTAGTTTGTGTCGTAACACGATTAACCTTGTAAATTTTTTTAAACCAATTAGGCTAGACCCATAGCCTAATTGGTTAAATTAGTGTGTTTAGGGCTTAAGGGGATTTAATCATTTCCGTGTCGGTTAGGGTCTAGTTGTTTAGGGTTTAGGGGATTTAAGCATTTCCGTGTCGGTTAGGGCCTAGTTTGTGCCGTAACACCATTAACCTTATAAATTTTTTTAAACCAAAAAGAAAATTACTGCGTTTAGGGTTTAGGGGGGTTTAACCATTTCCGTGTCGGTTAGGGTCTAGTTATTTAGAGTTTAGAGTTTAGGGGGGTTTAAGCATTTCCGTATCGGTTAGGGTCTAGTTGTTTAGGGTTTAGGGTGTAGGGGATTTAAACATTTCCGTGTCGGTGAGGCTCTAATTTGTGCCGTAACACGATTAATCTTATGAAATTTTTTTAAATTAATTAGACTTTGGTTTAAAAAAATTTAATTAAAAAAATAAAAAAAATATTAGTGTGTTTAGGGTTTAGTGGGTTTAATCATTTCCGTATCATTTAGGGTCTAGTTGTTTAGGATTTAGGATTTAGGGGGTTTAAGTATTTCCGTACTGGTTAGGGCCTAGTTTGGTCTTTTGGCCATTGCTTTTTGGTCTTTGCTCTTCATACACACTCGCTATTCATTCTGGTTTTTGGTCTTTGATCTTTAGTTTTTGGTTTTTGGTTTTTGGTCTTTAGCCTTTTGTCTTTGGTCTTTGTTTTTCATATACACTCGCCCTTCACTCTGGTCTTTGGTCTTTGGTCTTTGGTCCTCACACACGCTCACTCTTCACTTTAATCTTTGGTCTTTGGTTTTTTGTCTTTACTCTTTGGTTTTTGGCTTTTGGTCTTTGGCCTTTGGTCTTTGGTATTTGTTCAAGGTCTTGGTCCTAAAAGACACAAATAAGACCATAGCCTCTTTTAGGATGGCCAAGCCAACTGCATAAATTTTTTAAAGTTTCGAAAAACATATCCATGATGGATCTTGTTAGATAGATCAAATTGAGTACTATCAAAATAATGTAAGACACTTTGGTCTAGTTTATTACGAATTAAGAAATAAAATCATTTGAAAATAAAAAAAATTTTAAAACTCCTTTCCTAAAATTAAGGGGAAGGGACATAGATGAAGAAAAGAAAGGTATGTTAAATAAATTACATATGAAGCCCCTCCATTATTAAATAATTAAAATAGGATCTAAGTGCACTTAATGTGTATAGTATAACAACTCCTGGTGGACTAAGCATTGTAATAACGACTGTTAATTTGGTGTCTCTTCATACCCAAAATTATTGTCTTATTTTGTAACCGGAGGGTGTTAAAAGCATGATAATAATATTCTATTTTGAAATGGAGGGAAGTTAATTTTTTATTTTTATTTTTTTTGTTTAGTACAAGAAGAAAGGCTTAAAGTCCTAAAAGTACACAAGCTTGTTGAGTATCCCACATTGGTGGTGGGTGAGACTTGATATCAATATCCCACCTCCAATGTGGGATACTCAACACTCCCCCGCAAGCCCAACATCTCTTCTTTGGGTTGGGCTTGTCAGTCCAGTCACCGCCTCACGTCTCAGCTCTACCAGTTTTATCACATCAGACTTTGGAATTTGACTTTTGGCGGGCTGGCTCTGATACCATATAGAAGCCCATAGGGTTCCAGCTCAAAACCAATTGGCAATGAGGGGAGTAGCCCATATACTTATATATTGATATCAACTCTCTCCCACCACCGATGTGGGATACGCAACACTCCCCCGCAAGCCCAATGTCTCTTCTTGAGTTGGGTTTGTTAGCCCAGTCACCGCCTCACGTCTCAGCTTTACCAATTCTATCACATCAGGCTTGGAGTCCGACTCTTAACGGGCTGGCTCTGATACCAACTTAGAGAATGGGATTGGCTCTAATTGAGCAAATATTACTAACACTATTACATGACTTATATAGAGAGAGTAACCTACGGCTAATTATACTACTACATGGGATAATAACAATTACAAAATAAAGACTAACTACACGTACAATATCACCACTAAGTAAGAGATAATTATTACATGGGATAATTATCATTCACAAAGCTAATCTCAATTAGTGGTTGAAGTCAAAAGTCTATAAACATTGTATACAATGGTAGTTAGAATAATCTGAAAGTTCTAAACAGTATTATCACACACACACACATTATTTCTTCACCTAGTTGCCTATTAGATGGAGCTAGCTAGGAAAATTTAGTTTGCAGGTGAAAGAAATGAAGAGGATCGATAACGAGAAATGCTCAGCAATTTCGCAGCGATAATCTTACAATTCCAGAAGATCCAATGTATTTTTTTCATGCCGGTTAATTTCGTTCAAGGATTTTCACTTGTCACTTTATAATTCCCGATTACGAGTTCCCTTATTTTGTCAAAATTTTTTTTGCAAGGTATTGACTAAGTTTATTAGGAAATGCAGAACTCAGAGCAGACGATTCACGACCCTGCTGGTTTCCCTAATTGGCTTGAAGACCGATGAATAATGATTGATAAAAATTAATCACAGGTCTAATAATATTATTCGGCGTGGAACTTTATTTTGATGGTGTTAGCCTTGGATTTCATGTTCTCTCTGCAAAACCACAATTAACTATACTACTTTTTATATTTACATCAATCAATTTTTTTCATCGTAGCATTGGGTTATGTACTTCAATTATTTAGAAAGACTATGTCGGTTTTGACTTTACACGTACACATTAAAAATTAAAAATTATAAGTAGTGCCTTTTTTTATCTGCTTCGCAAAACCGATGAGGAAGTTGGCAGATGACAAAATATATTGCCCTCCATAATTTTCAATTTTTGTTGCTGATTTTTATTTTTATTTTTTTACTATTCAGAATAACTAACTAATATATGGAGTCATTGTAAAAATTACAAAATACCCACTCTTTGTAGAAATATAATCATTTGGTCATTTTGTTCGTCTAAAGGTAATGAGAAATATATAACAAAATTCGAAGTCTATTTTTTTATATATCATTTCCATAATTTTTTGATAGCATGATTGTTTGGTAATGGAATAATATATCCACATCACTGTGACACTCACAACCCCTTTTTAGTAATTATTCATGTCGGTTTGGTTGTCTACTTAAAAGAGTCGACAAGTGCCAGGATACATTGCTTTCTATCGTTTTCAATTTTGGTTGATGGTTTTATAATTATTTTAAGTAATTAATGCGCTTGAGTCGTGTCCATGACTTTCGATCTTGAAGTTTTTGTACTCGGCTATCTATGCGTGCTATTTTGCAGGTAAGCTTCATACGCGTTTCTATTTCGCGCATGTAATTGATGGCGGTGATTTAAGATGCAAGGCAAAGGCAAAGAAGAAGCTTGAAGATGAAGATAAAAGAAATTAAGGTGAAATCAAAATGTATTATAATAAGAACGGATAAAGTATTATTTATGATTTTGCCGTATTTATGTTTAATTTGTTCTATAGTGATTGGGGAAAAACAGTACAGATGATCATGAGAAATAAATACTATGAAACAAATGTTTTATTAGAAGAAACTAAGAAATAGTAGTACATAGATCATGATCTTGTTTGCCATCCTTATTTCACACACAAATACACACACTCAAAGGGAAGGCCTCACATTTTGTCTTTATTTATTTATACTTAATACACACTGGTAATTATATATGTTGTTGATGAGAAATGGAATCCATTAGCATATATTTCATCATCATCATTTGCTCAGTTCTTCTTCTCATCATCATCATCATCTTTTTCAAGCAGGTACTTGAACCATCCAGCAGACAACTTAGGGTACCTCTTCAGATCATTGTTGAAGTCTATGAAATTGGTCCCAAAGCGACAGTTGAACCCAGAACTCCATTCCAGGTTATCCATCAAAGTCCATGCATGATACCCTTTGACTCTCACTTGCTTCTCCCTGCAAGAGAATTAAAGGGTGTGTGAATTTATTATTATAATTTCATTTTGTGCTAAAACTTACAAACAATAAGCTAGGGTTCATCCAAGGACAAATAAATGAATTTCCTTACTTGAGTGCTGTCTTGATGGCAGAAAGATGTTTGTAGTGGTATTCAATCCGTTTATAGTCATAGAATGATTGCCACAGTGATAACTTGTCATCCCTCAACTCGTCGCGCCCTGCCAAAATTGACAAAAAATTTACAATCTCAAAAATAACCGTCTCAAAAGTAGAATTGTTTTGGTTAAGCTAAAATAATATCACAAACCAATGGATTCTTATATTAAATTATAGAGTCTAACCGTTCTCAGTAATGTAAATGTTGGGATTCAAGTATTTCTTTTGAATGTAATATAAGAGTTCCAGAAGTCCTTTTGGATACACATACAGCCAATCGGAACCAGCCTACACATATATGATCAACAATATAATACAGTAAATTTGAGTAAAAAAGTTATAGAAAAATCTTGGGGAAATTAAAACAGTCTTTACTCTTTACCTTTTCACCAATTGGCTTTCCTTCTGGATCGAAAGCTATCTCATACAAGAAAAGAAACTAGATTATTAGGAATGGATGTTGAGATTAGAAAGCCAATTAATTTAATTAAACATTGTTAACTTGGGGGAGACTTACGAGTGCATCGGCCACCAGAGTCAACGGTGTAAAAACCCTTGCGTTCATCTGATTCATCATTGTAAACATAGTTAGATGTATAATAATTCAACCCCAAGAAATCATACGACCCTTTCAAATCCCTTTGCTCATCATCTGAGAATGGAGGAAGTGGACGCCCCTTAGCTTTGAGACGATCAATCATCACAGTTGGATATTGACCATAAGTCACAGGATTCAGAAACCTAAACATAAACCAAACAAAACAATATGAGAGCTAGTGCTACTAGTACTACTAGCTAATTATATGACGCAAATAAGTCATATTAACCGAACCACATGAATTTTGTATATATTATATATATTCCCTTCATCCCGAAATTATTGTCCAATTAAGATTTTTATTTTTCGCATAAATTGAACTAGAAGGGAAAATCTACTCTAGACATTTGGTTGGGGACGGATGGAGTATAACTTTATCCAGTTTAACGATCACTCAACAAAATTGTCATACTTACCATCCATACATGAACTCAAGCACTCGTTCAGCAGCATCTTGATCGTCCGTGGACGTTGGATGATATGGCTCAGCCCAAATCGATTCACATGCAATTCCAATCTCACCCTTTTGCTTTTCCTGACATTAATTAATCATAAATTGTATGGATCATAATCCCAAAAAGTGGGGAAAAAAAGGACTAAATATGTATGTGAAAAATGCATGTGCACAGGTTTATTAAGTAATTAACGAACCTGGAAGTGTGTCCTGTATAATTTGACAGCAGCAGCATGAGCAAGAAGTATGTTATGGGCTACTAAGTAAGGTTCCGTCTTCGGGTCACCTTCAACCGGAGTTGAAGGTATCTTGGCTGCAATTTCGGCCGAGGTCACACGACTCGAAGGGAGATAGGCTGCTATTTCCCTCATCAAGTCGCGTGAACCTCCACGGCCGGGCGCGTGTTGGCCCGTCGCGTATCCACCGATACAAAAGTTCCATGGCTCGTTGAACGTTAACCATCTCTTCACATGATCTCCAAAATACTCAAAGCATAGCTTTGCATAGTCACAATAGTCCCGTCTGGAAAATCAAATTAATTGATTTTGTATCGTTAATTCTTTTTTTTTTTTTGTTAATATTGTCAAAAGATACGAAAATAATAATGCTTTCTTACACAATCTTCTTGGGTTCGCTCCTGTCTAAAAATCCAAGGTATTCGTCCTCCAAGGCCTCAGGAAGATCCCAGTGGAAAATAGTCACCATAGGTTCGATGCCTGCCAACCCAAATTAATATTATGATCTCACATCAAATTTCGGATTTAAAAGAAACAAACATTTGTAACAAAATTGATAAATAATATTATAACCATTTGCTTTGAGTTCGCGAATGAGTCGCTGGTAGAATTGTATTCCCTTGTAGTTCACACCTTCTTCTTTCCCTGTCAACGGATTTATGACCCTTCTACCAGCTGGAAATTCACAAGTATATATATCCATTAAACATGATCAAGCTTAATAGCAGACCGGTACGTAATTATTACGCTTTATATAATTATAATAATGATAAAAAGGGTTCATTCTTACTGGGTAACACTCTGGACCAGGAGATAGAGAACCTATAGGAATCAATGCCCATTTCCTTCATGATGCGGATATCCTCCTGAAAATTTCATCTTGTTTTGCTAAAAATATATACTACAACGACTTGTAGAAATAGAATTTCATGTGTCTAACAAGCAAAGAGTTTTATTTGTCGAACTATTATAATAGTATTCTAAAGTCAAATTGATATTGTTTTGTACCTCATATCGATGGTAATGGTCAATGGCATTCAATCCACCATCTTTCAGCACATCTGTAAATTCACGAGTTAAAAAAAATGTGTTTTAATGATGATATGTGTAGAAGTTGTAAGTACTTTTCTCATAATAATAATCATGTACGTGAATCATACAATGGCACGACTATTAGTATGGCATAATGGAACTTGAGGATACAATTAAATTGAGAGGGACGAACCAGGATGGTATTTTGCGAGGAAAGTGTCCCAGATGTTTGGTCCTCTCTCGTCAGCTCCACCTTCATACTGGTAGAGTGATCAAGAAAAGACAGAAAAATTTGCTTGAAAACCATTTAGTAGTACTTCAAAAATTAATATAGAGAACATGTCGCTTAATTTTGACCAAAGTCGTACTAAGAATAAATAGTACTCTCTCTATCCCAAATTAGACAATAATTTTGGGACGGAGGGAATATATATTTTCTTTCGTCCCAAAGTAAGAGTGAACTTGGAAGGATTGCTATATTGCATTACCTGGTAAGCAGAAGCAGCAAAGCCGAAAACGAAATCATCAGGGAAATCACTGCGTTTCAGACCTCCATCTGATGGGGAAATTGGAGATGGACTCGCCATATTGTTTCTCTTCTTGCCCTTAAGTTTGACTTAAAAGAGTTTACTGGAAATGGACTCTTTGATGTTTGCTTGCACAACCTTTGGGGCTATTTATAATGACCCTTCGCCAGCTACTTCTTCACTTCGTATCAATGTTTAATGATCATTGTTTCTTTTCAACAGTAAAAGGAAACTTGCTTTAGCATTAATTAAGATTGAAGACAAGTATTTAATTCTTTGTTCGATTTTAGCTTTACCTTTCTCTCTCTCTCTCTCTCTCTCTCTCTCTCTCTCTCTCTCTCTCTCTTTTTGGAATCTCTAGCTAATCTGATTTATGCGCTCATTAAAGGATTAAAGCATGAAGTCCTTTAATTTATACTTCATCTGAATCAGTTAAGAAAAGAATATTTTATGCCCCTTCTTCTCAGATAATTATGGCATTTAATTTTATATATCTTCTTCGTGGATAAATTTCGTGCTTATGTTTATATATTCTAAACGTTACTTCGTTCTGCTGTGATTGACATATACGGTTACTTTGTAGGATCTCTAAGGTACTTAATATGAACACCAAGAACAAATTTAAGGGCATATATATTTAATTACAGTGTTAATAATGTATTTTGCAGCTGTCTTACTTAATTTCACACACAAAATTGGTTGAATAATGCTTCATAAATTTTTAGGTATAGCTCTCAACAAAAACCTGTCTTTTTAAAACAATTTTTGGTTGTTAAAGAAACTTCTTGCGGCCTGTCCTTCTCCTAAGTCAATATATTATATGTGCATCTATACATCTCATTGGGAAAAAAGAAGTAAAAAAGAAGAAGAAGAAAAAAAAAAGAAGCTTCATGAATTGACTTTAATTTGTCAACGTTCAAGTGTTCATTTAGCGCTAATCCCAATTAGTGGTTGAAGTCAAATGTCTATAAACATTGTACTATATATTGGTAGTTAGAATAATCTGTAACTTCTGAACAGAATTATATCATAGTATAGTGTTTTTATTTCAAAGCAAGAACCCTTGTAATTGTAATAGATTGTAAAAGTCGATGATTACATATAATAAGCTTATTAATTCAAAATTAATTCAAGGGATGCAATATTTCGGCAAACACCAAAATGATAAAAAGAGAATTAATCATTTCAAAGACCCAGGAGAGAAGGCCTCATCAATGATTTTTATTTATTTAATACACACTGATTTATTATGGAAATTAATATAAATAGTCCAACATCGATCCATCATCAGAAATTTTTTTTTGAATCTCATCTTTTTTGAAGCATGTGCTTGAACCATCCAGCAGACAACTTGGGATACCTCTTCAGATTATCATTGAAATCTATGAAATTGGTCCCAAAACGACAGTTGAAACCAGAACTCCACTCCAAGTTATCCATCAATGTCCAAGCATGATACCCTTTGACTCTCACCTTGGATTCACTGCAACCAAAATAAGAAGGAAAAAAAAGAAAATTAAAGAAAATTTTAAAGAATGCATATCCTCTACATTCTGTAAAAACTTAAAACTCTCTTACTCCATTGATTTCTTGATGGCAAGAAGGTGTTGATGGTGGTATTCTATCCTTTTGTAGTCATAGAATGATTCCCATAACGATAAATTGTCGTCCCTCAACTCATCACGTCCTGTGAAATTAATTTCACATTCATCAGTTACTATTTTCTTTTCTTTTTTGGTACGGAAAGAATATATATTAGCATAAACGGAGACTAAATATTTTTTTTTTTTTTTTGATAAAAGAGACTAAATGTTGGTACCAGTGCTTACCATTCTCTGTGATATAAATTACTGGATCTCCATACTTGTCCTTAATATGAACCAACAATTTTCGAATACCTTTGGGATACACATACAGCCACCTAGAACCAGCCTACATAGTAAAAATTACATCACCATATTTAGGATTTTTTTTACCCAAGAAAATAAGCAAGCATAGAGCCATTTTTTTCCCTCTTTTTTTTTTTTTCGAGGTTTTTGTTTTTGAACTAAGAACATAAAGTTAGATCTATCCCGATAAAATCATTTATAGGATTCTAATAATGATTTTACCAACTTAATTAATCTAGTGAAAAATGTGAATAGGAATGATCACCTGTTCACCAATTGGCACTCCATCTCGAAAAGCTATCTCATCACACAAAAAAGATATAAGTTATAGCTACAGTAGTGAGTAATTTACAATATCGCATTTGAGATCCCATGAAAAATAAGAGAGAGAAATTGTTAAGACAAATTAAAACTGGATTTTTTGAGAGAAAATATATAGTACTGTCTCATAATAATAGTTCAATTTCAAAGACTTACGGGTGCATTTGCCTCCGGAGTCAGCAGTGTAGAAACTATTTTTAAGACCAACTGCTTCATCATCATACACATAATTAGAAGTATAATAATTCAACCCCAAGAAATCATACGACCCTTTCAAATCTCTTTGCTCGTCGTCTGAGAATGGAGGAAGTGGACGCCCTAGATGGCTGAGACGATCCAACATCACCGTTGGATATTGACCATAGGTTATAGGATTCAGAAACCTGGATTAAAAAAAAAAAAAAAATCTCACAGTGATTACTATATGAGTATATTCTAGGAAGACTTTAGTACTTTACGTGATTTACTTTGAACTGGTTATCATTGTCTAAAAAGAAAAAACTGAAGGGAAAAAAAAAAAAAAAAAACTAACTCACCATCCAAACATGAAATCAAGCACTCGATCAGCAGCTGCTTGATCCTTGGCTGTATCAGATAATGGTTCTGTCCATATCGACTCGCATGAAATTCCAATCTCACCTTTTTGCTCTTTCTGCAACCATGTAACATAATCCAATAACTATCAAGGAGTAAGATTTGATGGGAATCGTTCAAGCAATTTATAAGTTCACATTATTTCCGTTCTATAAAAACAGTTCACATTGTAAAGTTTAATTGGTACTATTAATTTACAATAAAAACTTTTTTTTTTTTTGGGAACAGAAAAAATTAAGTTAGCGTATATTGTATATATACCTGGAATTGTGTTCGGTATAGTTTAACAACTGCAGCATGAGCTAGGAGTATATTATGTGCCACTATATAGGGCTCCGTCTTTGGGTCACCTTTAACTTGAGTAGCTGGTACCACCGTGCCGGAGTCTAACATCGCCGAGGTGACACGTGTCGGAGGGAGAGCGGCCGCCATTGCCCTCCTCAAAGTTGGGGTGTCTCCTCCCCGGCCGGGCGCGTGTAGCGCGGTAGCATAGCCACCAATTGCAAAGTTCCATGGCTCATTGAATGTTAACCATCTTTTCACATCCTTCCCGAAATGTTCAAAGCAAAGCTTGGCATAATCGCAATAGTCTTGTCTGCGATATCAAATTAGTACTCTCACTTGTATTAATAACACTAGATGATTTCAAGTATTATTCGTATTTATACTAAAAAGAAAAGGAGTAAATCCCAATAACAAAACGCCAGCAAAGTAATAATATTCCTTACACAATTTTCTTTGGTTCCCTCTTGTCTAAAAACCCTCCATACTCATCTTCCAAGGCTTGAGGAAGATCCCAGTGAAATAGAGTCACCATTGGTTCAATGCCTGAAAGTACTTGTATATTATTAGTACATTTAAGTCTCTGCAGATGAAATTTATAGATACCACAAATCCTATTAATTTTGGCATAAAAAGAAGTATAGAACACACAATGTATAAGGCACGTGACACAAAAAGTATTCTATCTATCACAGAAAAATTATATTTCGTTAGAGTACGATGGATAAACGTACCATTTGCTTTGAGATCACTAATGACTTGCTTGTAGAACTCTATTCCCTTGTAATTCACGCCGTCCCATTCTTTATATTTGTCTACCTCTATTCCAACTTTTTTCCTTCCATCTACAAATTAATATATTGCGAAAATCTCCATCAAATAGCGATAGGCATGACATGCTTAATTTTGTACATACTGTATAAGGCTATCAAAAGGTAAATTAATTGAAGCGTTCTTACTAGGTAGTATTCTGGACCAGGATATTGAAAACCGATAGGAATCTATGCCCATTTCCTTCATGATGCGAATATCTTCCTGTAAAAAAAAAAAAAAAAGTACTACTATATTGTTTGCCCATATCCATGTAAATAATTATACATTTAGCAACTGAGATACTGTAGACGGAGCTAGATTATCGTTTTAATTTGTACCTTATATCGGTGATAAAAATCGATGGCTTCCCGTCCACCATCTCTCAAAACCTCTGTAAATTCATTAGCAAAATGAAACCCTCGAGATTGTAGAGACTATAATTGCATTAATTTTTCCTTTTGATCATCAAGGCTCAATGAATAATTGGAAAAGTTTAAGTAATGGTCTTCGTACAAAAGGGTAACCTTCTTTTGGGTCCCTAGTTTGCAAAGAAACTTCAGCTTAATTTCTAAACTTTGATATACTCTATCCGATCCTTATTATAAAACATTTTGATTTCGTTTTAGGTTTAACTTAGGATGTCTTTTCAATTAGAAAAAAACTTTAAAAATATATTTTCACATTCGTTGTGTTTTCTTAAGTATTATGTAATGTTTTTAAGGTTTTTGTTTCAATTAAAAAAACGTCCTATGTGAAACCTAAATAGAGATCAAAATGCCTTATAATAAGAACCGGAGGGAGCATTCCATTTCTCTGAACAGATAAGTCAATTTACTATACTATTTTATTTCAACAAAGAACTATTTTTTTGTGCGACATGCAGGAGGATAGAGAACACATTATCATAAACTCACAATACACCCCCATATGTATATGTAATTTGACAGATCGATAATGATATTTTGATAAAGAAAATGGAAAACAATTAATATCTTGGGACTGATTGATATTCTCATATTTTGAATTCTATAAATCACTCTATAATTTACACGTAAACCGAGCATGCAAATCTTCAACTATGACTCTATCTGTCGAATATCTTAGAGAAAAGTACAACCCCCAGTTATGTCCAAAGGACAAATTATCCCCCGACATTCTTATAAGGACAATAACCCCCTGACCGCCAGGTTAAAGAACAATTTACTCCTTACATTAGCAAATCTTAGTGTGAAAAGATAAAAATACCCTTAAATTTAAAATGAATTTTTTTTAAACCAAGCCTACCTTCCAGCCAACTCGTTTATTTTTCTAAAATTATAAATTCTATTATCCGCCATTTTTAAATCCGCTGCTGATTCCGTTTTGATCAATTATTTCTCCCTATCACTGCCACCTCAATAAAAATAAACCTGAGATTGAGAATCTATTCTATCAAAATCATAAATTCTATTTATTTGCCGCTGACTCTGTTTGATGCATTATTTCTCCCTATCACCGCCGGCTCAATAAAAATAAACCCGAGATTGAGAATTTAATCTATCAAAATCATAAATTTTATTTAATCTCGGGTTTATCTTTATTGAGGCGGTAGTGATAGGAAGAAATAATGCATCAAAACGAGTCAACGACGAATTTAATCGGGACTAAACCATTTAAGGATTTTTTTAAAGAAATAAACGAATTAATTGCACGATAGGTTTGGTCTTGAAAAAAGATTATTTTTGGATTTAAGGTTATTTTTGTCTTTCACACTAAGATTTACTGATGCAGGGAGCAAATTGTCTTTTGACTTGACGATAGGGAAGTTATTGTCCTTATACAAAATATCAGGGGGTAATTTATCCTTTGGACATAACTGGGGGATTTTTGTCCTTTTTCCAATATTCTATATGTCACTCATTAAAAATATTAAAATTATAAACAAGACGAAATGAAAAAAAATATTATTATTTATTGAGGTTAAAGATGAAAAGTTAGTAATTAATTATTTTTTAAAAATCTTTCCACAATTTATATTTTAAAATATTTTTTCATATCTAAACGACTTGTTTTTTGAAACGGAAAAAATATAATGTTAGATGCTTTTAACTCACAAACCTGGATGGAATTCCTCCAAGAAAGTGTCCCAGATGTTTTTACCTCTTTCATCAGCTCCACCTTCGTACTGAGAATATTGATCGAAACAGACATATTTGCACATAACTCGTGGCAATATAGTGCATGCCATATAAAAACAAAGAAATTATGAAAGAAAAATACTCTCTATCTGCTTCTAATAAACTAAAAAAAACAGAGTTATATTTGTTATTTTAATATTTAAAAATGTCCTTTTTCTGTTAGGTTAAAGGAAGTAAAACATATAAAAGGGTTTTCAAGTCACAGTATTAACTGTAGCATTAAGCGCACCTGGAAAGCAGAAGCAGCAAACCCGAAAATAAAATCTTCGGGGAAATCTTTGCGCTTTAGACCTCCCTCAGTTGGGGAAACTGGAATATTTGGTGCCTCCATAATTCTCTCGATTCAGTGCAAAGTTTACTTCCAAGGTTTTCATTTTGTCACATTCTCAAATGGGCTATTTAAAGCTGTCTTTCACGCGGAAAAGCGATTAATAATCGTTTAATATTTCCTTAAATTCAATTAGGTTTGGTATTCTCTAACAAAACTTGGTGGTTAGAGAAGAATGGTTCTAACAAATGTTATAAATAAAGAATTTTCGAAACGTATGGTTGACAAATTAACGTACAAATTGTACTAGGTGACTCTGTTGGTTGTTCTTGCTGTTTTGGAAAAAAATTGGGTTGTTTGAATATATGTTAATTCACAGCAATAAATTATGCAGTACACGCGTGGAAATTATTACTCACTGCATACGTATACAGCAGTTTCAGACTTATATATTAACTCTATATATCCTTGGAAAAAAAAATTCAGTATGGACTATTTTTTTTCGGACAAAAAAAAATAATTATTAGCGCTACTACTAAGTTCAGATTGGCTACTTAAACTAAAGTATAATTTTGATAACATGGTCAAATCGTAACCTTTTATTATAAATTTATGGGTTGTTATGATGTGAACCCAGAAATTCGAATATATAAAACTCAGCTAGTCCTTGAAAAATCAGGATTGCGACAAGACATGCTTTTTTTTCTTTTTCTTTTTCCGGAACAAACGGACTAATTGTCATTTAAATAGCGGTCAGATGTGTACAATATGATCAAAAGGTTCAGATGGTTCTTGCTTAAGTAAAATTTAATAAAAGGAAACAGGCGTTTTAGATGAGTGTGGTTGAAAGCCAAAACTCTGAAAATTGAATAAATGGTAGTCAGAGTAATCTGATTGTCCTTTTTTTTTTAAAAAAAAAAAAAACTAAATATTGGAGAAATGTAGATTCATCTTGATTGATTGATAGTGTGTTTGAATCAGTATATTTAGCAATTAATTGTGTAGTTCATTTTGAACCCTTTCTTCCACACCGAACAGTCAAGTATTGTCCTAGTTAACATAAAAAGATATACTCTCTCCGTCCCATAATTATTGTCCAGTTTAGGTCTTCATTTTTAGTTCAAGTTGTACTAAAAGTGAAATCTTAAACTCGATAATAATTTTGGGACAGAAGGAGTATGTGACTAAGAAATCAGAGAAAGAGATTGATTTCTCAAAAGTTGGTTTGTTCTACTCATTTTACAAACAGTGTTTTATTTGAAGAAACTCAGAAATAGTAGTACATAGATCATGATCTTGATTGCCTTCCTTATTTCACACACAAATAGACACACACACACACACACTCAAAGAGAAGAAGGCCTCACATTTTGACTTCACTTATAAATACTTAATACACACACACACACACTGGTAGTTACGTTATTGATGAGAAATGGAATCCATTAGTAGGTGTGTCATCATCCTCATTTGCTTAGTTCTTCTTCTTCTTCTTCTCATCATCATCATCTTTTTCAAGCAGGTACTTGAACCATCCCGCAGACAACTTGGGATACCTCTTCAGATTATCATTGAAATCTATGAAATTGGTCCCAAAACGACAGTCGAAGCCAGAGCTCCACTCCAAATTGTCCATCAATGTCCATGCATGATACCCTTTGACTTTCACTTTCTTCTCCCTGCAGGAAATTAAAGGGTATGCGTAAATTTATAATTAAAATTTCATTTTGTGCTACTTACAAAACTATAAGTTAGCTAGGGTTCATATCCAAGGTACAAACAAATGAATTGCCTTACTTGAGGGCTGTCTTGATGGCAGAAAGATGTTGGTAGTGGTATTCAATCCGTTTATAGTCATAGAATGATTGCCACAGTGATAACTTGTCATCCCTCAACTCGTCGCGCCCTGCCAAAATTGACAAAAAATTTACAAAAGAAGAAAAATTTCCAAAAAGAAAAACTAGAGTTGTATTCCGTTGAACTAAAAGAATTAGACTCTCTTACCATTCTCAGTAATGTAAATCTTGGGATCCAAGTATTTCTTTTGAATGTGATATAAGAGTTCCAGAAGTCCTTTTGGATACACGTACAGCCAATCGGAACCAGCCTACACATATATGATCAAAATTAGTAGCTAAATTCGATCCGAAAAAAGTTAGAGAAAAATCTTGGGGAAAATCAAAAATAGGCTTCACCTTTTCACCAATTGGTTTTCCATTAGGATCCAAAGCTATCTCATACAAGAAAAACGCCCCCAAAAATAGAAAGAAAAGAAAGTAGATTTATTAGGAATGGATGTTGAGATTAGAAAGCCAATTAATTTAATTAAATTTCGTTAACTTGGGGGGAGACTAATTACGAGTGCATCTGCCTCCAGAGTCCGCGGTGTAAAAACCCGTTTGTCCATCTGATTCATCATTGTAAGCATAGTTAGATGTGTAATAATTCAACCCCAAGAAATCATACGACCCTTTCAAATCCCTTTGCTCATCATCTGAGAATGGAGGAAGTGGACGCCCCTTAGCTTTGAGACGATCAATCATCACAGTTGGATATTGACCATAAGTCAAAGGATTCAGAAACCTAAACATAAAAATTGAAATTAAACAAAAGAATACCAGAATTCTACTAGTACCCCTACATATCATATTGATCGAACCACTTAATTAGAACATTTCAACTTACCATCCATACATAAACTCGAGCACTCGTTCAGCTGCTTCTTTATCAGCCCTGGTTTGTCTATACGGCTCAGCCCATATCGATTCACATGCGATTCCAATCTCACCCTTTTGCTTTTCCTGACATTAATTAGTAGCTATTATTTGTTACATGGATCATAATATTCCAAAATTTAAAGAAAAAAAAATATGTGTAGACAAACAACCTTAAATGCGACCCTGTATAATTTGACAGCAGCAGCATGAGCAAGGAGTATGTTATGGGCTACAATGTAAGGTTCCGTCTTCGGGTCACCTTCAACCGGAGTTACAGGTATATTTTTGCCTAAAGAGGTTGAGGTTACGCGACTCGAAGGGAGACATGCAGCTATCTCCCTCATCAAGTCGCGTGAACCTCCACGACCAGGCGCGTGTTGCCCCGTCGCGTATCCACCGATAGCAAAGTTCCATGGCTCGTTGAATGTTAACCATCTTTTCACGTCATCTCCAAAATACTCAAAGCATAACTTGGCATAGTCACAATAATCACGTCTGAAAAATCAAATTTAATTGATTTTTATTGTTAGTTCTTTTTTTTTCTTATTAACATTGTCAAAAGAAATATACATAATAATGCTTTCTTACACAATCTTCTTGGGTTGGCTCCGGTCTAAAAATCCAAGGTACTCGTCCTCCAAGGCTTTAGGAAGATCCCAGTGGAAAATAGTCACCATAGGTTCGATGCCTGCCAAACCCAAAATTTATTATAACGTCTACGATACCACATCATAATTTGGCATCAAAACAAACTAAAACTTTTGTCACATATTGAGGAATATAAATGTGAATGAAACCGTTTGCTTTGAGTTGGCGAATGAGTCGCTGGTAAAATCTAATTCCCTGGTGGCTCACACCTACTTCTTTCCTTGTCAATCGGTCTCTGGTCCTTCTTCCACCTTCAAATTTCACAAGTATATATATCCATCAAATAACACCAACATCAAGCTTAATATATATTTAATTAAGGCCTGTATACTGAAAGTGTAGAAACCCATAGAGTGTATGTTATTGATATTACTTATTATTAGGTACATACAATACAACGAGAGAGATGCACGTTTATAATAATATCCTCATGTACATACACTAACAGAAATTACGTGTTATATAAATAATTATAAGAAAAGGGTTCTTACTGGGTAACACTCTGGACCAGGAGATTGAGAACCTATAGGAATCAATGCCCATTTCCTTCATGATGCGGATATCCTCCTGAAATATTCATCATATTATTACGTGTGGTCACTTATTCAGACTTACACACATACTTAATTAACTACAATATAGCACTAGTAAAGTCAAATAGTACGTAGTACTTCTTCGTTACATGCCTAACAACGAAATAATTTAGTTTGTTGAACTATAATACAGTACTAGTAAAGTCGAAACTGAATTTTAATATTGGAATTGGGGGAGGGGGAATTAACGTACCTCATATCGATGGTAATGGTCGATGGCATTGAGTCCACCTTTTTCCACCACCTCTGAAAATTCACGAGTAAAATTGAATGAAAATGTACGTAAAAATATAGTGTGTTTAATCATGATATATATATATATATGTATGTATATATATAGGCCGTAAGTGCTTGTCTCATAATAATAATCATGTACATGAATTATACTAGTATAACTTTACGACATGACTCTAATTATTATACATAAAATTTCTGTAACTCGATCGTGAATATATATAAAGTGAGATCGAGGGACGAACTGGGATGGTATTTCTCGAGGAAAGTATCCCAGATGTTTGTTCCTCTTTCTTGAGCTCCACCTTCGTACTGACAGAGTGATCAAAACAGAAAATTAATTTGGATTAAAAAAAACAATCACTATTTAAACATTGTTATTAGAGAACATATATATAACGCTTTGACCAAGTCTTACTAAGAATATAAATACTATCAGTACTATTTCGTCCCAAAATAAAGAGTCACGTTGGAAAGGATTGCATATATTTTTTTTACCTGGTAAGCAGAAGCAGCAAAACCGAAAACGAAATCATCAGGGAAATCTTTGCGTTTCAGACCTCCATCTGATGGGGAAATTGGAGATGGACTCGCCATACTGTTTTTTCCTGCCCTGAGTTTGCCCTGAAAGGTGTAAAGAAGAGAGAAAATTGGGGTGATTTTAAAGCCTTCTGATCTCGTCCTTTTTATAGGCAAAAATGTCTACAAACTGAATAGAAAAAAATGAGAAAGCAATTTCAATTCTTCAACAACCATCACTGTGCAAAACAGTGCTTGTTTGGACGTTAACTTACATTTCATTTTGTCACTTCAAAGTGGAAAGTGTTTCAAATTGAAAACTAAATGGAAAATAAAAATGTTATTTAGATGTTGCTTTTGAAAAAAAATATTTTGAACTACATTTTGAAATATCAAGTACAAGTCATCACTAAATAATTAAATACTGTCAATTATAGTCACTACGAAAAAGAATTTTTCCAAAAACAATCACTCAACAACGAAATCCTGCCAAATTTGTCACTGAACTATTTGTAGTTCTAAAATGGTCATTACACTAACAAAAAGTATTTCAAGTTGGAATTTAAAATGTAAATCAGAAAGTTATTTGGACGATATTTTCTTTTTTATTGAATTTTATGTTTAAAAAATAAAATGAGTGAAAATGTAAAATAAGTTGACAAACAAACCAGACCGACGTCTCAAATATGAACTCATTTATGTCTTGCGTGAATTTGGTCAAAAGATAAGGCCCACTGCCCTTAATTGGGTGCAGACTATTCTTGAAGAAATGAATTATTTTCATCTTCTATTTTTTGGTACAATTACAGTCTTACAGAGATGAATTATTGATGTGTCCATCCACAACGTGGGCTATTTATAATGATCCTTCGCAAAGTATACTTCTGTTCTTGTTAGTTGTTACCGATGTTTAATGATCTCATTTTCCTTCCTTTCCACAGTATACGAAAACTTGCTTCAGCATTAAGAATTGAAGAGAAGTATTCTCTCCATTCCACAAAAATAATCCACATTGAGTTTTGAGTTTTTACTATTTTCAATACAAATTTCAAATCTCAATATGGATTATTTTTTTTGAGACGGAGGTAATTTTTATTAGACTAAAATGTCCAAATGGTCCCTTACGTTTGGGCCTACTTGAATTTACGTCCCTAACATTAACATTTCAATATCGTAGTCCCAAACGTTATATTTTTAAACTTTTTCGGTCCCATTTCACTGTTTCCGGTCGTTGACATGCCGGAATCAGGGGTGTTTTTGTCTTTTAATTTAATTTAAATTTCAATGAAAATTTAAATCATTAAAAATATTTAAAAATCAGATTTCATTATTTAATTGTTAAAATATTATTTATTAATTAAAAATATTATTATAAAATTTTAAAATTTACATTATTTTCAAAATTAATTTTTTCATTTATTATTTATCTTAGACCAAAGTAAATAGTAATTGTGTTACAATTTTAACCGTAGATTCACTGTAACTTAAAAAATTTACCGAGTTATAGTAAATAATTCAAAATTCAATTTCTTAAAAAAAAAAAGCAAAACCATTTTTTTTACTCTGACCGCTCAGTAATCCCTAAACAGTAATTATGTTGCACTTTTAACCTTGGACCCACAATAACTTAAAGAATTTACCGAATTACAGTAAATAATTCAAAATTCAATTTTTTTAAAAAAAAGGAAAAAGCAAAACTAAGATTTTCTTTTTTACTTTGACCGCTACAGTTGAATTTTGAATTATTTACTGTAACTCGGTAAATTTTTTAAGTTATATTGGGTCCAAGGTTATAAGTGCAACATAAGGGTTTACTGTAATAGTCAATTAGTTTGTTTTGCTTTTTCCTTTTTTTTAAAAAAAAAATTGAATTTTGAATTATTTACTGTAACTCGGTAAATTTTTTAAGTTATAGTGGGTCCAAGGTTAAAAAAGAAACATAGCGGTCAGAGTAAAAAAAATCTTGGTTTTCCTTTTTTTTTTGGAAAAAAAATTTAAATTTTGAATTATTTACTATAACTCGCTAATTTTTTTAAGTTACAGTGGGTCCAAGATTAAAAGTACAACATAATTACCATTTAGGGTCTACTATAGCGGTCAGAGTAAAAATAATCTTGGTTTTACTTTTTCTTTTTTTTAAAAAAAAATTGAATTTTGTATTATTTACTGTAACGCGATAAACTTTTTAAGTTACAGTGAGTTCAAGGTTAAAAGTGTATTATAATTACCATTTAAGGTTTACTGTAGCGGTCAAAGTAAAAAAATCTTGGTTTTGCTTTTTCTTTTTTTAAAAAAAAAATTAAATTTTGAATTATTTACTATAACTTGATAAATTTTTTAAGTTACAGTGCCTAAAGTTAAAAGTACAACATAATTACTATTTACTATGTACTTAAAGTAAATAGTAAATGAAAAAAGTAATTTTGAAAATAATGATAAATTTTAAAATTGTATAATAATATTTTAACAATTAAATAATAAAATCTGAATTTTAAAATATTTTTAATGATTTAAATTTTAATAAAAATTTAAATTAAATTAAAAGACAAAAATACCCCTAATTCCGGCATGTCAATGGCCGGAAACAGTGAAATGGGACTTAAAAAGTGTGAAAACATAATGTTTGGGACTACGATATTGAAATGTTAATGTCAGGGACGTAAATTCAAGTAGGTCTAAATATAAAAGACCATTTGGACATTTTAGTCTTTTTATTAATGCTTTGTTCGATTACGGCTTTATCTTTCCTTTTTTCCGGACAACTACAATATGATCGAGCGTCCTAATCCTGATTTATGCACCATGACAAAATGAAAGGAAGCTCATTTTTTGGTTTGCCTTAATTCAAGGTGGGTCAAACCATGAATTCCTTAAATTCATCTAAATTATTTAAGAAAAGAACAAGCCCTTCTTCGCGTATAATCATGGGATTTAATTTAATCTGTGTTGAGAGTAAAGTTCGTGCTTATTGATGGTGATAGTTTCTTGTGGGAGGTTTTCCATAAATTTTTAGTTGTCTTCTTCCATTATGGGAGGCTTTCTTCGCCTGATTTCAAGAAACTGATTCATAATATATTCTTAGCCGAGTATTTTTGTGGAGTGAAAAGAATATAGTATTTTTTTTATTGATGAATAGTTCTTATTTTTTGATGGAGGAGAGTATTACTTTCTACCCGAATAATGTTGTTCTAATCAAGTAAAGGCAATACGTTTTTTCCTCAATATTAGTCCGCCTGAAGTCGCCTTCTCTTTAAAATAAACTTGACAATTCAATATAGGAACTACGGAACCTACTCCTAAATGACTAACCTAATTCCGTTGCAAACTCTTTCAACTAATTACAATCCGCAGACGAGAATTTCCAATTACACATTGCTAAAACAAGGATGCTATTCCTCCGCCTTTGTTACAAAAGCATGCACGCTAGACTGATAATGCAAAATTACATTGGCCAAAACAACAAAGGCGGTGGTGTCCTCGCGGAAAATGATGACGCCATGTGATCCATATAGGTGCGTAAATCACTTTGATCACCTAGTGAAATGGAGGCTTAGTTTGCAGTCGTTATGAGAAAGGTGCAGTGAATGACAGAATGCATGAAACTCTCTTAATCTTCCAATGATGGATTCATTCATTCCGCTGCCTGGGTTGTTGTCTCTTTTGTGGTCTGCTGATTCGTCGCGCCATTGATCTATCAAACTGCATCATATGAAAAGGTCATTTCAATATTTTCAGACAACTTTATTTGCTCAGACAGCCAAAAAATTGTTTCTAGTTCAAGAGCAAATGCAAAGGGCTAATCTGATAAATAGGGCAAATGCAAAAATACCTTCGCAATCATACAAGAAACATCCAACTAGCACAGATTGCAGCAAGATTTTGGGCATTTAGGCTTAGAGCAGTTGCAACTTGAACAGCTAGGCCACTTGCAGCAAGAAAAACTTGGTTCACATAATGAACTGCAAGGGCAGCAATTCGGCCATCTTGAGCCACCTAAACGTTGGTGGCAACAACAGCTGCAATCGAAACAAAAACCGCCTGGCCAGTTGCAAGAATAACTCGGCCTACCTAATGACTTTTGGGAACAACAACAGCTTGACCAGTTACATAAACCTTCACAACTGTAGCCTGAGCAATGTGGGCACTTAGGAAGACAGCTTCCGCAGCATAGCTGTTTACAAGAGCAGCATGTGCAACTACACCAATTACATAGGTATGGCGACGGAGAATTCTTCCTGTAAAACATAATAGTATACTTCTATCATCAATTCTAAGAATCTTAGTCTAACACAAACCGCGATGTTAGTTCCAACTTTTTCTCTTCTGATTGCTATGCTATTAAATGTATGCTCAAACATAAACCAGAAAAGCACCATCAGCTTATATCAGCCTAGCATAATGCAGAAATCAAGTATTGCATTCTGAAAAAAAAAAAAACAGAAATACAGTACTTACATTGGAGAAGCGCAAGAATGGGTGTTAGACTTACTCTCATCAGTAAGAGAATAGGCTTCATCCGGATCTATCCTACCTTGATTGTTGAAGGCTTCGTCGTGAACACTCTCCCTCAGTTTTCCAAACACTTGAGACTTCCCTGAGTCAATGCACTGCAGTCTGTGGTCAGCTCCAAATTTTGCTGGAGAATGTTGCCTTAACCTGACAAGTTCACTTGGACTTTTCAGCTCTCCAGACCTGTACCAATCACTCGAATAATCAAAGTCTCCTGATATACCAGTATTTTTACGTGTGTGTGAATCTCCACCTAGCTTTCGATCTCTAGCAAAACTCATACTCCCTATTCGGATGCTGAATAAAGATTCATTAGAAGCAACACTCCAATCCAACGGCCCGGGAGGTTTGCTAAAGATGGCTGCTGAAATGCGATTCGGATCATATCCCGCAGGCCTTTCCATCACTTGGGGAGCAGGGGATTTTGTTGGTGACAATGTTGGAGCTAAAGATTCATGAGTGACAACCGAATTTTGTGAGAAAGAACGTGACGATCCAGACGTTTCTTCCAACTCGTGCAAAGTTCCACCTTCAACATCATCAGATTTCCTCTCTTCAACCTTTGAACTGGTGGTGTTTTCCTCTTTTGGAGGGGAATTTTGGTGAACTGGTTCAGAGGTTTTGATCTCAGTTGGATCAATTTGGGATTCCTCCGAGGTTGGGAATTTATTGGGATCAATTTGGAAGTAATCCTCGGATGATGATTTAGTATGGCTGTGTTTCAGTTCACTTGTAACATTTTCTAGATCATCTTTGGTTACATCAGTACTGTTCTTAGATTTCTGAGAATCTGAATGCAAAGACTCATCAAAACCTACCATATCCTCTTCTTCTTCTGCAACGCTTGAATGCTTGCTACTTCCACTTCTCTTCTCAGATTTCATAGTTGAATCTGTTAATTCATATTAGAATATTCAACAAAAAAACTCTACTCAGCCATATAAACTAAGGAAACCAGCCAAAAAGCATTTAAAGCTTCACATAATCCAAAAAGAATCGACTTCTGTTCTGTTTTCAACACTGTTATTGCTCTTACATCAATGTTTCAAAAAAAAAATTAAAAAAAAAATCCTACTTTGCAGCTGAAAACAAAAGGGATGATCTTACCTTAATTTTTGCTAATGTTTCTGGGCATGCATGAACCTGTTCTTGTATTAAAATATCTCTTCAAGAACTGCAACTTTTCCCCTTCATAAAACACCCAAAAAAAGCTAATCGAAATAACTGCTTTTTTACATTCTAAATAATATTTACGAGTTATATATTGGCAATGACAAACAGGGTATCGTCGAGATAAATTCTAAATTTCATCAAATACATGAAACTTAAATAAAACCCGAAATGATGAATATCAATCTCGGGACTTTTCTTCCCCTGATGCCGTTTTGTTTTGTTCCCTGAGCTAGATTACTGCCCTTCCTTTTAGGGTTTGAATTGATCAACCCTAAAAAGATTATCAGAAAAAAAACAAAATAAAATAAAAGTTCTGGGAAATCTTGACTAGGGTTTTTTTGCAGAATGCAAAATTAGGGATGATATGATATGGAAGGCAATACGAGGTTTTCGGTGAGTTTTGTATTATTTCAGATATTTTCTTAACATAACTAACTTCAGCTCTTTTTGGCGCGAGCTCTTCAACTACTTCATGTCATGTGGTCTGCACGTGAGAGGTTTAGCAGCTTAAGTGAAAAATAAAAAAGAAAAAGCTAAAAATGATTATACATTACATACTGTAACGACCTAACTCACCTATTTGTTATCATACATTATGTTTAACAACCAGTTGAGCCATCCGCCGGACTCTCGCCCAAGACACATTATTTTTATTCATCTTTAAGTACAAATTCTAAAATAATTCATCAAAATTTATTGAATAATTTCACTTCAAACGTTAATTCTAAACATTGGGGTAACATTTTCACTAAAACTAATTTCGTGTTACAATCTATCAGCAACAGCATCTCTTGCAGACAGTCTCCTTTAACAGAATCTCATCTGCACCCCTCCTAAGCCTGGGAGTGGGATAAGGGAGTAAAATATAAAAGGGGGGCGCCAAGCTCAATGAGGTCCTCACGATACTACTACGATTTTTTTTATTTTAATAAAACCATTTCCTAAAACAATATTTAAAAGTAAAACAATTTTGAATATAATCACTCAACAATCAATTATTTCACATTAAGCAATTAACAATAGGGTGGATACAGAAAAATCTATAAGGCACGTCGAAGGTCGATGTGACACAAGAACGTTATTCCAAACTAGATTTTAACATCATTCAATATTTCGTCGGAAGGAGAGACCTTATCGACTAACAATAACAATTCAATGTCAATAACAATTCCTCCTCAATACCCCGTGGTCACCATGATACTCATGAGCTCCGCACCATCCGGACAACATGAGAAGCCTAGATAAGCTAACCCGGCGACCAAGCCCGTTGTCGGCTCGCAAGGCTTCGTCTAACAAAGGCAGGGCCCAGGTTCCAAGTGAACAGAGTCCACCGAAGCAACCATCATACACACATTATTTCACAACAATCAATCCATAACAGCAATAGTTTTCCTGGAGTGATAAAGTACACCACTAGAAGCAAAACATTCAATGATCATACTCAATCTAGTAACTAGTCAACAATAATGTTTAATCACATAACGGTATCATTTTATCTCAGATACGATAACGCCCAGAACACATATCCCGAGAAGATTAAGTACACACTCAGGTCATTCAATGATATGCATTTGATATCTCAATAATACTTAAAAACGTGGTCATGGATGTAGTGACTTTCATATATATATATATATATATATATATATATATATATATATATTCCCATATTCTCAGTTTTTTTTTTTTGTGAAAAAAGGAGCGAGAATTACTCACAAGTATCATAAGGCAGTTTGTAACGCCCCAACTGGATGGTCTGTCCCAATAACTATTTGGGTATTCGTCCTCGTTGCACCCAAAATGGTTAACCCAAGTTATTAGTAAACCAAGCAGCTCAAGCTTATAAAGTGGTTACTCCCTCCACCTTGCACGGATGTGGGACTCCTACCTATGTGCTTTCTTTCACGGGTCTCACACTCGACCCCCCTTTGGATCCTTGCGTCCTCGCAAGGCCCAAGACACACAGCACAACACAATACAACATACACCACATACAGTTGGCCCAGGCTCCCCTAGAACAGTCGTTTCACTTGTCTCACACCTCCTATGAGCTCAGAGGTGTCACACAACACTTGTCTCCTACGTGTGAGCTCAGAGGTGGGTCCGCACCTAGACTAGGTCGGCTCTGATACCAATTGTAACTCCCCAACTGGATGGTCTGTCCCAATAACTATTTAGGTATTCGTCCTTACTGCACCCAAAATGGTTAACTCAAGTTATTAGTAAACCAGACAGCTCAAGCTTATAAAGTGGTTAATCCCTCCACCTTGCACCGATGTGGGACTTCCACCTGTGTGCTTTCTTTCACGGGTCTCACACATACTCCCTCCATTTCAAAATATAAGTCTCTTTACAGGTTGCACGTAAACTAAGAAAATAACTATTTAGTAATTAATTTGTGTGTCAAATATCTATTTTATCTATCATTAATTGTTTTGGAACTTAACCAAGACTAGAAGACAAGTGGTTAACATCATTTATTGAGGACAAAGTTGAAAAATTTATCACTAATTTGTTTTGAAATCCTAAAACGACCTATATTTTGAAATATACAAACCGAAAAAGACCTACATTTTAAAATGGAGGGAGTATGGATTGTGCAAAACTTTGGATAATAAATAATGAATAATTCTAGAAGGGAACAAAAAGCCTCTTGATGAAATCGAGAAATACATAAAAGTTTGATAATATCTTGTCAACAAAAGCGCTATCGAAGGTGCATTACAATATATATGTCCCCAAGTAGACATGTCTTCTAATTTTTCACAAAATTATACTCCCTGCAGTCCTTATTATGAGTAATTTTGATTTGTCTTAATTTTATTTATTGTGTTTTCTTCACTTAAATTGGAAAAAAAAATCTTAAATTTGTTTATAATAATTGGAAAAACACGGTAAATGTAGAATTGAAAAATAAAACCTTAAATATGTTTTATAATAATTGAGAAAACGCATTAAATGTAAAAATATATTTTTAAGATTTTATTTTCAATTCAAGTAAAAAAACACAATAAATAAAACTTAGAACAAATCTAAATACTTCATAATAAGGACATGAGGAGGTAAAACATAATTTGTAATATATAATGTAAATTTTGGATCAAATTCATACAATTTAGATAAAGGAAATTGAAGTATAAAAAGATTAAAAAAAAAAAGGGGGAATGAAGATATCCAAATTTTATCCCGGACTAATAGGGCCATAGTTTTTTAAAAAATGTAGTCACATTTGATTAATTTGAAAATCAATTTATTTTTAGTTTTTTAAAAATGTAGTTACATTTGATTAATTTAGAAATCAATTTATTTTTTAATTTCTCTCGTGTACTCACTAATCTGTGTTAAAAGTTCACTAATTTAAATTTAATTGGGGGATTCCTCTAAAATAAACTAAAGTACAAACTATGTGTACTATATTGATTTCATTTACATTTCAAAAAAAAAGGAAACTGCCAATTAAATAGGCTTAATTTGCACAAAGATAATATACTGACATCAATAACATCAATAAGAAAGTGCGCACGTGTTACTTCGATCAAACAACGTTGGAATCAGCAGCGGTAATAGAGGGTAATTAATAAAGTGAAACCGCAGTTACCCTTTTGGACTCCCAATTCTCGGAAGAAGTAAGTTAAAGTCACCAGCTCTTCTCCCTCGTCTGACAGTGGCATCTCCAGATTCTCTCTACCCACTTCCTTGGAATCCAATCACCCGCCCAATCAATCATTACCCAATTTTTGTCTTCCTTCAAAGGTACGATTTTTATACACAGAATGAAATGTATGTTCCGGTCTGCATCTGACACTCATATCTAGAAGGGGCATTTCGCGAGATGATTTCTTGTCTTCCATCCAATTTTTAATTGGTTTAATGTAATTATCGAGTTGGGTTGTTTTCCTTTTGGTTATATCTTTCTATATTTCAGCTGTAGTTGGTTGTTGATTTCCTGTAATTGAATTTAATGCTTCCTAATTGGACCCTGTGCTGGAAGTATTTTTGTGAATGTTTAGGGGCTTGGTTTTAGAAGCCGTTATTATCCGGAAAAAAAATTCTTTTCGATTTTTGGGGTACTGTTTGTATGTGGAATTTGATTGCTTTGCTTGTCGCGTCAAGAAGTCCTTTTGCACTTGAATTGATCCGAACATCGATTTGGTTTGAGAATTCTTTACGATCTTGCTTTCGAAATGAGTGGACGAAAATTATGAAGGAAATCCTTTTATTACCTTTTAGAGTAGAACAAAGTAATATGCATTTCTTTCCTTTACTAGATTGTTTAATGGGTAGATTTGGGATGTGCTTTGCCTTTGAGCCTCAATTCTACACTGTGTTTGGAAATTCAGTTCGGTAAGGAGGGGGAACGAGACAAAAGGAGCTCTCATTCTTATTTTTATTGCAGGTTTCACTTCATAACTGCTGGTGAAGGGTGGGTTCGCTGCGGTTTTCCCGAGTAATTCTCCATTAACATATGTTTGGTTCCAGTTCAACTTCAGTCACCAGCTGATGTGAGCATATCTTTATCAGCAACATACATAAGATTAGCAAATGTCAGGATCACAATCTCCAAATCTTCCTATGGATGGTCCTGAATCTGTTCCGGCTCCTAATGATTCAAGGTTTCCTTCAAATGGACGTCGCAATGGTTATGTTCGCACAGGCTTTAAGAAAAGAGGCCATGGTCACGGAAATAGATCATGGATAACTATTGATCAGAATGGGGATTCAAAAACTCTAGAACTGGACAAAACCACTGTTATGAGGCATTGTTCCTTGCCAGCTAGAGATATGCGTCTTTTGGATCCAATGTTTATATATCCTTCCACCATTCTTGGTCGGGAAAAGGCTATTGTAGTTAGTCTTGAACAGATTAGGTGTATAATCACAGCTGATGAGGTTATCCTGATGAACTCCCTAGATGCATCCGTACTTCAGTATAAATCAGAACTATGCAAACGCCTTCAAGCAAATAAAGATCAATCTGGTGCGTTACAACTAATATCTCATTTGCAACTAGACATGTTAGTGTATTTTTTTTGGTAAAAAGGAAATGTTAGTTTTCAACATGTTCTTTTATTCTTAACCTTTAACGTCTCCAAGTAGGTTGCTCATGGCATGCATTGATTTGATTCAGATGATCTGCCTTTCGAATTCAGGGCTTTGGAGCTGGCTCTAGAGCTGATATGCATGTCTCTTGATGCTCAGGTATGGGTTCTCTGCATGCTATCACTTGAAGCAGATATTCTGTTACTTAGGTTTTCATTTTGCCTGTACAAAACATTCATAATTGGTTTTATCAGTTTGTGAAAGTTCATAATGTATTCCAGAGGACGTAAGATCCTTCAACATGTACTTAAATCATGTCATGTGTTTTATAACGTATTTCTATCATCATATCATATTTGCTGAGCACAACCTTCAAATACACCATTGTTCTGGTAAACAAAATTCCATTTCTTTTTCCTCTTTTTTTTCTCCAGAAAGATGCGATGGAATCTATGTGATTTGTGTGCCCGATTCTTTAATTTATGTGCTAAAGAAAATCATGATTTGAGAAGCCAGCTTGTTTGAAATGGTAGAACATGCATAGTTCACGAGAACAGCTTCTTTGATAATGTTGGATTGAATAGAGCATCGTAGTCATGAACTTTTCGAACTTAGTAGGTAAAAGAACTGGAGTTGGAGATACATCCAGTCCTCGACGAATTGGCGTCATCTATTAGCACTCTTAACTTGGAACATGTTCGCAGATTGAAGGGTCACCTCCTCGGCTTGACTCAGCGGGTGCAAAAGGTGTTGTTAAATATATTTAGTTGCAATCTGCTGTTGATGTTTAGCTACATTACATGCTGCAATATCGTCTTCTGGATCTGCATTTCAGGTTTGTGATGAGATAGAACATCTCATGGATGATGATGGTGATATGGCTGAGATGTACTTAACAGAGAAAAAACTAAGAATGGAAGCATATTCCAACAGTGAACTGTATGACCAGACTGCTTATTCCGGTAGTGTCAGAACCGGGTCGAGATCTGCTCCTGTTTCACCTTCGGGCTCTTGTAGTGGATCACAGAAGTTACAGAGGGCTTTGAGCAGCATAAGTTCAAGTAAACATGGAAGCTTTCTTAGCTCATCTAATGCTCCAGAGAATATTGATCAACTCGAAATGTTGTTGGAGGCTTACTTTGTTGTCATTGACCATACTCTCAACAAGCTATTTTCAGTAAGAGAGTCTTTTGCCAACTTCATCCAAAATCTTTTCTTTTTCTTTTACACCTTTGATGATTTTAGATTTATCTATTGGTTCATTTGCTGCTCAGCTAGGCAATTATCTCATCAATTTATTGCACACATGCCATATTGCAAATATTGACTGTAGGCTAATTGCTTTGGCATATCAGTTAGTTGGAGTTTCTGAATAGAAGAATGGACTTCTTGTTTTTTAGCACTCTGAGTGCATGCTTTCTTTATTGTAATTTTAATTGCTTACAACCCTTTATGTGTTTTGCTCTTGCAGCTTAAAGAGTACATAGATGATACTGAGGACTTCATCAACATAAAACTGGTAAAAGCATGACTGCAATTAAATTCTGTTTTACAGTGATCGTCACTCCATTTTACCTCTCAAGTCTCAAATGGACTTATGTTTGCACAGGGAAATGTTCAGAACCAGCTTATACAGTTTGAGTTGCTTCTGACTGGCGCTACATTTGTTGCTACAATATTTGCTGTGGTGACTGCTATATTTGGAATGAACTTGAAAACAGATGTTTTTGATGAGCCTTCTGGATTTAATTGGGTTCTTTCGTTAACTGGAGTGACATGTGGAGTGTTGTATATATGCTTTCTTATCTATATTAAGCAGAAGAAAATCCTTTCATTGTAGTTATTGCAATGATGAAACTTTCCATCAGGGATACTTTCAGCGGTACATCTTATAATCTCAGCAAAAGGGTAGCACCGCAGCAGCATTTGAGGTCGATTTATGTAAATATGTGATTAACCTCAGTACCTCGCTGCAACTCTGCAAGGCTTCAATGTAGAGAAGTTAACAAGGTGATACACTGTAGTGTCCTAGTTTATGTTGTTCCCAGTTCATTGATTGTAACCTATCATATTGGATTGCTAAAGATTTGGACAAGTTCTCTCTTGCAAATTGCTCCTTGTTAGTGGGGGGAGTGAGAAAACATAAACGATTGATCTGGCGAAGAACAGTTGTTACACCTTTAAACCCAAAAGTACTAGGTGCCAGTGGTGCAATTAGTTGTCATTAAGCATGTATTCAGCTTACTGTAAAGAAGGGAAAGAAAGAACAGAGTGTCTCTGGTATAACTTTTATGTAGAAAAGAGTTTTCTTGTGTCTGTGTTTTAAAACCACCAAAATAATCTTTCATGGTGATGATTTTATTTCTCAACATGCACATTGTTCAATATGTGTATGCAGTTTTTTGATATTTTACAGTCATTTCTCTGCAGATATATTCCACTTCATCCACAGCATACTCCGAGAGCTGATCACCAGTCTTCTGGAGTTGCTGGGGATTCTGTATTGTTATACTCATCGACGCTGATAGAAGTATCCCGTTGGGATTCAGGAGAATGGAACCTGTGTTGGTTGTTTTGGAGAGCTGTTTCGAGCTCCTTGATGCGCGCTTCAAGCTGGGATTCTATTAACTCATGCAAACGGATACTTAGTTCACGAGGGGAAACTGCATAGTTTGGAGGCCTAGTCATATTGTCACTTGCTTCATCTGACTCTGTATCAGAGTCATATTGTCTGTTAAATGCATTTGTCTTGATGCTTCCAATTCTGTAACCTTCGGATTGTACATCAAGCTGCACAGACCATTGAAACCATAATCAATAGAGTTGATTAAATAATCTTTGTTCTTCTATTTTCTTTTATATTTATCAGTTTCCTGCTAGTCTGTTACATGGTGTTACTCTTTTAGTTTTCAATGTAAACAAAACTTTTCCGACATTTTTACCTGAGCGAAGTTGGATCTTCTTTCAAGATCCATGCTCATTTGCAGTCTCTCCAGTTCAGCTTCGAGCTCTGCCTCAATTCTACTCATTAAAAGGGCATTCTCTGACTTTTCATCATCAGCCAATTTTCTGCTATCACTAGTTACTTGCTGGGGTTCTTGTTGAGAGATCGACAAAGAAAGTTTCTGATTGAATAAAGAGGGAGTTTTTGAGCTGGGAGACTCAGAACCATTGCACATGAGCTCTTTGACAGTGAAATTTTCGTTCATATCAAGCTCCTCTTTTAAGTCTTGAACCAGAGTCATGGCCTCTTCTAATTTCTCATTCATCTTTTGCATTTCTCTTTTGCTTGATGCTGCAGTTGGGAGCATGCCAATAGTCAATCCGACCAAGAACAGCAGCAAATCATTGGATTTCCCTGATGGCATTTTAAGTAGGTAAGCCAAACAATAAGATCTTTCAAATGCAAGAAAAACCATCAAAGAAAGTCAGTGATACATTTAAGGGGATGTCAGGCAAATGTAAAAAATAGAAGAACCTGGCAATTGAACTGCTTCATCGATCTCCTTTCCCTGAGTTTCTGCTCCCGGCTCTAGCACCTCGACATATTCTGTGTCGTCGTTAGTTGATGAAGTGCTTAAACATGTACAGATTTCATCACAGCTGATACTCCTCCTTGAAAGATCTTCCCATGAATCAAATGAATTACTAGCAGATACTCTCCGAGTGTCTTCCCTCAGGTCCAATGCATTATAACTAGACGTCCTTCTTAAGGGGTCTTCAGCAATATTAGGCCATAAACTCTCTTCCACTTGGCTTTCTTCAGTGGCCATTGTTCCAAGTAAAACACGCCTATATTCTTCCGCCTTTCCAAGAGCAGTCGCTTTGGAGGATCTGTTTTTGTGTAATTTTTTCTTGCAAAAACCACAAGATGAAGAAGGCTCTGTGTTGTGTAGAGAGCTCTTCTTTGCACTGATCTTTTGGAAACTTTTTAACCATCGAGCTCTGAAGTCTTCCACCATCTTAACTCGGTCACTAGTAGAAGCACTTGCAAATGCTGCTAAATCAGGATCACCATCAAACTCATTCTGATCAAACAAATAATTCTGACCTTGGAAAACTCCTTCATATGCCTTTTCTCGGGCCAATCTTTTCAAAGGGCAAGTCTTCTCTCTAATTTGCTGCAGAAATTTCCAAGACTCTAATGATCTGTGGGTTGAAAGTTTGGAAGATGATAGTAATAATCTTTCTTTTTCACTCAGTGATGAATTTTGCCAGTATTTTCCCAAATATCCAGCACCAGCAGCTGCTGCTACAACCCATAGATCCATATCTACTTCGATCCCTCTTCCTTCACTATATCTACTCAAAACTGGAATTCCTGAAGATCAAATGGACCCAGTTGAAAACAACTGGTAAGCAGAAAATCCAATCAAGTTTAAGAACAAGATTGCAGGTAATTGAGCCCTTTTCATATATGAATTCAACAGTTACTCAGGAATTGATTCAACATATGGAAATTGAAAACAAAAAATCAACAAAAAGAAAGTTGTACACCTATCTTGCTTAAAAATGAAGATAAGGAAATTCTGATCAAAACCCAATTGACGGTGATTAAAATTTGTTGGAATGAAGCTTCGGTTCATAGTTTGATATATTTCTTTGGGGCTAAATTTTGGTTGGTGTTCTGCCAAGTACACACTAATGTCAATCTGAAATCTGAAAAGGCCAGGTGTTTTGTTCTCATGTGGCACATTTTGCAATTCCAGGCCACTACATTTTCTGACTAGAAGACAATATGCAAAAATGAGGACCTGCTTATTTTTTCCATTTTACCAGAGCTTAAAGATTTGCTTTCAAATTCATCCCATTGGCATCCTACCTAGCTAGATTCGAGAGTTCCAGCAAGTCAACCTGATTCTATATATATATATATATATATATATATATATATATATATATATATATATATATATATGATTGTGGGCATATTACGACAAGATGGTGATAATTTGTGAAAAGATACCGTTTTTGACTAATGTGTTAGTATAACTCAAAGATAATGCTAGATTGATTTCATATAGACAAATTTTGTGACCTCGGTACAAAACTTTATCAACTTGCAGCTTGTGAATACAAAAGGTTTTGATTACGATGAAAATAACAATCACTACTCCCTCTATTTTGAAATACTTATGTTGTTTTATGATTTGATAAATTTTTTTAAATCTATGTCGTTTTCACAAATCGAGACATATTTGACTACTTTTTACCAATATTACCCTTGCATTGAAAACGAAACAGTATTCATATTGAATTTCTATTGATTTGTGATGAATTGTATAGATAATAAATAAATGTATTTTTTATAATTACATTAATTAATGTGTTCTTGGTTTTGATGATAGACATAAAAAAAAATAGAGGGAGTAATATTTTTTTTTTAATACGAAAGGTGTACGTATTTAATGTTATCCCGAATCATTTAATACTAATTTTATTTCGTATTGGACTTTCTTTCCTACGGCAAAGCTCCTTTTTCCTGTAGAAAAGGAAAGAATGTAGAGACGTTTTAGAATAAAAAGTTTGACTTGGAAACGAGAAAAGCAACATCACAAGTCAACAATTATTTATGTTTCACCGTCAGCATTAAAATGTTGTTATTTAAATTTAAAATGGACCTGTTATTTTAGCGGCTAAAGAAATAATTAATGAGAATAACCAAAAGAATAAGACCACAATGAAAACTCACATTTATAAGTGATTCATTTTATGCCAACAAGCTCTTTCCTCAGCAATTAGGACAGAACTGCAAGTGTTTTTCGGGTTAGGTATCAAGATTAGCAAGCAGGCGCCAAGGATTAGTCATCTTATGTATGTTGATAATAGTCTATTCTTTTTAGAATGCAGGGATACTTCTATACAGGCACTGTCTGGATTACTTGAGGATTATGCTTCAATTCCTACTCCGGTTAAAGGATCAATCATCACAAATCCTCCATTCTATTGAGTCAGAATACATCTACTACCATGAAAAGCTTGGTGCACAACACTTTGCACATTCCAGAAGGTAATTTTCAGAGCAAATATCTTGGTTTATCTTTAGATTTCAAACAGAAAAAAACAGAAATTTTTAAAGAGTTTACCGCTAGGCTACATAGAAAGTTTGCGGATTGGAAAACAAAGCTTCTTAGCTTTGCTGGGAGAGTTACATTGGCAAAGGCTACTTTATCAGCTATGTTGATTTATCTAATGGGAATTTTTAAACTTCCAGCCTCCACATTAAAGAAAGCAGATGGAATCATTGCTCGTTTTATATGGAAAGGTGATGATCAGGAGAAAGGTATCCATTGGAAATCCTGGAAGAAAATGGCCAAATCACAGTTCCATGGGGGTTTAGGGCTCAAAGCCACTGCAGAATTTAATCAAGCCCTTCTGGCTAAACATGCTTGGAGAATATTGGCACAACCAACTTCCCTCTTATCCAGAATTTACAAAGCAAAATACTGCACCATGGAGAATTTTTCTCCCAAGACTCCACCCACTAATGCCACATAGGGATATAAGAGTGTTCTCTGGGGAGCAAGACTTCTTCAAAACAACATAAAATGGAAGGCTATTAGTGGTAGAGATATCCTGATTGCCAGTAACTGGATTCCAGGAGTCACTAATCCTATACAGAGTAATTCCTTTCTGGCTCAACATTCTAATCTTATGGTCAGTGATCTTCTCAGGCCGAATAGACAATGGAAAATGTCTCTCATCCGTTCCTTTTTTCCAGACCAATATATTCCCTATATAATTGGTATATATGTGGATCCGACAAGGCACATGTAACCGGATGTACTCCTGTGACAAAAGACAGGTCATGGTTCCTACACGGTCCAATCAGGGTATCATGAGGCCTTAAATCGAGATTCTATCAGCTTTCCTTCTCAAGCAAATCGACAGGTTCCTTCACAAATTGAAAGCTTGACTTGGAAGAAGTTGTGGAATACTAAAGTGCAACCCAAACATAAATTCCTTTTTTAGAGAGCGGCACTCAATGCCTTACCTTCCAAACAAGAACTCGTGAAAAGAGGAATACATGTTGATACTTCATGCCCAAGGTGCTTTACAGGATTGGAGGATAATCTTCATTTTTTCTTCAACTACCCAATCTCTCAAGCAGTCTGGAGCTTTGCATATCCTAATTTCCAATCAATTCTAAATGGCTCAATGCTCTCCATACTGGATTGGTTTATCTCATGGATTCAAACTCAACCATCTTCAGATGACATTGACCTCTTCTTCTTAATCTTCTGGCGTATTTGGCTAGACAGAAATGATAAGGTGTGGAGAACTCATACAATCGATCATGTAACCTCATGGAGATTAATCCAATAGGACTTTAAGTAATACCAGGTATTGTTGGTCAGATCAAGGTCACATATGGATTTAATTCCACCTCCCCTTCCTGCTAGGAGAACTACTGAACCACTGTCAGAAATTACTTTTGATGCATCCTTCAACCCTCACAACAAAGAGGCAGCCGGAGCCTGGAGAATTATCTCTTCCACCGGGATGCTAATGCAGATAAAGTCAGTCTCCATCAATTCACTGTTCCCTTTGCAAGCAGAAGCTACTACCTGCTTACAGGCATTACAAGATGCCTCATCTTTGGGGATTCAAAGACTCAACATCTACACGGACTGTGAACTCTTGACCTCCGATCAGGAAATTTCTAAGTTTCCGAGTGAAGCTCAGGAGATAATAGCTAATATACGTACCCTAATGTCTACTTTTCGGAATTGTTCACTGTTAAAAGTCACTCGGACAGTAGTTAAGAATTTACATAACTTAGCCTATGTAAAAATGCGATGTAATAGTTTAGGTAATCTTTAATTAATACAAGTACCTTTTCAAAAAAAAAAAACGGAATTATCACGTCGATCACCACTGCGTATATTATAAAGTTATCTACGTATGTAAAATTTCTTAAGAGTATTACGCTATTAACTATCAAATTTTTTTTCTTTATTGGTGTTATAAAACAAACCCTTACTGTATTGCATTTAATAAATGGTTGGTTTCAAAATATCCATTTCTTTTCTTTTTTTTTTGGTATAAACGAGAAGGCCGAAGTCTAAATTATGGCATTACAACGTTCTGTGAGTATGAAACACCCACTAAATCATGCATTAACCATGGCTTAACAATATCTCAAAAACATCCATTTCTAAGAATTCGTAAGAGACATTTTATTATTTGCACATTAAATTGATATTTAGAATTGAGAGTATTACCTATCAATTTTCTTTTCTTTTTATTGGTACATGTCTCTTACGAATTCTAGGAAGTCGATATTTTTATCATTTGCACAATGAATCTTCGATTTCTAGGAGCCAAGAGATTCAAGGGTCTTAACTCCTCAAAAAGAGGGAGAGTCTCAAATGGATTCCTGGTTAGTGCAAGATTCAGAACAGGTCACAATCATTGGCATTGAATATTCCGCCTCAAATTCCTGAGCTGGTTATTGGTAGATTCAGAATCTTTTTAGTTTTTCAAAAGATTCCAACTTTTGCCCCCTCCCTCCCTTTGAAAATAACTGCAACCCAATAAAATTGCAACTTATGCCACTCAACTATGAACAAATCAAAAAACATTCCAAAACATTTTATTCAAGGCATTCTACATCCTTTAAACTCTTAAAGTTTAAACTTAACCACATACACAATTCTATCACTAAGAAAATAAGTCTACTAGCTATGATAAACCCTAAGAATTTGTGGTCTATTGATCATTCATAGGATTCAAAAAAAATAAAAAAATAAAAAAGAATGTACGGGAATGTTTAAGACAAATTCGGCTTACAAAAAAATTGCTAAGTTGACTTTAGTGAAGCAAATTGGATTACATTAGAAATTTAAGTACTGAAACTATACCACAGTAACTTCTTGATGGATTATTTTGCAACAGAACTATTGTTTACTGCCTTGTGGCAGTTAGCAAGCCAAACTGCTCCACTTTTGTGGACTTATCCTCTCCTTTTTGATGTTTGTTTGTAGAACAAATACATTCAGCGCCCCACCTTTTAGGCAATCTCCATTCCACCATCACATATCATCATCTTAGGACTTTTTGCATGATCTTTTTTTGTCGTTTATTCTGTGCTGATTATACAAAAACTACGAATTTCTAATAAGTGGGCAGCCGAGGAAAGGAGCTAAAAATCCTTTAAAGATCCCATTTTGCTGACTCAAGAAATAGTTTGCTTGCCTTCAATCAGAGTGAAATTTTGGGCTTGTAAGTTTGGTGGGGTTGGCTGACTTCATTTGGTAAATTAGGTAGGTAATCCTTAATCCATCTCTTCTTGCTTTCTCTGTTTTGTCATTCATTCAAAGTTCTGTTCTTGACAGTTACTGTACATTGTTTAAAAATCCTAATTGTTAAACTTGATCATGGTAAGTTTTTGCTTTTCTAAGCATGTGGATTCCTGATTATATTTTGTTCAATGAATTCCGGTTATGGGTTACATGGGATTTCATGGGTTGACCTGATTTTCCATCCCTCTTTGAATGATTGAATTCTTAGCACTCAACCAGTTTCATTTTCATGGCGAAATTGTTCCTACTGCTTATCAATATTAATTACAAAATTTTGTTCTCATTTTTGCCTTTCTTTTCAATTCATCTTCTCCTCATCCTAAAGACACAATCTTTGAGCAAATTTTAGCTCCTTATACAGGTGTTTCTGTGTGAGTTAAGCTTTGAATGTTCTGTAATTTTTGGTTTGAAGCTTTTGAAATTTGTTTATCTGTTCACCAGTTTAGGCTGATGCAATGATCTCCTCTGTTTTGGTAGGATTTACTAGGCATACCTCCTTGGTTGATAACTTCTCCACTAGAAAGGGAATTATTGTCCAGTTTATTGAAGATGTATCTTGTGGAAAGCAAAGGAGGGGCCATAGCATGCATGCTGTTAGCTCTATTTTTCTTGGGAACATGGCCCGCCATTCTTACTTTGTTGGAGAGGAGAGGTCGTCTTCCTCAGCACACTTATCTTGACTACACAATCACTAACCTATTAGCTGCTGTCATCATTGCCTTTACTTTTGGAGAGATTGGGAAAAGCACCAATGCTAAGCCTAACTTCCTTGAGCAACTATCCCAAGTGAGTACTATTTATGGCTGATCAAATCATTTTTATGATTGAAACATAGATGATTAATCAGATAAACAAATTGAGCAAGTAATTCCTAGCTACTGCTTGGTGAATCGAATTGATCCCGCATTAACTTCCCTAAGAGTATTACTTTTGTGACTGAAAGAAGCCGTTTGATCTCGTTACATCTTGACAATGGCCTGAAAGTAGACTGAAAATTTTGTATCTCTACAGCTCCTTTGATTATTAGATGCTTTGATTATTTTGCTCAAGCTTAGTAACCTGTCAAATGTGCAGGCCCATGGTTTACTTTAATTTCTTAATTAAGTTTGATAATGCAGGATAATTGGCCTAGTGTTATGTTTGCAATGCTTGGTGGAGTAGTTCTCAGTCTTGGCAATCTAGCAACTCAATATGCCTGGGCATTTGTTGGGTTATCAGTTACTGAGGTGATCACTTCAAGCATGACTGTTGTTATAGGTAGCTTTTCGAAAAAAAGTATTCATTTGCCTTATTTGGGGGGAAGAAAATGCCAAAATGCTAAATTAACAACTGTATAATGTTGGTTGGAACAGGCACAACCTTGAATTACTTCTTGGATGACAAAATCAACAAGGCGGAAATACTTTTTCCTGGTGTTGCATGCTTCTTGATTGCGGTTTGTTTAGGCTCTGTTGTCCATGCATCAAATGCAGCTGATAACAAAGCAAAGCTTAGTAGTTACTCAATTGATTACGAAAAGGGGGAAGAGTATGTCTTTCTTCCTTATATTCACAACTTCGTTATCATTTATTTACGCTCGCTTTCTGATAAACGAAACCTTTGAAGGTTTAGGAATACATCTGCATCTCAACAAATGTCTTCGGATGGACAAGGTAAGAGTTTTTCAAGCTCCTTTCTACATCCTTTTGTTCATCTTATTCACAGGTGTCAGTTACTTAGTCTCTGACTCGGGACATGCGTAGGTGGAAACAATGATCTGGAGAACGGAAATGGCACCATGGGAAAGGCAGCATTTGGGACTGCTCATTTTCTTATTGAGCTTGAAAGCAAAAGGTCTATAAAGGTTGGTGATATTCATTGGAATTCTTGCATATTTCATATAAGCGAACTGCATGCATTCAGTATCTAATATCTGAGACAATACTGAGATGTTGTTACTTTTCTTGTTTGCGATTACAGGTGTTTGGGAAAAGCACGTTTCTTGGATTGGGAATAACTTTCTTTGCCGGAGTTTGCTTTTCCCTTTTCTCACCAGCTTTCAACCTGGCTACAAACGATCAGTGGCATACTTTAAAGGAAGGGGTTCCACACTTGAGTGTCTACACAGCATTTTTCTACTTCTCTGTCTCCTGTTTCGTTGTCGCACTCATTTTAAACATTACCTTCCTCTTCCGCCCTGTACTGAACACATCCAAATCATCATTTAAAGCCTATCTATCAGATTGGAATGGTAGAGGTTGGGCCTTATTGGCAGGACTGCTGTGCGGATTTGGGAACGGTCTCCAATTCATGGGAGGCCAAGCAGCTGGATACGCAGCAGCAGATGCTGTTCAGGCGCTTCCGCTTGTCAGTACCTTCTGGGGTATACTTATATTTGGAGAATACAGAAGATCATCAAGAAGAACATATTTATCTCTTGGAGGGATGCTGTTTATGTTCATTGTGGCTGTGGGAGTCCTCATGGCCTCTGCAGGGCATCGAAAATAACAATGTAGTTCGATAAGATTTGGAATACATTCAAATTGTTCATGAACTAGAACATTATACAGTTTATAGTCTATAGAGTCTACTGTCAATTCTTTCTTAAAGATTTAGTCACCCTTGTAAAAACTACTCCTCACTGTATCATGTATTAGACCTCTGCACAAACAAGGGGGGAAAAGAAAAAGAGGAACAATTAGACCAAAAGTCAGCACAAGATTGGCGGTTGATGTTAATCATGTCAACTATTTTCACCTGAATTGCAGTCTGAATAATCCAGCTAGTTAGTACTGAAGCTGCAAAAATAAGCCATTAATTATCAAAGTTAAAGCTACATGGCTAATGGCTAATGACTTAATCAAATTAGGCTGCATTGTAGTGCTAAAGGAACCAGGCTGGAACATTGTTGTAGTCAACTGCAATAAGAACAAAAGCAATCTGGTTAATATACCGCAATATAATCCCTCGTCTCCAATTCAGTAACAAAGTGGACTATTAAAATGGGACGAAGGAATACATTTCAGATAGAGATTTCCATTGATACTTCCTTCACATGAAAATTATTCCTCGATCCGACCTGTGTTGAGCTGGACAGATTAGAAAATGAGTAGTGATGATTCCTAGGCCTCAAAATCATTGCATTTTTTTAGTGTCACAGCTCCTCAAATTTAATGTTTAATTGAGGCAGTTTTGCATTCTCCAAGTTCTGATCTTTATCAGTATTCAGTAATCGTATCATCTTTAGCAATAATCAGAATGGCCTATGATTTAACTTTCAACTTTTAAGGAAAATTTTCATGGCAGTTATTTGCTTTTTTGTCGTTTACTTTTCCCGGTTGAAGTACAAAATTATAAAACTGGGAGGCTACTGAACGCCCTAATTTTTTTATTTGAACGCCCTAAAAAATCTCAAAAAGACTATTTTGCCCCTGAATTCATATTTTTTTTTAAAAAAAAGGGTGTAAGCGATGGAGTACTGCGCCAGCCGTGAAAGGCTGGCGCAGAAGAAATGCGCCACCCTTATAAGAAATGCACCACCCTCGCCATATATTTTTTTTTAGGGGCGTGTACGTTTTTTTCGTGCGTTCAAATGAAAAAATTAGGGTGCTCAACAGCACGATCCTTATAAAATGGTCAGCTGTGCCACCTTTTTGGGAAGCTCCATTCTGCATTTCCCATCATAGTACTATTTTATCATCCTTACTCCTCCCTCCAAATCTCTTTTGGATTATCTGTCTTGTCCTTTTGTCAGACTTTCTTCTTTTCTTACTTACCAATTTCTATTAAGGGCACTTGAATGGAGCTGAAAAATCATACCTGCAAGTAAAGATACCTTTCGGTTGACTACAGAAATTAGTTGGCTTTGGCCTTGATCACAGTTTATGTACTTTGCCCGGTTGTGGGATTCACCAAAACTGTGGTATATTGTGGTGTCTCAGTTGGATAACTAGAAAGGTAATGCAACCCATCTCTTCCTATTTTATCAGTCAATTGGTAAATCTTTTGCTAACTGTTGTTATCCTAATTTGTTCGTTCTGTGAGAATGTAGATTCAAGATTCTACCTTTGCTATGTAGTCAGGCTTTGTTTGGGTTCATGGAATTTCATGGGTTGACTTGATTTGACATCACTTCACGTTTGAAAGATTGGACTTTTAAGACTCGGTTAGTTCCATTTTCATGTAGAAATGGTTTCCGAGTACTTATAATTATGAATATTTGATACAGATTTGTTCTTTTCTTCCACTTCAATCCATCAGGCATCAGCTACTCTATTTGTTCTTAAAAATGCAGTCTTTTAGCTACTTTTGCTGAACACGCACCGTGTTTGGTGCTGCTTTTACATGTTCACTGATTTTGGTTTGAAGCTTTTGGAATGATCTTATCTTTCCACTTTCGCAGGATTTTCTGGGCATTCCTTGAAGATGTATGTGGTGGAAAGCAAAGGAGGGGCCATAGTATGCATGCTTCTGGCTCTTTTTTTCTTGGGAACATGGCCTGCCATTATAACTATGTTAGAAAGGCGAGGTCGTCTTCCTCAACACACTTACCTTGATTACACAATCACTAATCTATTGGCTGCTGTCATCATAGCCTTTACTTTTGGTGAAATTGGGAAAGGAACCAGCGCAAAGCCTAACTTCCTTGAGCAGTTATCACAAGTGAGTACTGTTTACGGCTGAGGAATCCCTTGTTGTAATGTCAAACAGATATTTACTTAAAGCGTGATTAACACAAGTAACATTGTCTAATTTGCTAAACAAATCAATCAAGTGATCCCTGAATGCTGCTTAGAATATCTTATCTCAATTTTCAAATACTATGTCTGTTTTAGGTGTCCTGATCCTGGAATGGAAAAAATGGTACAATGTAATTATTCCCTGAGCAATGTGCTTAGAAAATGGTGAGCCAGTGCTTCTAGGTCTTGTTTGATACTACTTCCGTGTGACTGGCACCTATGTATACATCCTCTTCTCTATTCAGTTTTGCAATGTAGTTCTATTCAGTTTTGCAATGTGGGTTTGACCCTAACCTTGTTCAACAAGTGCAGCATTATGTTGCATTAACAATGAAAACTAAGCCCTTGTCCCACTATGTAGAGTTGGAGAATGAGTCATATTGGATTGAACTTTCAAATTAATTCGTCTCTTGAGCTTTGATTGAATGAAGATCTTCAGTTGCATGACAGTGATACTTTATTTGATGCATCTTGCCTTTATTGATTAAATTACATTCCAGGAAGCTAGTAAAATATGGTAATCCCGTATTTGTTTTAGGTAGTTTATCGACAATTACATCAAAGGTTCTATACATTGCATCTCATGGCTGGGAGCTGACAGTCTTTCTGATGTGGAGAAAGACTTCCTTATGTTGGGTCATCATAGTTCCGGTCATAAGAGTGTTGATTGTTTTGGTCAAGTTTTGTGGCCAGTTGAAAGCGCGGGCCTATCATTTGCATTTGCTTTTTCATAATTAAGGCTGCATTTGATAATGCAGGACAATTGGCCTAGTGTTATGTTTGCAATGGCTGGAGGAATAGTTCTCAGTCTTGGGAATCTGGCAACTCAGTATGCCTGGGCTTATGTTGGTTTATCAGTGACAGAGGTGATTTGTTCGAGCGTGACTGTTGTTATAGGTATCTTTTCTCAACATCATTCTTCGCATATTACGAAGAGTGACTTCATCAAGATATTAATTTAGCCATTGTATTTGCCCTCCTGTAACAGGCACAACACTCAATTACTTTTTAGATGACAAAATCAACAAGGCCGAAATACTTTTTCCTGGTGTTGGATGCTTCTTAATTGCTGTTTGTTTTGGCTCTGTCGTCCATTCATCAAATGCAGCCGATAACAAATCAAAACTTAATGGTTATTCAACTAATTATGGAAAAGAGAAAGAGTATGCTTTTGTGATTCATATGATAATCTTCTGTCTTCACCAAAAAAAAATCAAAATGATGCCGATAATTTCTGATTGTTTTTCTGTCATTCATTCTCTCTCTCTCTGATAGCAGTGCAAACTAAACCTTTTCAGGTTGAAGAGTATTTCTGTGTCTAAACAAGCATCTTCAGATGATGCACTAGGTACAAAAGTTTTGGACGTTCATTCTGCATTTTGTCACTCAGTATATTACATAACTTTTGACACTTTACATAGTTGACAGCAAAGATCTGGAGAATGGGAATGGCTCTTTGGAGAAAGCATCTTTTGGGACTGCACATTTTCTGATTGAGCTTGAAAACAAAAGGTCTATAAAGGTTGGTGATATTCATTGGAAGTGTAAAATGTTTCAGATAACAAACATGCATATATTTTTCTGCTCTAGAAATTAGCCTCTCAATTGATCATGTCTCCATAAAAACCAGGTACTCCTTTACTTTTAGGACCAAGTTTTTATATTATCTTTAGCGCTGGTTACCTTCGCAGATCAGCACACTGCAGGATGCTTTTGCTTGTTGTGTTCTTTGCGTTTAACTGATCCAACAAAATGAAAATGGTCATGTTTCATTGTATTAACATTCTGCAAGAGATTTCCTCAAAAAAAAAAAAAAAAAAAAAAATCTGCAAGAGAAGGAATCTTGTTTTAACAAATATCATTTCTATAATGAGTTTGTTACTTTCTTGTTTGCGATTACAGGTGTTTGGAAAGAGCACATTTCTGGGATTGGGAATAACTTTCTTTGCTGGTTTTTGCTTCTCACTCTTCTCACCAGCCTTCAACCTGGCTACAAATGATCAGTGGCACACCCTTAAAGAAGGAGTTCCTCATTTGAGTGTATACATAGCATTTTTTTACTTCTCAGTCTCGTGCTTTGTCGTTGCAATCATTTTAAACATAAGCTTCCTTTTTTGCCCTGTGCTGAACACATCCAAGTCATCGTTCAAAGCCTACCTATCAGACTGGAATGGCAGAGGTTGGGCCTTATTGGCAGGACTTCTGTGCGGATTTGGGAACGGTCTGCAGTTCATGGGAGGCCAAGCAGCTGGATATGCAGCAGCAGATGCTGTTCAGGCACTTCCGCTCGTGAGTACTTTCTGGGGTATACTTATATTTGGAGAATACAGAAGATCATCAAGGAAAACTTATTTGTCTCTTGGAGGGATGCTGTTTATGTTCATTGTGGCTGTTGCAGTCCTTATGGCCTCCTCAGGGCACCGGAAATAACAATGTAGTTTGATATGATTGAAATATACGCGCAGAATTGTTGAATCCAATATCATCAAGTGTACAGCTGCATAGAGAGGCATAGAAATGGAAAGCAGGTGGATTAGACATGTTCAAAATTGGCAATGTAGACTTCAACATTTCTTCCAAAGTTTCTGGAGACTATATATTAATGGTCAGGTCCTATCACTCAGTTCACCAATATCCTGGTGTTAAAATATCCCAAAGATTCATAGTATGAAAGATGCTTGATTGATATGGTAACATTTTATACCAGATCTTGGCTGTGGTTTCAGCTATATTCCCGCTTCAAAGTGAAAGTAGTTCAGCAAAACAATGAAAAAACGCCTGAATATTCCACATCAGTCCATGACTCCATTCAGTTGTTAGATTAGGAGTTTTTTTTTTTCCACCTCTTTTTCTAAAGATTTCAAGTTTTCTTTGAACATAATGCACCCAAATAATTACATATTAATGCTAGTGCCATACTGCTATTCGCACTTAAAAATAACAAGTTGCCGGCAAATGAAGAGTTTTTTTTTTTTTTTTGTCCTTTAAATTTCTTACCTTATTGGGAAGCTCCATTTTCTGCATTTCACATCTTTAATCATCATCCTTTGGACTTCCCACTTTAAAGTTTAACTCTTTCATCTACCTTGTCTTTTTGTATGTCTTTTGAGTATAATTATACGTACAAACTCACTCCACCATGTAATTTATCTAAAGACTCGCCTTTGCTTTTCCATGGAATTTGTAGCCTAGTATTACTTCTTGGTGTTATATGATACCAGAATAATTCTTCACGTCTTCTGTATTCCTCTTCAATCTGTAAGCCACTTCATTTCTTCTAAAAGCACAATCTTTTTATAATACTTTGTATAGATGCTGCTTTTAAGAAGTTCAGTAATTCTGTTTTGAAGGTTGTAGAACAATCTGATCACCCATGTTGATTAGGATTTTCTGGGCATTTTCTTTGACAGAAGCATCTCCAGGAAAAAGGGATTCCTGCCCAGTTGGGGTCTATTGAAGATGTATGTGGTGGAAAGCAAAGGAGGGGCCATAGCTTGTATGCTTTTAGCTCTGTTGCTCTTGGGGACATGGCCAGCCATTGTGACTCTGTTAGAAAGGAGAGGTCGTCTTCCTCAGCACACTTATCTTGACTACACAATCACTAATTTTCTGGCTGCTGTTATCATAGCTTTTACTTTTGGAGAGATTGGAAAAGGCACCACTGGAAAGCCTGATTTCCTTGAGCAAATATCCCAGGTTAGTAGTTGTACATTTCTTTGTTACTCAGCAATCCCTTATTCCTATTATTTTCCTTTTACTGTTTTCTTCATTAAGATTAAATTTGATGATGATTCAGGATAATTGGCCCAGTATTATGTTTGCAATGGCTGGCGGTGTATTTCTGAGTCTTGGAAATCTTTCAACTCAATATGCCTGGGCTTATGTTAGTCTATCAGTGGCTGTTGTGATCTGTTGCAGCATGGTTGTCGTCATAGGTTGGCTTTTTGGGATATTATTCCTTTTTCTTATTCTGAAGAACAATGACTTTATGAAGATGCTAATTTAGACATTGCATTTTGTGGAGTTCAATAGGCACAACCCTGAATTACTTTCTAGATGACAGAATCAACAAGGCGGAAATACTGTTTCCCGGCGTTGGATGCTTCTTGATTGCTATTTGTTTAGCTTCTGTTCTCCATTCGTTAAATGAAGCAGATAACAAAGCAAAGCTTAATAGTTATTCAACCACTAAACGCAAAAATGGGGAAGAGTAAGTCTTTCTTCCTCGCATAAAATTATTGGGACCTCGTTATCAGTGATTCGTGCGCGCCCTGTTGCTGATAGTTGCATCACAAACTACATGTTTTCAGGTTGAAGAGTATCTCTTTGTCTAAACAGGCATCTTCAAATGATGCACTAGGTATAGAGTTTTTGAGCCTTCATTCTGCATCTTGTTTTCCTCGTCTCATCTTCTGCACTGTATTACTTACTTTCTGACACTGGAGAAATGTAGTTGGTAATGATGATCTGGAGAATGGGAATAGCAATCCGGAAAAGGCGGCCTTTGGGACTGCGCAATTCCTTATCCAACTAGAACACAAAAGGTCTATCAAGGTTGGTTATATTCATTGGAAATGTACCATAATTCTGATAACAGACAAGCCTGGGTTTCCCCTCGACCTGGTTTATAATCCTTAACTCAATTATACATCCTATTGGATGATTGTTGAGTGTTGTCAACACTTTTTCTTGGTTGCGAATGCAGGCGTTTGGAAAGAGCGCGTTTTTGGGATTGGGAATAACGTTCTTTGCTGGACTCAGCTTTTCCCTCTTCTCACCAGCCTTCAATCTGGCTACAAATGATCAATGGCACACTCTAAAAGAAGGGGTTCCTCACTTAAGTGTTTACACTGCATTCTTTTACTTCTCACTCTCCTGCTTTGCCCTTGCACTCATTTTGAACATCACTTTCCTCTTCCGCCCGATACTCAACACTTCAAAGTCCTCATTTAAAGCCTACCTATCAGACTGGAATGGCAGGGGTTTGGCATTATTGGCAGGACTTCTGTGCGGATTCGGGAATGGTCTACAGTTCATAGGAGGCCAAGCAGCAGGATATGCTGCAGCAGATGCCGTGCAGGCTCTTCCACTTGTGAGTACTTTCTGGGGTATAGTTTTATTTGGTGAATACAGAAGATCGTCAATGAGAACATATTTGGCTCTTGGGGCAATGCTGTTTATGTTCATTGTGGCTGTTGCCGTCCTCATTGCCTCTGCAGGGCATCGGAAATCGTAGTTTGAAATATTAAGAATACACACAAAATTATTGATAAGCAAGAAAAATGCGAAATCACTAAATTACATTGGCTAGTCAAATATATGGCCAAGTGACCACTATAGGTGTAAGTTGCATTAACTGAATTCATATTTGTGGAAAAAATGAGGAATTAGTTCCGTTGGTTAATTATGATGGTCCCCTAAGCAGAAGAAAATTGAGAAAAGGAGAATGCAATTTCCTGAGCATATATACATTTGTCAGTTCTTCCATATGCTTTTTGACCAATATCATTTCCGTTGGCAAAGATGACAGAAATCTGAATATACGCCTGGGGAGCAGTATATCTAGGCAAAATCAGGAAAATCTTAACTGTTCTCATTCAACTTTGCGATTCGAAGAGGCCAGTGTCCAGTTAGCCTTCCAGGTTACAGATGGTGAAAGAAGCCGTTCTGTTCTCCATCCGGAGGTTTGAAGCTGGTATAGTATCACAAAAGAGATAATCAGTAAAATTTAACTAGAAGTAGAAGGTACTATATAAGATAGAATTTCCATTACACAACCGTTTCACAACAAACCACGAAGACCAATGAAAGTACCTTCAAAAGAAAGATGTCATAGTTAGTATTAATCCATTGTTGACTCTCCGAATGAGCAGAGCTGCCTCCGTCAACAAGTTTCGCCATGACGAGTGAATGAATGAATGCTTTCAAGACATCTGCAGCAGTGGAGCCTTTGTGCATTACAATGCTGATTACTCCTCTTTTATTAAGCAACAAATACTTAGCTGCAAGAACCAATGAAAGAGATGAGCCATGTTCACTCACGAATCATTTCAGGTTGACAAGGTTAAGAAATTTTAACCTTTCTTGTAATGAGATGTAGCCAAACGCGACAGTTCTCCCCTGTTTCACAAACAAAAAACGTCATGTAAACCCAAGAAAAGAGAAAAAGGGGGGAAGAAGACTAACACCCACAAATACTTCTATTGGGCACCACAATCAGGGATCAAATTTAAGGGACATACAGATATTTGTTCGTGTTGCATCTCCTTTTCTCATGGTCAGTTGAAAATTTATCTTTTATAACCAAGATATTTGACTCTGTAACTGTAAGTGAAATTTAGAACTTACAAGTCATCATTGTTGAGTGAAGATATCCGGACATCCATGCGCACACGTGAATGTAAACAGTTGACTTTTGAGCTCCAAGGAGTGAGCCAGAGTGGCAAAATTCGCTCCAAACTTGAGACCTCTTTTGGGGAGAGAACTAGCCAGGAGTCCCATGAATAATTTAAATATTTAGTAAACCAATGGAAAACATAATTTATAAGAAGCCCTAATGCAGATAAAGCCTTGTTGAGAGTAAACAGCGATAAAACTTTCAATGCTGAAAGATTCAGAAATGGCACGAAAGAGTCAGTATGACTAAACAGGCTGAATAGGTTGGCTACAAAGAGAAGAACTATTTGGTTTCTATGTCATTTTACACCCACAGGAAAAGTCATACATATTATTTCATCATAAACATGATCACCCAAAGGAAGGCTTGACTCATACTGTTCTATGCTCCATGATCTTGTTGAGTACTGGACCAATGTGGTAATAAGTAAATAAAAGTGGAATACTATTTCTTTTTCAAAAAAAAGAGGGGAGAGAGAGAGAGAGAAACGAGAACTAACCTTGCCCGTTCTTGAAGAATTCCAAGAAAACAGTTGAGCTTCTTTGGCAGTTGAGTGTAATAAGAGAAAGACAACTAACAGCCCTATAATTTGCTGCAAACATAAACGTAAAACAAACAAAAAGATTCAATTTTATTTAATCTACGAAGGAAACTAAAAAAAAAATGAAGAAGGAAGTGTTCACGTGAATATATTAATATGTTTAGATTGTAAAAGAAACAAAACTAACCATACATATGAAACAAGGTTAGGGACAAGAAACATATCCATATAGATAGAGAATGTCCCATTGTGATGTGTGCAAGGATCATTCCAAAAGCCATCCCAATCATTGTTGCAACTGTCTCTTGGCTTCCTTCCTGTCAAGGAGGAAAGAAAGGTAAAAGCGAATTGAGATTCTATGTCACAGTTTACCAAAAACAAAAAAAGATTCTATGTCACACTGCTGATTTGTTACCAATCACTTTATTTTTGCAGCCTATACCTTTGCGGATATGTCGGCTGCATTATTCTGGAGAGCAAAATGCTGCGTCAATGCAGCTCGAGTGGCTCCACTAGCAACACCAGCTAGAGAAAACAAAAATGACTTGGTAACAGGAATTCAGGATGAAAATAGTCATGAAAGCTCAGCCAATTTTAACAGAAAGATCAGGTGTTGAAGTCATGAACAAAGCAAACCAGAGAAGATCGGAAGAATAAAAATCATGATGGGTCTTGTTATTTTCCTTCCAGCAGTTAATTTTCTTTCATGTTTATACTCTTGTTAGTACATCATCAGTAAGTTAGCTTCAGCTTGCAAACAGATTAACCATTTGCCTCAGGTCAAACAAGATTATTTCAAAAATTGCACATCCATATAAGTAAAGATTGATTCGCCATGTTGAGACTTACTAAAAGACCTGGATAAACTCCCAAGGCAAACAACGAAAATAAATGCGGAAGGGAAGAGTGGAGAAAGAAGATCCATCAACATTCCTGCACCCAAAGCCATTAAGATTCCTTATCATCTGTTATGTTGAGTGACCAAATAAAATCGAATAAACTTAGGACCATGAAAATTGTAATAAAACGGACTGAAATCTAGACCCCGTGGTATAATCACATATATACCTTGGAATTAACCAAAGGTGGACGACAGACATAGCAATTCAATTTATTTAGCCTCATTACATGCTTCAGAGCTGCACAATTGAATTTTCCTACATATTGAATTTCATACCAGTCACTCGTCAATAAGCAGTTCAGAAAATTATTTAAAGTTTATTTTTCCAAAGATATGGATGACCAAATGGTAAAAGAACACTTCTTGGAGTTGGTGCATAGACTATATCACTATGACATTGACAACTTATTTCTTTCCTTTTTCTTTCCTGATGTAGCAGTACAATAAGCAATGTACCATTCTAGCATCCTATAGTACAAAAATGTACAAAAGCGACAGATCCCACAATCAGTCTATCAGTGTCTCGATGATTTTTAGTATCCGATGAGGAAAAAGAACAGACATTATTAGTACCTAGATCATTCATAAAATCTGCAACTAAACGCCACATTTTTGCATTGCTGTCCAAATTTGAACCCTGCAATATGTCTGCCATATTAGAACCAGTCTTTACAGAACATTATTGAAACTAAGCCATGAGAAGTCTATAATATAACAACAATGTGCCTCAGTAAGACATGAAAAAGTGTATAATGTAACAACTAAGCTCAAATGTATTAGGATGCAGGAAACAAAATAAATGTCACAGATTTATGCATATAATCCTTCTAACAAGAGTAAGCACAATGGATACTGGTCAAAGAAGTGAACTTTAAGCAGTACAGAAGTCAATAAAAAAAGGGATACTGGTCAAAGAAGTGAACTTTAAGCAGGGAAGAAAAAAAACCATAATCAATACGAAGAATAGGAAAAGAAAAGCAGAATAAATACCTGGTAGCATGTGAACAGAATACCACCAAGCATTCCGGTTAAATCCCTCAGAAACCACTGTGTATTTTCCCCAGAGTAAGAAACTTCACAACAGAAGCATGAAAAGCTGCTGTGAACCCTTTAAAGGAAAAAATACTAGAGACACTATATATTACCTGAAATGTAGCCCCAATTACAGTAGCTGACTTCTCCCCAACCCCAATGGCACTCAAAAGAGCCTACAAAAAAGCACCGGATAGTACCACAATTACCATGTGTTTTAAAGCATATAGAGAAAATAATATATGCTGCCTAATTACTTACCTGGGTTGATAACATTGTGCGGATATACGTTGAGAGACCCTGAACAGAACATATGCGGTAAGATTAAGTGATGGAGAAAGAAGACAAAAGTGGATGGGACACAAAAAGCACGGTTTTAAACTCACCTGTAATAAGTCCCATACTTGAAAAGGAACGTAGTCTGGGGTTACACTGTTAGGAAATCCCTGCATTTTCACACATTAATGTCAATATTTTCAGTAAGGAGAGGGAAAGAAAAAAAGAGATAATCTTGGAGAACTAATTTGAATACCTTCCTCAACAAGCAGTCTCATAACTATTAAAAAACCTGTGTCCTCAAATTTCTACCTTTCAAAATATATCTTTCTTGGTTAATCCTTCTTCCCCAACATTGTAATCCAAATACTCAAGCATCCAATCAAAGAACAGTACAATAGTAAACTAAAAAGTAGGAATTTTGGATGATTAAACACATAGAAGTCTGTCACAAATTATCATTCTTCACTTCATTGGGTCCGCGCATTGGATGTACTAATCAAATTTTCAAACCGATAGAACCGGACCAAAAAAATGTTTTTGGATTCTGATCAACCTTAGATCACAATAGCAAGCACGGATTAATAATCATCAACAAAAAAGGAAAAAAATGGTGCAGTTGTTGATCCTTTTTTAAAGCAAAATAACAATAAGCAATGTGGAACTGATACACTCGCAAAGTTGAAGTTGATTACAGAAACCCCTAAAAAATGAAAGAAAGAGGCACACTTAAAACTCCAAAGTAGAGGACAAATGATACAAGTAAAATTACAGCGAGAAGGTAAGTGTATGCTTGCCTCAGGTACAAATGCTTGGAGAATTCTGCCAGAGATATGACTAAATTGGCTGCTTGATTTCTGAATGGAAGGAGCTGAAGAAGAAGAAGACGAGGAAGTGGGTTTTTTGTGAGGGATCGTTATGGTGGCTGTTTTGGTAAGTTTTGATGATGCAATCCCGTTCCATTCTTCCAGCACCACCAAATCTGCTGTCTCCGACTCCATTTGCCCAGCTTTCCCTCCTCAATCTCAGTATTTTTCAGTCAACTTTTTGTTGTCTTTTCAATCGGAAGAGAAGATTGTACTCGGAAATATTGGGCTCTGAATTTGTTTTGAGTTTTGACTTCAACCAACTGGGCTGCAATGAAAAGTAGCTTATTCTTTTAGTTGTCCTGAAGATTGGGCTTTATATTTTCAGCCCTTCTGCTATTAATTTACTTTAGTCTTCTTCTTTGATCCTTTCCAATATGATCTTCTTCTTTCTTCAGTAAATCCTTCCTTCCTGCCACTCTTTGCTTTGAAGTAGAAGAATTAAGTATGTGGAGGAGAACTCTGTCTTTGATTTCAAGAAGACATTTTTCCTCAGAACCGGAGATTGTACCACTTTATTCATTCTTGCAGCCTTCAATTTTCGCGTTAAAGAGATCAAACGAAGCCTCCACAAATCCCTTTCAGAAATCCCGAGAACCCACTTCTCAAACTCTAACTCAAGATCACAAAAACACCCTTGAGTCCTCTCTTCAATCCGCTCTTGTTAGTAAAAATACCGATGAGGCGTGGAAATCTTTCAAAACCCTGACTAACTGCTCTTCTTTCCCCAGTAAGTCACTCATTAATTCTCTAATTTCCCACTTGTGCTCTTTGAATGAAACCCATAATCTCAAAAGGGCATTTGCATCTGTTGTTTATTTGATAGAGAAGAATCCGGAGCTTTTAGAATATGGAACTCTAGAGACCCTTTTGAATTCTATGAAAAATGGGGGCAATGCTGCCCCTGTTATTGCATTGGTTAAATGCATGTTCAAGAACAGATTTTTCGTGCCTTTTAGTTTCTGGGGTGGAGTTTTGATTGATGTTAGTAAGAAGAGTGGAAGTCTTGTTCCGTTTCTGAAAGTTTTTAACGAGAATTGTAGGATTGCAGTTGATGAAAAGTTAAATTTTCTGAAACCTAATTTGGCAGCTTGTAATGCTGCATTGGAGGGTTGTTGTCATGAGCTTGAATCTGTCAGTGAAACAGAAAGAGTTCTGGAGATGATGTCTGTATTAGGTATCAGGCCTGATGAATGTAGTTTTGGATTGCTTGGTTATTTGTATGCTTTGAAGGGACTAGACGCAAAAATTTCTGAATTGGAGATATTGATAGATAGATTTGGGCTTTCTGATAGAAGAGTCTTCTTCAGTAAATTGATTAGCGGGTATATGAAGTCAGGTAACTTGGATATGGCTTCAAAAACTATTCTACGTAGTCTCAAAGAAGCAGGTGAAAAACTTCTGTGTTTTAGTGAAGAAACATATGGTGAAGTAGTGAAAGGATATCTTCAGAAGGGGAGCACAAAAGTTTTGGCCAACATGATTATTGAAGCTCAGAAATTGGAATCATCGGCAGTCTCAGTTGAGAAATCTATTGGATATGGTATTATCACTGCGTGCGTTAACAATGGTTTTTTGGATAAGGCACACAGCATCCTTGACGAAATGAATGCTCAGGGAGCATCTGTTGGGCTTGGTGTATATACACCTATCTTGAAAGCTTATTCTAAGGAGCAACGAACGGCTGAAGCGGCACAATTGGTTGAGGAGATCAATAGCTCAGGGCTACAGTTGGATGTTAGTAGCTACGATGCTCTGATTGAGGCATCTATGTTGTGCCAAGATTTTCAATCAGCCTTTTCTCTGTTTAGGGATATGAGAGAAGCAAGAGTGCCTGATCTCAAAAGCAGTTATTTGACTGTAATGACAGGTTTAACAGAAAGCCATCGACCTGAACTCATGGCTGCATTCTTGGATGAGGTCGTTGAAGACCCTCGGGTTCAAGTTGGTACACATGATTGGAACTCAATTATCCATGCTTTCTGTAAGGCTGGGAGGTTGGAAGATGCCAGGAGGACATTGAGGAGGATGACATTCCTTCAATTTGAACCTAATGAACAGACTTATCTTTCACTCATTAATGGGTATGTGGCTGCAGAAAAGTACTTCTGTGTCTTGATGCTTTGGCATGATGTGAAAAAAAAGGTTCCAGTTGATGGGGAGGCGAAGTTCAAATTTGACAATCACTTGGTTGATGCCTTCCTATATGCTTTGGTTAAGGGAGGTTTCTTTGATGCTGTTATGCAAGTTGTGGAGAAAGCCCAAGCAATGAAGATCTTTGTTGATAAGTGGAGATACAAACAAGCATTTATGGAAACTCACAAGAAACTCAAGCTGTGGAAGTTGAGAAAAAGAAACTCTAAAAAAATGGAAGCAGTAATTGCCTTCAAGAACTGGGCAGGTCTAAATGCATGATAAACCTTTTTGTCAAGCTCACTTAGCTTGCAGAATGTTCCTACGGAAGTGCTTCTGGATGTACCATCCACATGATACATAATGTTGCATGGAGGAAACTTATATGGTTCTGGTTGGACTATGATGCTGAAAGAAAAATCTACTTGTGAAGGAATCTATTGGCTGCTTCCTTTAGTATAAAAGTATTAAGGCCATGTTTCTTCACCCAGGTGCTGTTGAATATTTTAGGAAGGAAGTAGCCTAGCACGACTTAGATTCTTGCTTGTTTGTTTTGTTTCATGTTCACAGCATAGTTCAATCTGTCAAATAATGGCTGGTGCCATGAGCAAAAGAGATGATCTTAGTTGAACATGCAAAATGAAAATGGGGCTAGGATGAAGCTGCAATTGTAAAATTAGTGGTATCTGAAAGGTGGGCCACTCTGATAGGAAACTCCTGCGTATCTGAGCTTTCTTTGATCATTTCGGTGGGTTCCATTTCTTTTCTGTAGATATGTTTTCGTAAATGAGCCATGTGTTTTACTGACCAAGTTAAGATGGTGATTAAATTTTTCCGTGGTTATTTCTAGCTTTCCTTGCTAAGTTGTGGATCAATGAATAGAGAGCTTGGACAATGGCTCCTGTTTGCAACTTAAATGTATGCTGAAAGAGGAAGCTTTTAGCTAGCAAATCTGAAAGCTTTTAGGGCACACCAAATTGCTTTTGAGCTAGAACCCATAATGTATACTGGCTCTGCTTTTGAGGATCTTTGACAATATATAACTCCACCGAAAAGATCACTTTCTTGCCACTGTTTTAGAGGACATTTGTTTCTTATCTTCTTTATTGTATTGCTCCATATCTAGTGCAAAACAACTATTTCTTCCAGGTTCATCAATGTCTTCTCTATTGCCCATCTTGCTGCAAGTTTTTGTGTTCCTCCTCTTGTCTCAACTGCTTCAGGCTAACCATGCCATTCCCAGTATCGTTCCACTCAATGGTACATGTCATGATACTTGTGGAAGAATCCCGATAAAGTTTCCATTTGGTTCTGGATATGGTTGTGGGCATCCTGATTTTGCTAGATATATCAGATGCAATTCCGGGGTGCTACAGTTCTCCACCGGCACCGGCATTTACACTGTATCTTCAGTAGACTACTCAAGCAACACCATTTTGATCACAGATCCCTGGATGTCAACATGTTCTTCAATGCAGAACTCAGGAAGCTTCAGATTAGATCGTCAAAGTCCATTCAGTATAACTGCAGACAACATCTTTGTTCTTCTAGGTTGCTCCACGACGTCTCCAGTCTTCGACCGGAATGAAGATTTATGCGATACCGGTTCAGGGTCAAACATATGTAGAGGCTTGTATTCTTGCAATGCAGTGACTGGGATAGGGTTGGAGCCAAATGCACCAATATCCACCTGTTGCGTGTATGAACCTCCTATTCCGGTTGGTTCAGGTTATGGTTTAGATCTCCCTAAGCTCCAATGCTCTTCGTATTCATCATTGTACGGGTTTGGAGGTGACGAAGGAAATCCAATGAAATGGCAATACGGGATTCCCTTGCAGTTTAATGGCTCATATTATTCGGATTCATGCAAGAATTGCGAGGACAGTGGAGGATTCTGTGGTTTTTCTGGTTTCAACCAGTCATTTGCTTGTATTTGCCGAAATGGAATGAACACTACAGTCAATTGCTTCGGACGAGGTTTGTTCATTTCAGCCTGATTAATTTATACAGTACGCCGGCACTGTCTTGAACTTAATGTTTGTCTTGTTGATTTGATCAGCATATGCTTGGAGTGGGACATGGAGATGCATTATTCAAACCAAATTAAATCTTGGAGGTAAAAAGGCAACAACTCCCTTCCAGTTTTTCTTCCTTTGATGCTTTCTTTTTCAAAGACCAAAAAGTCTACTTTTGACAAAAGATAGTGGATAAAGTTGACATGCTCTTAAAATTTACACTACCTTTTCCCCCATTTTGTGGCCCTGTTTCTGCAAGAGATTTTAAAGCAAGAAAAGCTCCTTAATTTATAGCTTTTGAAGCCTTTGTGAAGGAAACCTGCCTCTTTTTCTCTTTGGAATTTTGATTTGTCATGTTAATCCTTATCTTAATCTAATATTGAACTTATTGACATTTCAGCTCCTTTTCTTTGAACCCTTAGTCATTCCGAGCCTTCTTCCTGATGACAATGCTGTGTGCTCTTTTGTTTATGTTTTCAGGATTCTTGGTCTTATTGGTGGCATTCTTCATTTGAAGAAGCAACATTCTCATTGTTCACTATGGCAATTGGAAGAGTTGCTGATAATTAGAAGAGATCTTGTCTTAGATATGCATATTTCTAGTTTGTTTTTTTTTTTTCCTTCCCCCTTTTCCTTCAGATTGGATTAGTTTCTTTTTTGACACACTGGATATTACTGTTTCCCCTTTCCATTCTCAATTCTGGGTACTGCATGTGGAAACCACTCATGTTTCAGTGTTCACACAACAAAAACTGACTTCTTTCATCTCTATTAATAGTAAATGTTCACATTATGCTCATCTCTCTTGTCAATGTGAACAATGATCTTTGTCAAAATCTAGTACAAAAACTGGAATATTGTTCTGGAAATGAAAAAAATTGATGACCAACAAATGAGATCATCAGATGCAAAAATTTGTCCCCACCATTGAGACCAATAATCCACACCCAACTCCTCAATCATGACTTCCGACCAACTGAATGCACTAACAACATCTTACAAAACATTGTGGATGTAAGTAACTTGCCATTGTCGTAACCATTTTTATACATACCCAAGGACTATGTGCTCTTATTTTGTCAGCCTACTAATTTAAGTCTAAAGGAACCAAAGTTTCCAACATTTTAGATTCAGAAGAATGGAAATTTGAAAAGATAACGTATCTCAATTTCTTTCTTTCTTAATCCGAATGATTCCTTGATTATTCCCTTTTAGACCATGTCCATGTGGGCAAAGTTTTTTAAAAAGCTTTACACAATTAGAAAACAAGTCGAGAATTCTTTCTGACATAAAAGTTGCCCTGAATTCCCTCACTATTAACAACGATGACTTCCTTGAAAAGCGGTCGTTAATGGCATCTTCTAAGAAAGATTCCACAAAAATTCTTCAACTCTCGAAGAATTAGATGTGTTTTTTAACTGAAATTTGATCCCTTTCAATTCAGTCCCTTTTCTTTGTTGGGTTGGATTCTGTGTTTTGTGTTTTTCAGTCATCTTATCCTAAACATCAACAGAAGGATCACGGCCACCTTTTCAACTTCGCTTGGGCATAAAAAAAAAACAAGCTTGGTTGGTGATCAGTTGACTTCAAGGCGAGTTCATTTCTCCTCCCTTCAATTTGACTGTTCACTGAGTTCATGCATGTTCATCTTTGGCATCAAAGTTGCTGAATTAGAATGTACTTTGCTTTTCACTTGAACTGAAACTTGCAGACGAAGAATTTCAGCCATATTTTGATGTGGGCTTCCTTGAATTTATGCTTGGAGCAGTTCCTTGATTTTCTGATGGTTTTTAATATGCTTGGTTTTTCCTAAGTCAAGGTGTCATAAAAAAGTTGCAAACTTTGTTGTAGGAATCTAGGAAGCTGTATTATCTGTTATGGGATGACGGCATTATGCATTGAAGAATTTTCCTACAATGTTTCAGGTTTCAACTGAAGTGCAATGCAACCTTTCTTGATTTTGCCTGCAATTTTGTGGGTTCTATTGACCTCTCAAGGGGTGAGATCCCATGGGGTTCATCCGTTTGCCAGGATTTCTGTTCATAATACTGTAGCTGAATTTGATAGTCATGCTAGCATAAAAGCATCTCCTACCCTTCTGGGAGTGAATGTAAGCCTACTTTAATTCTACCTATCAAAAGGGTGATGCTGTTTGTTTTCTTGTGTTAGCAAAAAATAAATAAAAAATAAATCATTCCACCAATTCAAATATTATCCCAGGACAAAGAAAATGTAATCTATAAGGTAAAATGAAGAGAGCTTGAAATTAGGTTTCAATCTTTCTGTGTTGTAGGGGATGAATCAGGAATGGATTAATGTAGAGTATCAGGTATCCAGTCCAGGAATTGATGATTGGATTGGAGTATTTTCTCCTGCCAATTTCAGGTGAGCAACATTATTGTTTTCCGTTCGGTTATAGATGTTCAATTATGCCTTTTGTCGCCTATCCAAACATTTATATTTCCACTTGCCAAATCCAGATGGCATAAACTATTGAGCTAATGTCAATTTTTTTCAATTGACAATTACAGTACTTCTACTTGCTCTCCTGAAAATCCAAGGGTATATCCACCTCTTCTTTGTAGTGCACCAATAAAGGTTCGTAATGTTATGGAAACATTCTATGGCTTTACACGTTTCTGATTGAAAGAAAAAACATCTCTTCAATTATGGCTTATTTTTGTGCAGTTCCAATATGCGAATTACTCTAGTCCCAATTACAAGGACAGTGGGAAAGGTTCATTGAAGTTGTTACTCATAAACCAGAGATCAGACTTCTCTTTTGCGCTGTTTTCTGGTGGATTATCAAATGTATGCTTCTAATAATTTTAATCATCTCTGACATTCCCACTTAGCATAAACAATAGTGCTGGGCACAAATTAGTTTGTGGTTACAAAGAAAAGATGTGTCGTTTCTGGTCTATGTTAGTTATCATCAGTTGTCTGAAAGAATGATGGCATAAATATAAAGAAGCTTAATGTAATTGAGTTAGTTTCAATGGAATGTTCCGAGGGCTTCTAACTCCTTTGAATTATGTTTTGAACCCAAAAGTCAGATAATTTTCAAATGTCTGATCTTCTTGAACTTGATTCATGGAAATCTGTTTTACCCCCTCCTATTGTTATTTTGAATTGTTTTCTTTCTCTTTTTCTTGTTTGTTTGCATCTCCATTATGCTTGTATTAGAATTATGATAGTTGTAGATTGCACTTTTCAGTTGCTATTTTCTCATCTGTCTTATATGAAACAGCCAAAGCTGGTGGCAGTTTCAAACAGAGTTTCCTTTGCAAATCCAGATGCACCTGTGTATCCTCGCTTAGCTCAAGGGAAGACATGGGATGAGGTACTTATGTATATGGCTTCTGGGTTTTTTGCACCAGCACGCATACATCTTGTTTTACTAAGACAGATCAATTAATTTTATATCTTCTGTTATTTTGTTTCCTGGAAAACCTTTCTTGGAACTATAAGGTAAAGCTGCATACTTAAAGTCCTAATGGCCCTTCTTAATTAGGACTCACTCGCATGAGGGATCTTCTATGAATTAAGCTGTTTTCTGTTGGTTTTCCTTCTAATTGGTTTTAGTTTGTTATGATCCTTCAACACAATCTGATGCATTTAACATTTTAAACCCATCATAGATGACAGTGACATGGACTAGCGGATATGGACTTGATGATGGAGAGCCTTTTGTTGAATGGGGACGAAAAGGCGAGAAACAGAGTCGCTCCCCTGCAGGAACACTTACCTTTGGCCGTAATAGTCTCTGTGGTAGGTGAATTTTTTCCAGTTTGGAGCTGTTTCTGACAGATTAGCTTGAAGGAATGATAATGAAGGCATATGTACACTCGTTATACTTAAATAAATTCAAGAAGCTTTTCAGATCTGTTCGTCTGTATGTAGATAAATCCAGAGAGTCCTTGATAATGCTTGGAAACCTTGAAAACCTTTAAGTGCTACTCTTGTTTGCTTTCCTTTTTGAAGAAAGAAAAAAAGCCAGTTAGCAGCTATAAATATTTCCAATGGTTAGAAGCTCCTTTAAAAAAAGATTTGGTAATAATTTGTCTTCACAAAATAGCCCAAAAGACTGTCACTCGATCACTTTGCACTCATACTTGTGTGATCTTCGGGATATGTAACATTACTTTTCTACTTCACAGGTCCTCCAGCAACAACTGTAGGTTGGCGTGATCCTGGCTTCATTCATACCAGTTATTTGAAAGATTTGTGGCCTAATGTTCTGTAAGTTTCATCAACTTGAAATCCACCATTTTAGTGTTTCTATAGTTGTCATTCAAGAAGCTTTGCTATTTTGTACTTCTATTTTTAACTTGTCCGATTGGAGTTTTTATATATAGAGAACTTAGTTGCCACCTGCTAATCAGGCTTGCATGTTGTATAAAATGTAGAGGGTCTAGGGAGTAATTTTCAATATTTCCACAGTATTTCTGAGATAATTTCATGCTTATGCTCTCTAATTACAGTATGCTAAAATATTATTTTCTGGCAGCATTTGCTGGCTTGATTTCTGTATGGACACATGAGAAATTGATGCTTTCTATCTTACTGGTTTGGCAGATACACTTACAAACTGGGACATCAATTACACAGTGGATCCTATATTTGGAGCCAAACTTACGAATTCAGGTCATCTCCTTATCCTGGTCAAAACTCCCTACAGCGTGTAGTCATTTTCGGTGACATGGGAAAGGTTGGATTCTCCATCTTATACTGTACCCGATGTTTTCTGTGTCTGTTACTTGATCATGTCTGTGATATCTTATTAATATGAAGTCTATTCCTTCTCCAAGTGCTTTGATGGATAATAGATCGCGTATGTGTAGAGATGCTAATAATTTCAGTAGCTGATGTCCAATATATGTATTTAGTTCAAAATTTTTGATTTCAGGATGAAGCTGATGGTTCCAATGAATATAACAATTTTCAATATGCTGCCCTTAACACCACTAATCAGCTTATCAAGGATTTGAAGAATATCGATATAGTCTTCCACATTGGTGATATTGTTTATGCTAATGGGTATCTTTCTCAATGGGATCAATTTACATCTCAAGTTGAGCCAATTGCTTCACGTGTACCTTATATGGTTGCAAGGTATTGCTATTTCTGATGGTGCTAACTGATTTTTGACTTAATCTTCCTTTCATACTTTGTATTAAGCATTAATCTTTACAGTGGCAACCATGAGCGTGATTGGCCTGGATCAGGGTCATTTTATAATACCATGGATTCTGGTGGCGAATGTGGTGTGCCAGCGCAAAATTTGTTTTACGTTCCTGCACAGAGCAGAGCTAAATTTTGGTAGGTTAGACATTTTGATGCTTGTATTCAATTTTTATGAGAATGTGCTCTCTCTTGGCATTTTTGCCAATCTTATAATCATAAAAAGATACCATACTCACAAATAATGGTAGTTTAGGTTTCTCATTGGCATTGGATTACTGTATTCTATTGCATGGTGCAATGAGGGTTGATTCTGAACATTATTAACTCAACTTTGGGGACACGATATGAGAAGCTGAAAGTATTTGCAATATCCTTTGAAATGATACTTTTCTTGAGAAGTTGGAGCTTTGAAGAAACTATTGAATGTTCTCTGTTTACAGGTATTCCACAGACTATGGCATGTTCCGGTTCTGCATAGCTGACACTGAAAATGATTGGAGAGAGGGAACAGAACAATATAAATTCATTGAAAACTGTCTTGCATCAGTAGATAGACAGAAGCAACCTTGGCTTATCTTTCTTGCGCATCGAGTGCTTGGTTATTCTTCTACTAGTTTTTACGCAGATGAAGGATCCTTTGCAGAACCAATGGGAAGGGAAAGCCTTCAGAAGCTCTGGCAGAAGTATAAAGTTGATATTGCAATCTATGGCCATGCACATAACTATGAGAGGACCTGTCCCATCTACCAGGTTTGGTCTCTTGTTCAAATCTTTGTTAGAAGAATTTTCTGAAATTTGGCTTTTTAAATGTCTTTTGTTAACATATCAGGGTGGGAAGGGAAGGGATCGATTTGATTGTAATTAGTGTTTTCCTTTTTGCAGAATATTTGTACAAATAACGAGAAACACTTCTATAAAGGTGTACTGAACGCCACAATACATGTCGTTGCCGGGGGAGGAGGAGCAGGTCTAACGCAATTTTCTACCCTGCAACCCAAATGGAGCATCTTCAGAGACTATGATTATGGATTTGTAAAGTTAACTGCATTCGACCATTCAAACCTATTATTTGAGTACAAGAAGAGCAGTGATGGTAAGGTTTACGACTCCTTCAAGATATCTCGAGACTACAGAGACATATTGGCCTGCACTGTCGATAGCTGCCCAAGTTCGACATTAGCATCATAATCTTAAATGGCGGATCAATACTGGCCGGCACTGTGAAACCGTTCATATGGAGGAAGACAGTTATACACTCCAAGGAGCAAAACACATTTGCTGCTTCAAATCCGAATGAGATGAGATTATCACATTATATTTATCTTTGGGTTCGGAATGTTTGAAACGTGGGGAGTCTGAAGATGGCTTGTACGAGGGACAGTGACAATTTTACAGTGCTGCTGGGGATAAATGCAATGTACCTTATGTTGACAATAATGGAACCATTGAAGGAAAATTTTTTCCATTCTTTGTTTTTTCTGCACATACTACTCTTTTACTCTTTTCTTCATCCATTTTTCTTTTAAGTCAGGCGCTCTTTCCTCTCCTGGTTAGTGAACTATGTTTCAGTGTTCAGACAACAAAAGTTGACTTCTTTCATCTCTTGTAATGTGAAAAATGAAGTCTGTCAAAGTCATCTAGTCCTACAAAAACAGGAACATTGGTCTGGAAACTGGCAAAATTGATGACCAACAAATGCGATCATCAGCTAGCGAGGACGCGGGTTTGAACCCTCACTGTAACAATTTATCGCTTGTCAAGCTTTCCTGCAGGATAGGAAGCAGCAGCAGCAGCCGATTAATCATTTCCAGTTTTCTACACCCAGCTCATCAATCATAGACTTCCGACCAACTGAAAATGCACAAATATCTAAACCAAAGATTGTGGATGTAATTTGCCATTGTCGGAACCATTTCATACGCGAGAATTGTGTGCGGTTCGTTTGTCAGCATATAAACTAATTTAAGGTAAGGGACGAAAGTTTCTAACTTCCAGATTATTTCTTCTGGACTCTGAATTAATCTTCCAGAAAGAATAAGATATCGTATATCAATTTCTTGTCTTATCTAAATCCGAATGATTCCTTAATTATTCCCTTTTAGAACATTCCCATGTGGGCCAAGTTTCAAAAGCGAAAAGTGAATAAAAGTATAATATTGAAAATTTATGACATTACGCCCACACAATAGTATAGATTATTGTGGATGCTCATATCATGACGGCCTTTTCAACTTCACTTGGTTGGGTTTTTGGGCATTCAAAAAAACCTTGGTTGTTTGATCAGTTGACTTCAAGGCGAGTTCATTTCTCCTGCTTTTCAATTTGACTGTTCACTGAGTTCATGCATGTTCATCTTTCACACAGAAGTTGCTGAATTCTGATGTACTAGAATGAATTGTTTTCCCTGCTAGTTTTGCTTTTCTCTTGAACTGAAACTTGTAGAAGTAGAATTTCAGCCATATTTTGACGTGGGCTTCTTTGAATTTATGCTTGGAGCAGTTCCTTGATTTTCTGATGGATTTTAATATGCTTGGTTTTTTACTAAGTCAAGGTGTCATCAAAAAGTTGCAAACTTTGTTATATCATCTGTTATGGGATAATGGTATGATGCATTAAGGAATTTTCTTATAATGTTTCAGGTTTCAACTCAAGTGAAATGCAACCTTTCTTGATTTTGCCTGCAATTTTGTTGGCTTTATTGACCTCTCAAGGGGTGAGATCCCATGGGGTTCATCCGTTTGCCAGGATTTCTGTTCAGAAAACTGTAGCTGATTTTGATAGCCATGCTAGCATAAAAGCATATCCTACCCTTCTTGGAGTAAATGTAACGGCCTATTTTTACTTCTATCTGCTGCTTGTTTTCTTGTTTTAGCAAAAATAAATCAATCCTAAATTCAGGTATTATCCAAGCACAAAGAAAGTGTAATCTATAAGGTAAAATGAAAAGAGCTTGAAATTAGGTTTCGATCTTTCTATGTTGTAGGGGCTGAATCAAGAATGGGTTGATGTAGAGTATCAGGTATCCAATCCAGGAATTGATGATTGGATTGGAGTATTTTCTCCTGCCAATTTCAGGTGAGCAACATTATTGTTTTGGGTTCATTTATGCCTTTTTTGTCGCCGCCTATCCGAACATTTATATTTCCACTTACCAAATCCAGATGGCATAAACTATTGAGCTAATGTCAAGTCTTTCCATTGACAATTACAGTGCTTTTATTTGCTCTCTTGAAAATCCAAAAGAAAACCCACCTCTTCTTTGTAGTGCACCAATAAAGGTTCGTGATGTTCTTATGGAACGATTCTATGGGCTTGACACGTCTAATTGAAAGATAAAAACATCTCTTGAATTATGGCTTCTTTTTGTGCAGTTCCAATATGCAAATTACTCTAGCCCCAAGTACAAGGACAGCGGGAAAGGTTCATTGAAGCTGTTACTAATAAACCAGAGATCAGACTTTTCTTTTGCGCTGTTTTCTGGTGGATTATCAAATGTATGATGCTAACATTTTTTATCATCTGTTACATTCCCACTCAGCATAAACAATGGTGCTAGATTAAATATAAAAGATTGGTTATTTATGGTCTGTGTTGGGTATTATCAGTTGTCTGAAAGAACGGTGACATAAAGGTGTAGAAGCTTAATGTGATTGAATTGCTTGAATTAGTTTGTAATCCTTATGCGTAATGCCTAAATCTCTTTTAGTCACAATAGTAATGCCTAATTTAGTTAGTTTCAATGGAATATTCTGGGGGCTTCTAACTGCCTCCTGTTATATTTTAGAACTGCTAATTTTCAAATGCCTGACCTTCTTGAACTTCACTTTACAGATTCATGGAAATCCGTTTTACCCACTTCTATTGTTATCTTGGATTGTTTTCTTTTTCTTTTATTTTTTATTTTTTTTTTGCATCTCCATTATGGTTTTATTAGGATTATGATAGTTGCTGATTGCACTTTTCGGTTACATATATTGTCTCATCTGTCTTTTATGAACAGCCAAAGCTGGTGGCAGTTTCAAACAGTGTTTCCTTTGCAAATCCTGATGCACCTGTGTATCCTCGCTTAGCTCAAGGAAAGACATGGGATGAGGTACTTAAATATATGGCTTCTGGTTTTTAGCACTAGAACACATACAAAAACTAGCACATGTACATCTTGTCATACAAAGGCAATTTTATATCGCTTGGTGGAGACCTTTTATGGAACTATAAGGTAAATCTGCTTACTTATAAGTTCCTAATAGCCCTTCTGAGGACTCCACACCTATGGAATCTTTCTGTTTTCCATTGGTTTTTCATTTTACTATCTACAGGAGTTTACTATCTACAGGAGATAGTTTTCAGTTTAGGACCATCATTAATTTCCTTTTAACAGTGGGGTTTGATCCCTTGTAATTGGTTTTAGCTTGTTTTAGATCCTTCAACACAGTTTGGTATATTAACTTCCTAAACCCACCCCAGATGACAGTGACATGGACCAGTGGATATGGAATCGATGATGCAGAGCCTTTTGTTGAATGGGGACGGAGAGGCGAGAAACAGAGTCGCTCCCCTGCTGGAACACTTACCTTTGGCCGTAATAGTCTCTGTGGTAGGTGAAAATGTTCCATTTTGGTTCTGTTTCCGGCAGATTGTGCTAGGACTTGAAATTATGATTATGAAGGCATATATACACCTGGTTTTATAAGTAAATGCAAGAAGCTTTTCAGATCTGTTCACTTGTACGTAGATAAATCCTGAGGGTCCTTGATAATGTTTGAGAACCGTGAAAACCACTTACTGCTACTCTTGTTCCTTTTTCTTTTTTTTTTTTTTAACTGGAAGAAAAAGGCAGTTTAGCAGCCATATACATGTCCAATGGTAAGAAGCCGTATCTAGAAATGCTTCGGTGTCTTTGAGAAATAGCCCAAAAGAAAAGGTCAATCACTTTATGCTCATAACTGTTTGATCTTGGGGGATACGTAATGGTGTTTTTCTAAAATGACAACTTTGCAGGTCCACCAGCAACAACTGTCGGTTGGCGTGATCCTGGCTTCATTCATACCAGTTATTTGAAAGATTTGTGGCCTAATGTTCTGTAAGTTTCATCTACTTGAAATCCACCAGTTCAGTTTTTCCATAGTTGTCATTCAAGTAGTTTCGCTATTTTGTAGGAGTAGTTTTTATTTCTAACTAGTTGAATTGGAGTTTTTATATAATCGAGAGAATTTACCTGCCACCTGCTAGCTAATTAGACGTTCGGTATCTATATTGATATAACATGTAGAGGGAGTAATTTTTTATATTTCCACAGAAGATCTAAGATAACTTCATCGTTATTTTTATGCTTTCTCAATACGAGATGCTAAACTATTATCTTCTACCAGTGTTTGCTGGCTTGGTTTCTGTACGGAGTACATGAAAAATTGTGATCCTATATATCATACTGGTTTTCCAGATACACCTACAAACTTGGACATCAATTACACAATGGATCCTACATTTGGAGCCAAACATATCAATTCAGATCATCTCCTTATCCTGGTCAAAACTCCCTACAGCGAGTAGTCATTTTTGGTGACATGGGAAAGGTTGGATTCTCCATCTTATAATTTGTGCCCATTGTTGTCTTCTTCTGCTACTTGATCATGACAATGATTTCTTATTAATATGAAGAGAATTCCTTCTCCAAGTGCTTCGATGAATATTAAACGGCGGTTGCATAGAGATGATAAATTTCAGAAGCTTACTTCCAATATATATATTTAGTTCAAAATTTTTAATGGCAGGATGAAGTTGATGGTTCCAATGAATATAACAATTTTCAATATGCTGCCCTTAACACCACTAATCAGCTTATCAAGGATTTGAAGAATATCGATATAGTCTTCCACATTGGTGATATTGTTTATGCTAATGGGTATCTTTCTCAATGGGATCAATTTACATCTCAAGTTGAGCCAATTGCTTCACGTGTACCTTATATGGTTGCAAGGTATTGCTTCTTTTTTATGATACTATCTGATCTTTGGCTTAATCTTCCTTTTATAATTCGTATTAAGCAATTATTCTTTACAGTGGAAACCATGAGCGTGATTGGCCTGGATCAGGGTCATTTTATGGTACCATGGATTCTGGTGGCGAATGTGGTGTGCCAGCTCAAAATTTGTTTTATGTTCCTGCAGAGAATAGAGCTAAATTTTGGTGGGTTTGTTATTTTGATGCTTGTATTCAGTTTTTATAATTATGAAAATGTGCTCTCGACATGTGGATGGCTCTGAATTTTCCTACCTATTAGTCTTAACAAGTGCCAGGAGTCTTGAATGTTGCCATGGCTGCCATTGAATTATAGCACCCACTAAGATATTGACATTCCATATGACACTGCAATCAAGATCTGTCTATAAGTTTTGGAACTGTTACAAAAAGAGAAATTCATAAATGCATTTTTGCCAATCTTATGATCATAAAAAGATACCATCTTAACAGATAACTTGTAATTTTGCTTCCGCATTGGCATTGGATTACGGTACTATGTTACACGGTCAAATGAGGTTTGATTCTGAACATTTACTCAACTTTGGGAGACATTGATATGAAAGCTGAAAGTATATGCAATTTCACTTCAAATGATAGTTTTCTTGAGAAGCTGAAACTTTGAAGAAACTTTTGAATGTTCTCTGTTTACAGGTATTCCACAGACTATGGCATGTTCCGGTTCTGCATAGCTGACTCTGAAAATGATTGGAGAGAGGGAACAGAACAATATAAGTTCATTGAAAACTGTCTTGCATCAGTAGATAGACAGAAGCAACCTTGGCTTATCTTTCTTGCGCATCGGGTGCTTGGTTATTCTTCTAGTACTTATTACGCAGAGGTAGAAGGATCCTTTGGAGAACCAATGGGAAGGGAAAGCCTTCAGAAGCTCTGGCAGAAGTATAAAGTCGATATTGCAATCTATGGCCATGCACATTGCTACGAGAGGACTTGTCCCATCTACCAGGTTTTGCCATATCTAGATGCACAAGTCTTCTCTTCTCTTCTCTTCTTCAACTATTTGTCAGAAGAATTCTCAGAATTTTTTATTTTTTTTTCCAAATGTCCTTTGTTATTCTGGAACTTAAGATTTCCTTCTGCATACCAACACAGAAAGATACCATTATAATTGCAGTTTAGGAGCATATCAGGGTGGGACGCGAAGGGATTGATTCAATTGTAATCGGTGTGTTTTGCTTGATGCAGAACATTTGTACAGACAATGAGAAACACTTCTACAACGGTGTATTGAACGCCACAATACATGTGGTTGCCGGGGGAGGAGGAGCAGGTGTTGCGCAATTTTCTACCCTCCAACCCAAATGGAGCATCTTCAGAGACGCCGATTATGGATTTGTGAAGTTGACAGCTTTCGACCATTCAAACCTATTGTTCGAGTACAAGAGGAGCAGCGATGGTAAAGTTTACGACTCCTTCAGGATATCTCGAGATTACAAAGACATATTGGCCTGCACTGTCGATAGCTGTCCCAGTTCTACATTAGCAGTTTAGCAAACTCTAGGACATTTTATATGCTGCTTCAAATCCAAATAAGATAGAGATCATCACGTTAGGTTTATCTTTGGGTTTGGAATGTTGAAGCGCCGGGGATGGATTGTACAAGAGGCAGTGACAATAGTACAACACTGCTGGGGATAATTTGCAATGTACCTAATCCTTGTTAAACAATAATGGAACCATTGATTTCAGTTCTTTTCCATTTTTTTTTTCTTATTTTTTTGTTGTTGGTCTTTCTCCACATACTACTATGTTACTTTTTTTTTTTTAACTCTCGAGTACGTTCTCACTTAAAACCACTGTCACCATGATGACGACACTTTTTGTTCGAATCTCTTGGCCGAAGATTCCTTCAATACGTTAAGCAGGAACACTCTTTACCTTTCAGCTGCTTATAAACCCATAAAGAGGGGGGGAGTGTGGAAAATCCCACAAATCCATTAACAGACAAGTTTACAACTCCAATGCTCTTGCTGGGTATATAATTCTATGGTTCTGCAAATTATAGGGTCTGAATTCAGACTTTAGCTAATTCTGAAGCTGAGACCTTTTTCTGTCCTTTTTGTAGTTCCATTTTTGGAAGCTAAGAGGAGCTAAAACCGAGCAGTCGAAGCTGTATCAACGGTTAGTTTCTTTCTGATATCCAAAGGCAACAATTTGAATTTATGAATCCCTCTTCCAGTTCTGCTATAAGATGATCCTGATTTTTTTGTTCTTGATTTAGTTAATCTCAGTCCTTATCTTGGGGGGTTCTATCGCCATGCGGGTTTTTTCGATTTTGCTGGCTATTTGGGCAGCTCTTCTGAACATTATTCCAGGGGTAATATCTCATGGGGCTCACCCATTCTCGATTATCGACATTCATAGAGCTAAATATGCAGTCGAAGATCAAGCTTATGTTAGAGCAACCCCTTTGGTTCTTGGAATAAATGTACGTGTTTGTTCATTGAATTTTTTGTTCCCTGTATGAGAATGTACACATTGGGCATACAAAGAAGTTAAGAGGACTAAATGATGCCAGAAAGTTCATGGCTTTTTTTCTGATCATCATGAAGTTTACTCACCTGTGTCACAGGGGCAAAACAAAGAATGGATTACATTGGAATTCAGCGTTCAAAGTCCAGCAATTGATGACTGGATTGGAGTCTTTTCTCCAGCAAATTTTAGGTACATGAAGCTTGTTTAGATGTGAATTTTGTCTGGGAAAATGTCTGCCATAAATCCCTTCTTGAAGATCCAGGAAGGGACACATGTTTATTATATTCTCCTCTCCTGCATTTTTAAGACTATGTTAGCAGTGTATAAGCAAACTGACCCAAGTGATTTATATGATCAACAGTGCAGCTACCTGCCCACCTGAGACTCCTAGAACTTATGTACCTTTTCTATGTACAGCTCCAATCAAGGTCTGTTCCCCTGCTTTGGCGTGGTATCGGACATTTACTTTGTTCTGATTCACCTCTGCTTCAAAACTGTGTTTGGTTATGATGCAGTTCCAGTATGCAAACTACTCGAACCCTGACTACATAAACACGGGAAAAGGATCGTTGAAGCTTCTGCTGATTAATCAAAGATCAGACTTCTCTTTCGCTCTATTTTCTGGGGGACTATTGGCAGTATGTTTTCATCTCCTTACTCTTGGAAATTAATCTGTTATAAAAATACGGAGCAGCAAGCAAGACCTGTTAATCAATTTTGTGTTCTTGCACTTTGAATCTCTTCTGAGCTAGGTAATATTCTGTTTGTATTTTATTTCACTGTGACAGCCAACGCTGGTGGCTGTGTCAAATACAATTGCTTTTGCAAATCCGAATGCGCCAGTCTATCCACGCTTAGCACAAGGGAAGGAGTGGAATGAAGTAAGTTCACTGTTTGTGGTACTCCTGCACATGCCTCTTATTGAATCTTGTTTCTGCCAAGAGTGTTCAAAAGATAAAAGGGAAATAAAGAACTTTCTCATTTTGAGAATGTGAAGCTTTAGGCCCAACTTTTCTTTCCCATTTCGCATGCATAATCATTCCATTGAATCTCAGATGACGGTCACCTGGACAAGTGGTTACGGACTCAGCGAGGCAGAACCTTTCATCCAGTGGGGCCTGGAAGGAGGAGAACAGATAAAATCTGCAGCTGTGACTTCGACTTTTGACCGCAACACCATGTGTGGTGCGCTATCTGCCTATCTCTAACCTTTCATTAATGCCAATTCCCAATCATTTCGCTTTTCAAGCTACTCTTCCATTTCATTCTCCATCACATTCTATCCCTGAAATCATGCATACAGCGCTTTCATATGAACCCAGCATGTGAAATTCTACTAAAATGGACTAACTGAACTTAACACAAACATTCAATAACCATGTCAGTCATTATGGGAAGTTTTTGACAGGGTGACTAGCAATTAGCCAAAAATTTATATGAAAAACTCTGCAGGTGATCCAGCCAGATCAGTTGGGTGGCGTGATCCTGGATTCATTCATACAGGATTCCTGAAGGAATTGTGGCCCAACTTAGTGTAAGTGATGGATGCTTAGAAATGACATTAATGATTAGACACAAGTTAAAATGTTCATTTTCTTTCCTGTACTTTATCCATTGCCTTGTTAGATAAATAGAAAAACCTTGTTTACCAATTGACATGAACTCCCTAGAAAATTGATGTCAAGCATATCCTGTAATGAGTTCATCTGAGTTCTGATCTGTTCAAAGGTCTTTTTCTAGCCGTTAGCTGTACATACTCAAACTATAAGTGATATGCAGTCTGCACTGTCTTTTCTGATTTCATTTTGCCCTTCATATTTGATGTGCAGCTACACCTACAAGCTGGGGCATAAATTGTTCAATGGCACATATATTTGGAGTCAGAAATATCAATTCAGGGCATCACCATATCCTGGTCAAAACTCCCTACAACGAGTGGTCATTTTTGGAGACATGGGAAAGGTTTGCGAAGACTTGAAAAAACTATGCATATCCAAATTTCATCATTTCTCTTCTTATGTGAATCAGGAATGTGCTAAACTATACCCTTTGATTTTTAAATGTATGACCTGATCATGTGTTCACCAACTTTGGTATCTGCTTTTGCTAAGATTTCACACGTTTACTTGTATGATGCAAATTATTTCACCATATAAGGCTTAGGATTTGAAACTTACTAAATGCAATCATTTCAAGAACTTAAAGCCACAATCATGATCTGATTTTGTTACCTTACCGCACTATAGGATGAAGTTGATGGCTCAAACGAATATAATACATTCCAACCTGGATCTCTTAACACAACCAAGCAGCTTGTAGATGATATAGATGATATTGACATAGTGTTTCACATTGGAGATATTGTTTATGCAATGGGCTACCTTTCCCAGTGGGATCAGTTCACTTCCCAAATTGAGCCAGTTGCTTCAAGGGTACCTTATATGATTGCAAGGTTTGATGTGGATGCTCAGTAAGCTAGTTAGGGAATCTGTTCCGTGTAATCTTATTTGATGGTGTATTGATGGCTCTATGCAGTGGTAATCATGAGCGTGATTGGCCCGGAACAGGTTCCTTCTACGATACCAATGATTCAGGAGGAGAATGTGGTGTCTTGGCTGAGACTATGTTTTATGTTCCTGCAGAAAACAGAGCTAAATTCTGGTAAGGTTACCATTTGAAACTTCCATGCACATATTATTGCTGATTTGGTTGGTGTATTACCCACGTTTTGCAATGAATACATGTGAGATGTGTCACCAACTTCCTTTTCATGGCCAAAGGGTGATGACTACAGACGTAAGATGTACATGGAATGTCATAAATAACAGTGTGCTTCTTGTACTCCTTCAGGTATTCTACCGACTATGGAATGTTCAGGTTCTGCATAGCTGACACTGAACATGATTGGAGAGAGGGAACAGAACAATACAAGTTTATTGAGCACTGTCTAGCATCTGTAGATAGACAAAAGCAGCCGTGGTTGATCTTCCTAGCACATCGAGTGCTAGGATACTCCTCGAGTGCTTGGTACGCTTCTGAAGGAACATCAGCAGAACCAATGGGAAGGGAGAGTCTCCAAAAACTTTGGCAGAAGTACAAAGTTGATGTTGCCATTTTTGGTCATGTTCATAATTATGAAAGGACTTGTCCAGTTTATGAGGTGCAGTTATTAAGGCTTCCTACACAGGGATAACTCTGTGTAGTTTGTCCCATATCCATTTTGTTTAAAATTTCATGCAAGTTATGCTGCTTTTTTCTGGAACAATTTCCATTTGGGCTAATGCTACTCCTTTTTAATTTATTGCTTCAACAGAATGTTTGCACAAGGAATGAGAAGCACTTTTACAAGGGATCTCTGAACGGGACAATACATGTGGTTGCCGGAGGCGCAGGAGCATTCCTTTCTGAATTTTCCGGGATTGAAACTGCATGGAGTATATACAGAGATTTTGATCATGGATTTGTGAAGTTGACAGCATTTGATCATTCAAACATGCTGTTTGAGTACAAAAAGAGCAGAGATGGAAAAGTTTATGATTCATTCAGGATCTCCCGTGACTACAGAGACATCTTGGCTTGCGCTTTGGATAGCTGCCGGGCTACAACCTTGGCAACCTAAGTATATACGATGATCCAGTTTGTACGCTCAAGTTTGTCCTGGATATATTTTAGGTGTAAATATTACTTATATTTTAGGGTATATTTGTCTCATTAGGCAAACTAAAAAACAAGATGTTCTCCAAGCTTCTTTACAAGATTTACTCGGAGTCACAATCAGAGTCATCCTCCACACCACATGATACACCCCCCAACGGTCTTTTCTCTTATCTTTAAACTTGAATACCTTTTTCTTCCATTTCTCCTTGGACCTACGTAGTAGACAGAAGCCATACCCTCCCGCCTTTGGATCTTTATTCGCCCCCAGACAGATGGCTTCCAGCACAAGTTTACCGGCCTCCCGAATGGGAAGGTTCTCCCTTTGACTGATATGAAAGCAGAGTTAACAATCACAGTTCTGAATTTAACAGGATACTTCAAAGCAGATATTATTGACTTTAATCTATGTTACCCGGACTCTTCTATTTGGGGAGAATACCCCCGTGTTTTTGGGGAGAATACCCCCGTGTTATGTCGTGTCGATACTGGTGTGGGTATGAGTGTCAGGTGTGGCATTTTAACCTAAAATGTCCAAGATTTCTAAAATATTGACGAGTCGGACACTCAAATCCCCGCACCCGATACCACACCCGTATCCGAGTCTAGGTAACATAGACTTTAATAGCCATCCACCGAAAGACACTAATCTAATAGAAACACAACTTTTTGACAACACAGCTCTTGAGAAGCTAATGTTAATGAAATACTGAAACTAGAAGAATATGCATACCTTTTCAACAAAAAAGACTCGGCCTCAGGGCCTCCTGAACCCAAGCATACCAAATTCTTATCATATGCAAATCCCAGAAAAGAAACGTAACGCAGTTGGAGACCCTACAAAAGATATAATCCAATTATGAGTCTTCCATTTCATACTTATCAAATTCATGCTTTTTCTTTCTCATTCCCCACGTGGAGATGTTCCAATAAACGGCTGACTATTCTCCTCTTAATCAGTCTCCACAAATCAATTATCATCCCCTCCACCTCTCAGTCTTCCATCAAATCTCTCCAAAATAAAAAAAAAAAAAAAAAAGCAGCCTTCCTTGATTCTGATGAGGCATCACCACTCAAAAGTAGTACAAAACTTACACTATGTCTTGACATCACTGCTTATGAACTCCCACAGAAAGTGGGATCTATCTTGGTTTCCTAAATTAGATCTAGGTAGATAACTCATGTTAATCTTGTTCAAGCAAACGAAAGGAGAGTGGAATATAAGAAACTTTAATTTGTTTTTCTTGCTGCGTATAGAGATGATTTTAGTTGATGCAATTTTTGAAAGAGCAATCATGGTAAATCAACTCTGAATCGAAGAGGAAGAGATGATTAGAGCATCTCCAATGAACACACAAAAACACTATATTTGGTGTTTTGGTATAAACTTTTCACTCTAAGGATGACACTAAATCAATGCATTATTTTAGTGCAGTGAATAACGTTACGCCATATTTGTTTTGGTATAAACTTTTCACTCTAAGGATGACACTAAATCAATGCACTATTTTAGTGCAGTGAATAATGTTACACCAAATATGGCGTAAATTGTCAGTTACACTATCTTTTGTGCATTATATTCTACTTTGATCTAATTATATATTTGCTGTATAATTAAATTTATAAAATAAATTATGTTGTAAAAGTTATATCATATTAAATATTTTCTTGAGATCTACAAAATAATACCCATATTGAATATGGAAATTTATTTTTAAAATAAAATTTATTTTTAATCATTATTAAAATTGAATATGTAAAAAAATAGAAAAACTTCATATTTTTATAATCAAATAAAAATCGATCTAGAAATAAACCATACCAAATTGTAAGATTTTAATCAACCACTACAATAAAATTTAAACTAAAAACATTTAATGTTTAGATCTCTGGTGCATTAAGGTTGGAGTGCAAAGAACTGGTGTACAAAGATGCTTGGAATATTCTATTTCTACACTAAATTTAATGTAAATTATAGTGCAATAGTTGGAGATACTCTTAGGTTGTTGGTTCCGTGGATAAGATGGCAACACAGTAATTTGCTATATAGAAAAATAATGAAAGTATTGTAATATATTATCATTTAACCCACGCCCTTTATAATAATTTTAATCTTTCAAATGCCCTTTATAATAATTCTCTGAATATTATTGTATTGAATTGAATTTCAGAAAGAGAACTGTCGTTCCCAATTCCTCTCAACTTTGATTAATCGGATTATTCCACTTCCGCCCATTCCTCGTCGAAATCTGACACATAAACTCTATAACCTCTCTGGGTTGACAGGGGCACTTGGAGGTTGTCAATCTTGTCGGCTCCACTTGGCCCAATACTCCTTATTTTAAAATATAATTCCTACACGGTAGGGTCCTTGGTAATTCCACCCATCTATTTCTAGAATTAATATCACATTCCTATTGTCTTTCTACTAGTGTTGAGGATCCGTTGCGCATTGTGCGATGCATTATGTAAATAATTTATTATCTTTGTTTTTTTTTTTTTTTGAATAAGTTTGCATTGTTATTTGATTTCGTTTTTGTAAGAATAACTTGTAAAATATTCTGTATGGAATGAAAACAGTATACTGTAGTAATTACAACTATGTACTTAATAAAACGATAAATATGATGAATCTATTTTCGTAATTTTCTTGTGCTGCATAACGGCCAAACGTAAGAGTCAAAGTAAATTACACTGAACCGAAAGAGAAGGAAACACCGACTACACTTATAATCAGTATATTTTTATATTAAAAAAATATTTTATTTTTTTGTAAAATATTAAACAAAAAAATTATTTAAAGATCATGTATTTGTAATTCTAAAAAGTTGCATATAACAATTAAAATTATTTGAAATTATTATGGACGTGTAATTTAAAAGTATTTATGTAACAATCAAAATCATGCACATAGACTTTTAAAATGTACATTTTATATATTTTACTATCACATATCAACTTGTGTAAATTTTAATTGGGTAAACATTAATATAAAGAACAAGTAAATAAGAATAAAATTTGAATCTACAAAAAGAAAAATAATAATAGAGGAAAAGGCTAAAAAAACATTCACAACAAAATCAAAACAAATTTTTATTAAAAGAGAAAGAAAAAAGGACGAGGCCCACACGGGTCAAGAAGACCCGCTTAAAAAACTCGTGGGTCAACTTATAACCCGGAGTTTTACCTGCGAGATTTTTTTGAAAAAAAAAGGAAAAAGAGCATAACACTTTGCGCTGTACGTGGGTGTTCAAAAGCCAAAAAAAACGACCGGGTCAAGACGACCCGCTTTAAAGACTCGCGAGTCAACTTATATAATCCGGAGTTTGACCCGCAAGTTTTTTTAAAAAAAAGGAACAGTGCACTTCGAGCATCGCGCGGTTGTTCAAAAGCTAAAAAAAAGTTCCTATTTAAAAAATTATTGTTGTGCCCCTAATTAAAAAAGTGATGTAATTCTTATGTCACATGACAATCTGGCCAATCATATTTGAAGAATAAACCGTCTGTCCAATCATATTTTTAAGAATTTTTTGGCTCACTCAGACTTTTATCTTTATTATATGGACTAAACTGTATAAATGGTCCCCTACATTTGTTCGAATCTAAATTTTGGTCCCCTACATCAACATGTATATGGATTGAGTCTTTACATTTCATTTTGAAACTTTTTTGGTCTCTTTTCACTGTTCCGTCACCATTCCGTCTTGATGACCGTTGACCATACCAAGTCAGGGGTATTTTTGGAATGACACATATAAGATCAAAAGACTAAACTGTATAAATGGTCCCCTACATTTGTCCGAATTTAAATAACGGTCAACGGCTAATGCAGGTGAAGGACTCGTGCATTTGATGAAGAGTATTTTTGTCTTTTAACCATATTGAGGACCAAATCGTCATGTAACTTCCACGTGACTTATCCCGCCATTTACTGTAGGCTGGAAAATGAATTTTAAATTTTAAATTTTAAAAATAAAATAATATAAAAAATATTTTATTCCTGAAATTTTTTGTGGACTTTGACCGGCCCAATTTTCCCGCCCAACGATTTACGCCATTTTCAATCAGACCTGGTCTTTGGCCCAAGTTTACTTTATTTTCAAACTTGGACTTGAGCTGAACCTGCAAAACAAAATAAAAATAAAACCCAAGTTAAAAGAAATATAAAAGACAAAATCAAAATTAGCAACTTGTATTTTTCTTTTTTTCTTCATCGAGGTGAGAGAAAAACACAGGAGCGACAAACTTTTCTAGAGTGAAGATTAGAAGATTAGGGTTTCAGAAAACAATCTCGAAGTCTAAAATTAATGGTGAGAACAATATGGGTTGATTGTAAAAGGCTTTGAATCAAGTCGACGTGGGGTAGTTAGGGAGTGAATCAGTTTAATTTGGGTTTTTTACGAGTTAGGGTTTTTAGGTTTTCTAAGTTCTGGCAGCCATTTGGATAAGGGTTTTCCCCTGATTCTCCAGCGGAATTGATTTTCAAAAGTAGCAGCGTGATTAAACATGTGGAGGGGCGAAGATTATGAGTTTCAGGCTGTCGGGGATAAGGAAGCCCCGGATTACGGTAAGTCAATTGATTTGCCTTACTGTGCATGCGTTCCTTATTGCATCTATAACCCATAATATCCAGAATTTTTGTTTGCATGTGTTCTTTATTAGATCGGTAAAGCATATTTTAGAAAGGTTTGATTTAATTAGTATTATTCTAGGGATCGGGACCTTTAAAAAATTTTAATTAAAACTAGTTTTGAGAACCCTAAATTTCTGGAAATTTTCAACGTATACTTTAGGCGGAAAAGGATATTCAACATGCATATTTGATGTTTATTATCGTAACTTGTTGTTTTTTATATTGTAAAGTTTAAATTTTTTTACATTTATCAGTTAGTAATTTGATTCTGTAAATGTTTAGGTGACGGGTCTTCAGCAATTACAGTAAAAGTTCATCACGGTGGGGGTTTTGCGAGGAGGAATGGTAAAATGCTTTATATTCAGGGTCATATTGATTATTTTGACCATATTGAATCTGGGAGTATCTGTATTGAAGATTGAGTTTCTCGTAGATCGTTTAGGGTATTTTGGACCTCATAAGATTTATTTTAGAGACATGAGTATGAAAGAATATTCTGGTATGAGGAGGTTAATTGGAGATCGAGATTTGGTGGACCTCATTCGCCTATTCTCAACTGACAACCCAATTGTTGTACTCTATAGTATTGGGATCCATGAACCTGATACCTTACCTTTAGATAAGCCCAAGCCTGGTGAGGAAAATCCAATTGCAGCAGAAGATAGATTAGAAGAATCTAATGGGGATGAGTCTGATCAGGTGAATGAAGCTTTGATTAATTTTGTTGTTGAATATGTGAGAGCATCGGGTTGGAGTACATTGCAAAAGCCAACTGAGTTTGTGCCTTATAAATTAGGTGATAGGGTGATAGATGATTCAGAAGATGACTGTGGTTCTTGCTCAGAAGGGGGTTTAATTCATGATTCGGATGATGAAGGACCGAGGGGTAAGAAATATAGGGAGTTCAAGCTTCACTTAGAAATGCATAATCCCTCTTTTGAACTCAATCAAAAATTCTCATCCAAGTAGGTGTTGTTGAGGGCACTTAGACAGCGTGATATCATTGATAGAAAGAATATCAGTTTCATGAAGAATGACTTGGAGTTTGTTAGGGGTTATTGTAAAGTTAAAAAGCGTAAGTGGGTAGTAAGTGGAGTTAAAGTGGATGATGCGGGAACATTTGAGATCAGGACCATTAATGATAAACACACATGTGGAAGCGTATGGAGCAGCAAGAATGTGAACTCTAGCATTGTAGCTGAATGGTTTCTTTCGGATATTGCGCATGACTTGAGAATGAGTGTGAGAACTATATGCTTTAGGGCATTGAATGAGAAGAAGGTGAATATTTCTAGAATGTAAGCTTGGAGGGCAAAAAGGAAGGCTGTAGAAAAAATCAGAGGAAAAATTGATGAGGACTATGCCTGATTGCTTGGGTATATTGCAGAGATTAAAAGGACAAACCCTGGGACAACCATGGAGTTGTTATGTGAGCTAGGTGAAAACATATTCAAAAGGTTGTATCTTTGCTTTGTTGCTTCAAAGAAAGATTTCAAAGATAGTTTCCGAAAAATTGTTGGCCTTGATGGAACCTTTTTGAAGACACCAGTTGGGGGAATCCTACTAACTGCAGTTGGTTTTGATGTGAATAACAACATATTTCCAGTTGTACTTGGAGTTGTTGAGTCTGAAAACAAGGAAAGTTGGGGGTGGTTTCTGGACTATTTGATCAAAGATTTGGAAATAGAAGACTCACTTGATTAGGTAATAATGTCATATAGACAGAAGGTAAACATTTTTAAATGTGTTTGTTTATTTATAAATTTACATTTATTTTTATAAATTTAATTTTTTTTAATTTCTTCTGGTCTTGACATGTTTCTGTTTTGTGTTCTTCTTGTTTGGTTTGTTGAAAGGCCTTTGTCCAGCTGTGACTCAGAGATTGGATAGAGTTTCACATAGGCATTGTGTCCGGCATCTACGGACAAATTTTAAGCAAGAGAATCCAGGAATTCTACTGAAATAGAAAATGTGAGAGATTGCAAAAGCCACATTTGTTGAACATCATTCTGAATTAATGGAGAAGCTGGAAAAAGATTATCCTAAAGCTGCAAAATGGTTGAAGAATGAACCATATAGGTTCTGGTGTTTCAGGGAAAATACCAGATGTGATATGTTAACCAACAACATATGTGAGGGTTTCAATAGGGCTATACTGGTTGCAAGGGAATATTCCATAATTGAATGTTGGAGTGGATTCGTGTGTATTTTACAAATTGGATATGTAGGTAGAAGAGGATCTGGGAACAGACTTAACGTGTCAGAGCGTTCTTGGTGCCGTCGCTGCTCCAATTTTGGGGCTGTTGGTCATTGGCTTTTAATTTCAAATGTTACCAGAGACTCAAAACCATAGAAAAAAATAAACAAAAATCACTAATTTCATGGTATTACAAAAGCAAGCTTAAAATTTTTACCAAATGAGAAAAAATCCAAATCTACACCATCGGCTTCCACCACCACCATCGCTATCACGACCCCTCCATGGCTGTTTATTGTTCACAAATTTTAACAATAATTCATATCGTCGGACGATGAACACATCAAAAACCGATTCACCCACAAAAGATTTCTTTTTCTTACCAGCTTTCGATGGAGATCCAGAGTACCTTGAGCCAGTTTTCTTCAACCTGGAAACAAATAGAAGGTATATATCATCATTATCCAGATTTATTACAATAGAAAAAGGCAAAAATCGTCGACCCATCATCATCCTTCAAATAATCAGTATCATTACAAAAATTTAGAATCTCGGTTAACGTATGATTTTTGAATTCATCGGTTTGTGTTTGCCTCCATTTTTTGTATTCATCCATTATGAAGCAAATGAATTATGAACGCAAATGGACGGAGCAATGGACGGAGGCACTTACTGATTCCTAAAATCCGTGCTTCCTGAAATTGATAGAAGGGCTCAATCTCCAGATTTTGGCGATGGCCTATTTTCTCGAGATTTGAAACAACTACAAATGCGTGATATCGTGCAGGAATTGATGGTGCTGAAAATAAGGAACCGCGTGATTGAAATTTTAAGCTTACTTTAGAAGATTACTTTCTTCTTCTTTTTTTTTGAATTCAAAGTCTGAATTTGAATGGGGAGTGAAAGATTCATGTAGGATTTTGCGGAGGAATTGATGGGAGTATATAATATTGTGATGCTTAAAAGGAGGAGTTTAACAGTGATTGTAAGTATACATTCCTTTAAATCCCTTTAAATTGAGGAGTTTTTAACATGAACATTTATATCTATCTATCTATATCTATCTATCTATACAGTACTCCCTCCATTCCAAAATAAGTGTTGTCCTACACTTTACACATAGTTTAAGAAACTCGTAAATAGGGTAATAAAATTACTTGAATATCATCAACTAACCCCATTATAAAATTGTCCACCAATAGCATCAACTCTTTTGAGGGTAATTTTGAAAATTTTTAACAAAAAGTGCATTGAAATGTGAGAACGACAATTATTTTGGAATTTCTCCATTTTGCTAAAACGACACTTATTTTGGAATGGAGGGAATATATTCTAAGAGAGAAACTAGAAAGAGGAAACATCATTTATCCTTAAAGTGCCATATCAACAAAAATCTTAGGTGTAATTTTCTTATAAATTCTCCAACTAAAACTTAGCGTAATTGTCCAATAGTCCTCCAAATTTGGATTGTTTTAATTATCTTATCCCTTAAAAGATTAGTAAAATCTATTGAGATCCCACTTTTAAGTTTTTTAAAAAATAAGAATTATAAGAATTTCCTTGGAGCTGAGTTGCAATAATTTTTTTTTTTTTGCAATAATTTTTTTTCCCTTTTTTTTTTTGTTTGTACAAGCAATAGTGTACACAAATTTCTTTTTTTTTTCTTTTTTTTTTCATTTGAGAATATTTGAGCTAAACTTGAATTATAACAATTAGGCATATATTATATTATTGACTACAAAAGTTTTTTCAGTATTAACAATGATTTTATAGGGGTTAGTACTAACATTTTGTTTGTTTTAGTAGTGTAGGTGTATACCGAATTCTTATATAACTTTAGCAAGTTTAGCAAGTAAAATCATCGTAAATCAATAACAATAAATTATTAAAAAAATTATTATTTGATCTCGTGCATCGCACGGGTATAACATCTAGTTTGCACAATTTGAGGTATATTGTTTTTTTTTTCGGATGAAAACAGGACACGTGGTATTCTATTTTTGCAGAAGATGTATATTGTTTGTTTTGGCAGGAAAAAAAAGCTTTGTGAAACTGATACGTGTCCTAAGTGTCATTTGCTTCCATGAAGTAAGTATAAAGGGATCACAATGTAGTCTTCAAATATTATTCCCATTCTCTCTCTTTTGTTTTCTCTAAAATTTTAGTTTTATACTACAATTCTAAAATTCATGTAACTCCAGTCATCTTGACACATGCTGTTTGGATAGCTGCCCAACTACAACCTTGAGAACCTAAGTACTAGTAGAAAACATGTAGCTTGTACACTCACTTTGCTCCGGATTATAGGCCTAAATATTATTTTTGGTTTATTGAAGCATACTACATTAGCCTAATTTATAATTATGAAGGCAGTTTCTGGGATTATTGGGTTTGAAAGCATAAATCTCTTCAAAGGATAACACTTCCCAGGAGAGCTCATTCATAAATGTGCCGACCATAATTATTTACACTATCAGAAGCCACAAGTCTGTAGTAAGCTCAAAAATATGAAATGCGCTTAAAAGGATTCACGATCTCTGTTTTCCGTCTTCAAAAAGCAAACTAATAAAGTTAACAAGTCTTACTGTTAACGAAACAGCCTTCCTGACAAAAAAAACAAAAGTGAATCTAACGAATTATCTTCAATGTGCATTCTAGTTCCTGAACATTCTTGCACTTTTAACTACTCAAGTTAGTAATGATCCGGAAGGGTTTACTCATCTGAGTTTCCATTCGCATCCACATCCTTCAGATAGTTTCCCAGTAATCTTTGATCAAGGACCATATTGGGAACCTGCAGCACCAGTCTCAACAGTTTTTAAGTGTGTCCAGAAGTGACACAGACAATCCAAGAAATTGAACGAAAAGTGTCAAACCTTATTCCCAAAGAAGATCTTGGATTTGTTAGCTATTGCTTCAATGAACTTCAATTCCAAGAATTGAGGAGTAAGCTTCAATTTGTTAGCCTCTGCTTCTTTAAGAGTTCTGAATAACAAAAGTTATACATAAATCAGGTACTTAAGCACTTGCTATTCTATTAAATCCTAATCGTTGGACTAGCCCAGAGTTTAGGAACGTTACCGGTAGAAACTGGCATCTGCCAAACTCTTTTCACGAGCCATGTAAATTGAATTAGCAATCTCCTCTTGCTTCTTAACACTTTCTTTTTCCATCAACTTTTGCTCCATTTGGATCTTGCTCACATGAGCATACTTTTCAGCTTCTGATATAGCAACCTTTTTCTGGGTCTCAGCTTCTTTCTCGGAAACTCTCTGTCTCTCCATGGCAATCAAGACCTGCATGCATACCATGTCACCGGATAAACTCTTGCATATACCATTTTCAAACCACCAGTCTCCCAAGAGGCCCAGAATGGCAAGAAAAGAACAGAAGATGATCCTATTATTAGGACAGTTATTGCCAATAATTCATATTGCAGAATCAAACAGTCTAGAATTTCCAACAGTAATTTTTCAATGAAAACCTCAGGTAATCAGCTTTTACATGCTTTTGTACACTACTACCTTCCTATGTAATCAGTTTTTTGGCTAACTTCTACATACTTTCTTACTCTTTCCAAAATTTAGGAAAAACCAAAATAGCTAAGAGAAACTAGTAGCTTTTCACACAAAGATACTTGGGATTTCATTTGTACTCTCTCAGAGTTAAAGAGAAACCAACAAATCAGAAAAGGAACATTACCAATAAAAAAAAAGGTGATACAAATGAATACATTCGACAAGATGTAACCATTACCTTAGTGCGTTCCTCTTCCATCAGCTCAAAATTCTTTCTTATGCTTTCAGGGATGGTAGGCTTTGTAACCCGAACACTGATAATTTCAATACCAGGAGCATATCGTGTGCAATCGGCTTGAAGAGCATCTTTCATTTTGTCATCTATCTGGAAAGCATATACACCACCGACGCCAAACAAAGAAAATGAAAACCATCAAAAGAACAGAACAGAATAAAATTATCAATCTTAAGCTCCAGTCTTTTACTTCATAGCCAGAAAAAAATGTGTGTATACAATGCAATAATAACCACCAAAATAACTGTGAAGGAACTGACAGATAGAAGAATCAAAAGAAGAGCCGCTATACATCACGGAAACTAGAGGGATTAGCAAAGAAGGTTACTGAGCATGAACTTAGAAGATGACACTAGACATTTTATCACAACAGGGAGTACCTGACTTGGTTACCTGATCAAACATATCAATGTAAACCTGCTGAAGAGAATGAGCACTGCAGAATTGGTTGATCTCATGATGGATCTTGTCATATATCCAAGTATGGTCGTATTGAACACCGTAGTTGAGCAGGGTCTCATAGACGTAATCCTTTTTGAGACGGTTTACAACCTAAAGGCATGCTAGTCAATACACTTACTAGACACAGTTGTAAAAAAAAACACAGAAAGGCTGGTTACAGTCATCTGAATTACCTCTATCTTCTCAAAGTTAATCATCACACCTCCTTTTGTTCCACATGGAATATCCCTTACCTGCATTTTGCAACAAAAAAAAGATCAACAATTGATCATATGGTTTACATCCTGTGGGCTAAGCAACAAGAACAGATCCATGCCCGAAGCCAGGGAGCTTTGCAGGGTGTAAAAAAGATGCAAATCTACGAAAATTCCCAGAAACTCTCACCAGATCTGTCTGAAGAGTTACTTGAATGGGCTCGAAATGAGTTATCAAAGGCAGTTTCACATGAAAACCTGGTGACAAGAAGGGCAACTATTAATTGAATCACATGCCCAAAAGGTATATAGAAGCACAGAATACTAGAAAATGATGATTAAATGCATTATAGAAACAATAAACTAGATAAGGCAACAACCTGGATCAGTGATGGTCTTAAGAAGAGCACCTCCTCTCCAATAAACCCCAACATGACCTTCTGGGACTTGATGCAAAGTAGATAAACTATTGGAGATATTGGTCGAAGAATGAACCAGTGACTGCGATGTGGCCTATATAAATTTCGAACATTCATCGTTAGTTTTAGGGAGTAAACTTAAGGAACGTTCATATGATCGTACTCCCAACTTCTCAGTAAATTCAGCAAACAACTATCTTTTAAATACACGTTTGTATATAAGGGTGAAAAACTCTACTGCTTGCATTCAAGGTTGGCCAGCATGTTTGAAGAGGAACTGTTAAGGTTTGATTCTACATTGTTCGGTTTTCGCCCAGCAATACTCCATAAAAAGAACTTAATATCAATCTTTAGGAAAGTATTCTACCAAGCAATATACACAACGAGAGAAGGAAATGAGTCAATAGTGACTGACTCTTCATAAATCGCATGCAGCCAAGACTGTGTAACTTGAATCTTTGGCATGACATTATATTTAAAGCTGATTCATGCAGCAAATGTGGAATAATACCATAACGCTGACTGGCTACAATAGCAGGAGGGCTACTCTGATGAACTATTATCGCAGGGATTTCAGTTCATGGTCAATTTATTCCTCTATTGCCTTATTTACTCTTAAACTTAGTTCGATCATATATTAATCAGACAACAAAAGTTCCAAATTACACTGTAACCGATAATCAGTATTCATTAGACTGCTGAATTGCAAATTTGATCCATTCTTTACCTAACTTGAGTTCTTATCATTCCTGCATAATTATTTTTAATGACCTAAAAGTTCTTGCTATGATAGTCTATCCCTGGCCACTTGATTTTCGTTATGAAACCAACAAGTTTCTTCCCCTGAAATCTTTTACTACGGAATTCAAACTGAGGTTAACTAACTATAATGTAGCCTCTACCAGCTTGTAACTAACTACGGCTCAATCTCTAAGGGGAACCTCAACTGAACTGAGAGGAAAAGCTGACTGGCAAGACTAGGGCACGCCCCTGACAACCAAACAAGAAATACAGCAGAAAAAATCAGCACCATTCCCAATTTGATAGTCTTAAATAGTGCAGTAGATAAAATCAACACATCACAAAGAAAACACAACCACCCAAACAGCAGCAATTAATGCTCCAACTTCTTCTGCAAGAAGAAATAGGGGAGAAAAATCCCCTCTTATACAAGAATGCTAACTGCTAACTCAAATTCCATTTTCATGACAAAATAATTGCACATTCGTAACTACATTTAACAGATGAAACGGATCATCCCACACACAACTGCACGTGTCTTTTCGAGGAGAATATTCAACTATAATAACAAAGATACGAAAGAAATTGCGGTTCAGTTTTCTTTTTCAATTACCAGAAACACAACGGCAAGGAAGCCCAAGAAGATGGTCAGCAAGGGGATCACATTCCCGCCGGGGGGTTGTTGCTCCGGTTGCGCCGGTGGAGGTCGTGGAGCGGCAGCACGCTGTTGCTGCTGATGATCCATGGGCGTTAAATTTCTTACCTAGCACTTCGTCTGCGTTTAACAATTCCACAATCTTTTCTGCGTACCGATTTCTTCTCCAAAATAGGGTTCCTGCTCCTTAAATAGCCCTAAAAACTCAAGGAAGAAGGTACAGAAAAAAGGAAGGGAGAACGAAATAGCGTTGATTTTGCCATATAAATGCAAAAGGACTGAAGACTGAGTGTGTGACTGTGTGTAATGTTTTCTTTTCCAAGGGGTCAGTCACTGTGTGACTGTGTGTAACATATTATTAGTTCGACTTTTGCCAGAAAAAAATAAATCTTGGTTAGAGATTAATTAATCGTATATATTAGAACTAAAAGACAAATCATAAAATTCATAACAATAAAAATTAAATCTTTATCACTTAAACCGAAAAGGATGAGGCAAAAATTGCTTTCTTTCTGCCACCCAGAACATCCACATAGCGCCATTTTATCTTAACTGGAAGCCTACAAGTTGTTCTTAATTCACCGGCCATGAATCAGTTAACTTGCCGGCAGCTTTCCTGAATTTTTCAGGCAAACTCTAATTAGCTCTCCGGCTCCGGCGAGTCACTGTGTGGAAGAATGTTGACCACTGCAATCTCATCTTCAACTCTTTTCGTTAAATTTCCTCCTCATTTTGGAGATGGGCCGTCGTCTTCCACCATGCATTGCCGAACTCAGAAGGGCCGGAATCCAAATTCTTTCAGATTATTTCCGGTTTGTGAATTTCCTGCTTTTCTTCCCAAAGAAGTTGAAAATATAAAAGACCCGTTTGCCAGAAGATTGGCCTCAAGAATTGAAAGATTACCCGTTCAAGTAAGCATACTCTGAATTCTTTTACCCAGCCAAAGTTCATAGCTCCTTTGAACCTTTGGAAGAAAAACTTATGGATTCTCGGTGATGTAGTAACCTTGTCATTTAAGAAACTTTAGTTTGTGGTATAAATGTTGACCATGGATTGTAGTGTGGCATTTTTGTTGAGAGTTTGGGTTGATACATGCACGCGATTTCTGTGATTTACAAATGATATGTTAGTGATAGAGAAATATCTCGTAACCATTTCAGTAATTCAGGAAACAGTTTAGTCCAGAGGAGGAGCAGTTGGTTCTTTTCGACATTATCTGATTTTAAGATCTACGTCTTGATTGTGCATTTGTAATATCAACCTTCACATTGGATTCTTGAGGTTGTACATGAATTTAAGTTTCTAATCTGCACTTGAGTTGTACATTCTCCCCGATTCCTCTTTTAGTTTAGTTACTTCTATCCACTGCTTGATTTCACAACTTGCAGAATTCTCAAACGTTATGTATTTTGGGTTTTTGAACATCTCTGCTTAGTGTAGGTAAGCTTTTCCAAAAGTTCTATGATGAGTAGTTGTGTGAAGCCAAAGCAGCAAACCGAGGCAAATCCCCTGCTTCTTCTTCATGGTTTTGACAGGTCAGTGGAAGCACAAATGCATCATTTTCTACAAATTTGCTTTTGCTATGTTTATTTGGTTTATAGCTTCATACAGCTCGTGTTTAGAATGGAGGTACACTTTTCCATTGCTCGAGGAAGCTGGACTGGAAACTTGGGCAATTGACATCCTTGGATGGGGTTTCTCTGATTTGAGTATGTCAGAAAGCATCCTTTCATGGATATTAGTTTTTAGTTTTCACATTCTTCATCTTCTTAAGATTCATGATATCATCTTAATTTATACCACTTCTGTTGAATCAGAAAATTCGCCACCTTGTGATTTTGCTTCGAAACGTGATCATCTGTATCAGGTAGTTATTTTCCCTGGTTTGCGGATCTCTTGTTTCCTGCTAGGAGGTAGAAATGTAATAAACTTATGACATGGCAGATATTGTTTTATGAAATAAACTAAGGCTCCAAAATTAGAAATTCTAGAGTAATGTCTACTATAAACTCAGGATAAATTGTGAATATAACCTTTTTCTTGGTCTTAAAATTTTGTAGCGCTTGGCCGAGGCGTGCTGCTGAGTGCTGATATTTAGTTTCATATCTGCAATTTCTGATGCAAACTTGGAGTCCTCTATTTGGTTTACACAAGGCTCGGTTTAGTTTAATTCTAGGTCAAGAATGTTGACGTAAAATCTCCACTTGTTATCGATATGGATTCCTATCTCTCTAATTTGATTTGATTGGATTTGCTTATCTCATTTAATTAGCTCTACAGAAGAATTGCCATATTTCTGTTCTGTCGCCGACTTCTTCCAATAAGCTAGACAAAACACTGTCAAATGCACCTCTTATCAATGAAAGCTAATAATCTGTCTAGGAATTTTATTAATAGGTTATGCGGTTCAGTCAGATAGGCAGACACGGACTAGTGAAATCCACGTACCATGAATAAATAGAAATTAACAGCCCCTTCGGCAGAATCCAATAAAAAAGTAGAAATTAGACCAAGGCTATACAAGCTATCGTGCACAAATGTAATACATGTGCTACTGCCATAGATCTCTTCTCTTATCATATCCTGACACCGAAAAGGAAATGAATTGCTGAGAGAAGTGTCATCTGACTTTCGTTATGGTTTAAACACCTGAAAGACTAAGTCAAATTGATCGTATGTTCATGCAGTTCTGGAAATCTTATATTCAAAGGCCTATGGTACTAGTTGGACCAAGCCTTGGAGCTGCTGTTGCAATTGATTTCACTGCAAACCACCCAGAAGCTGTAAGTATTTTGAGAACTCCATTCAGTTCAAATATATAGATACTCATTGGTACTTATGCACTTCTTTTACTTTCTGTTTTTTCTATCTTTTCAGGTCGAGAAACTGGTTTTGATAGATGCAAGTGTTTATGCAGAAGGCACAGGAGACCTCGCAACGTTGCCTAAAGCATTAGCATATGCTGGGGTGAGTACCATTCTAGTAAATGAAACAGAAGTGGCTGGGGAAGGGGGAATTAAAAGACAACCCATTGGAATTGAAATTATGATGTCTTTGCTTGGTAATCATCGGGTTCCACGGTGATGTGTTACTTATTGTAGTCAAAAGCCTGTTTTGGAGAAAGCCCTTTTAGAACTGAAAACGCTGTGGTAGAGAGTGAAAGCATCTTGATTAGATAGAGGTTACAAAAAAATTTGAAATTTCTAGTTTTCAGATACTAAACTTGGTTTGTACTTGATGCAGGTTTATGTACTGAAAAGTATTCCCTTGCGCCTCTATGCAACGTCATTGACATTCAACGGTTTACCTTTAGATACCTTATCAGACTGGACTAATGTAAGCATTCTATTAGTTTGTCAATAATGCACCTCACACACGCCGCAATATTCAACCTTCTCGTGCAATGAATAGTCAACTTTTAATATATATTCTTTTAATGTTTCAAATGCACTTAATAGAAATAAATTTTCGATAGTAGCAACAGAGCGATGATGTTTCTATTCTCACTTTCTCAGATTGGTCGTTTACATTGTTTATTGCCATGGTGGGAAGAAGCAACAGTTGATTTTATGATGAGTGGTGGCTATAACGTCATTGCCCAGATTAGACAAGTGCGGTAACTTCCAATTTTTGCTGTCAAAGTTATCAAGCCTTACTTTATACTAACAATGCCTATTTTGCCCCGATTTCCTGAGACAGGTAACACAGAAGGCACTCATAATATGGGGAGAAAATGATCAGATCATTGACAGCAAGCTTGCTGTGGTAAGTGAATTTTATGCTTCATCAAGAAAATCCTTATACCAAACACTATTAAGATCACTACAAGAGTTTAATAATGTTGTCCCTCGTATCATACTCTTCAGAGATTGCATTGTGAGCTGCCAAATGCAATTCTACGCCAAATCCCAGATTGCGGTCACTTACCTCACGTCGAGAAACCTGCTGCTGTGTGCAAGTTGATTAAGGAATTTCTTTGAGCTTCATGCAGGCTACTACTGGCGTTGAGCATTACATTGCAGCAATACCATTTTAATTAACCCAAGATTCTTTTGTATGATGCATCAATTCAAACTTCAGAACTTCTTCTTAGGTACCTGTTGTTTTTGCCTACAATTCAATAAACTCTCATTCACATTCATGATCCTCCTGGAACTGATGCACTTGATTGGAAAAAAGATCCTGTTGTTTTTCACCTCAAGTTTTGTTGCTTGATGAAGTAAATTGTAAAACACTTGTTAAGACATTTCAGAGCCCAAAGATATTTCTCAACTTCATGAAATGAAACCCTCATTAACTGATTCTTTAATGAGATGATTTCCTCAGAAGAACCTTATGGCCTTTTGGCAAAATATAATCCACACATCAGAGAAATTTTCCAAGGGAACTCTGCTCAGTCAATTTATCAAAAAAATCAAACACTTAACCAAGTTGTGATAGAAGTTGAAGAGTCTCACTGGGGCCCGCTGATTTTTCAAGGATTTGATTCTCATATAATCATCTTCCACGTGTCAATCATTGAGTGGTCCTCATGAAAACACATGCATGGCTGTAATAAAGATACGATAATGTAATATCAACACTTTAACAGAATCCAGGAACAGGAAGTTCTGCAGTCTCAGAAAAAATGGCCATTCCCAGCCCTCTAGAATGGTCATTAGCTTCAATCAGTAGTGAAAAAAGATCCAACTTTTTGGTCTCTAATCAAAATTCCCATGAACCTTATAGGAATCATGCGAATCTTTCTTTCCTCTGTTACAGTTCCAAGGCTCCAGTGTGTTCTCCGGTTCAAGATGATGCATCATTCACCACTACCAGTGGACAACTGGTTGAATTGGGCTTGAAAATTGAGGATTTTAGTCAAGTTTCCGGCTTACGAGATGCCGAAGATATCAATGGCGTCATCTGTGTTTTGTTTGAAGATCCCAAAACCGAAGCATTAGCTTATGAACACTACCAGAAGGCCAAAGAAATGCCAGGTTTTAAGCCCAAGGATTTGACTCTGAATTTTGTTGTAAGGTACTTGATTCACTCGAAAAACTGGGTTCTACTATATTCACTCTGTGATGATTTTAAAACGTTTCAAGTTTTACCTGATGGTTCCACAAGCTTTAGACTAATCAGTAGCTGCATTAGAGCTAGGAAATTCAAACTTGCACATACATTTCTTGAGATTTTTTGCACTGATGAAAAGAATGCTTGTTTGGCCTTCGACGCTGCCATGAAAGAGTACAATAAATTGCACATGTATAGCAGTACAATCACTTTGTACGAACGAATGAAATCGAATGGGATTGAATTAGACTCGGGATGTTATTGCCGCATAATGGAGGCCTTGATGAAAGTGAAGAAGTATGATAATGTGGTTATGGTTTTTGAGGAATTTGAAAGAAAAGAGATAATGCATGGACCATTCAATCAGAAGATTTACTGGATGTTGTGTGAGTCATTGGGGAAAACTGGGAAGCCTTTTCAAGCTCTGGAATACTTCAGAGAATTTACTAGTAATAATGGAGCTGAAGCAAATCATTCATTTTACTCCTCTCTAATTTCTTCATTTGTTAGCATCAAAGAGGTGAAAATAGCTGAAGAGCTCTTAGAAGAAGCCGAGAACAAGAACATGTTGAGGGATCCTGCTCTATTTTTGAATCTTGTGTTGATGTATATTGAAGATGGCTTCCTTGAAAAATCTCTTGATGTGATTGCTAAGATGAAACGCTCAAAAATCAGAGCTTCAGATTGCATATTGTGTGCAATTGTGAATGGTTTTTCTAGGAGAAGAGGGCTACATTCTGCAGTACAAGTATATGAGCATCTGATAATGCAGAGCTGTGAACCTGGCCAAGTGACATATGCTTCAATTCTAAATATTTACTGCAAGCTTGGGATGTATTCTAAGGCAGAGATGATCTTCGCCGAAATGGAGGAAAAGGGCTTCAAAAAATGTGTTGTGGCTTACTCTAGTATGGTTGCAATGTACGGTAAAACTGGCAGGGTTGCTGATGCAACAAGGCTTGTGGCAAAAATGAAGGAAAGAGGCTGTCAACCTAATGTTTGGATTTACAATGCTCTTCTAGACATGCATGGAAGAGCTCTAAACTTGAGGCAAGTTGAGAAAGTGTGGAAGGAGATGGCCCGAAGGAAGATTTCGCCAGATCGGGTGTCTTATACGAGTATCATAAGTTCTTATAACAGAGCAAAGGAGTATGAACCGTGTATCCGGTACTTCCATGAGTTCCGTCTCAACGGGGGAGCGATTGACAAAGCAATGGCTGGCATCATGGTTGCTGTTTTGTCTAAAATGAATAGAATAGATGAGCTTGTTAAGCTCCTGCAGGATATGAAGGCAGAAGGCACTAAATTAGATGTTAGGCTTTACAAGTCAGCTTTAGATGCTTTCAAGGATTCTGGACTGCATAATCAAGCTAAGTGGCTTCAGGAAAGCTTTGCAGAAGCAAAACCTTCTTAAAGCGAATGATTCCTATTTGCTGATTTAAAATTGAGTTTTAGCACCACATGTTTTCCTCATTTTAGACTTTCCTCTAGGCTGTTTTCTGCATAAATTAGGAGTTTTACGTAGAAAAAAGGAACATATGATGTTTTGACTTGAATATTTTGTTCTGAGACAGAATCAATGCATACATGATACACACTTGTTCAAAGATTCCCAAATCAGCCATCCAAAGTGAATAAACACATTGCAAATCCGGCATTTCCTGCACATGTCCGTCCTGTCCGTCCCAAAATTATTGTCATGTTCGTACATATATTGAGACGGAGGTGAGATCTGATGGGTCATTTTACTTCTATCGTTTCATTTCACACTTCACAACAATGGGGGAAGAGGAAGATGAAACAAAAATGAGAACAGAGGAAACAGAATCAAAAGAACAGAAATACAAGCGTCTCTATTTCTTTTTTCGGGAATTTTCTTCTTAAACATATAACGTGGCTGGGGCTAGCAACTGGTTACACTAAAATAAAAAATACTGTCCTCTCTCTCTAGATATACAAAAAGTCTAAAATAAGAGATCAGATCAGAGATTCTACAATCTACCATCACCCCATTAGTACGCCACATTTACACCCTACAACAAAAGTTGGGAATCAAGTTCCCAGAACTTTTATGACTAAAAACCAAAAAATAAAAAAAAAAATAATAAAGTGGAATAAAACAAAAGACAGAAGTCCTAGTGAAGATGATTCCCACCAGAACACCACAACTAGCAGAATTCACTGGACAGCAATCCAGTTTCAATATTCTGGTGGCAAAATATCATCCTCACATCAGATTCCCAATAACCAAACCATCCCTCCTCTAGAGAACCCTCCTCAAGATCTTTTATTTTAGCTGCAAAACTTATACCCTCAGAAATATCAAGCCTGTGGCCAAAATGGTGGCAGCTGCAGATGCCAGCAGGTTGTTATGAAGGGCTGCACTGCCTCCGTCTGGATTTGTTATGCCACCGCCTCCATTTGGTGCGAGCCCTCCTCCGAAATTAGGACTGCCTGTAGTTGAGCCTGTTGTGCCTGTAGAACCTCCTGGAGAACCTGGGGTCAGAATCGGTGTGCCGGTTGAGCCCGGGGGACTGGTAGTTGGATTGTTTGTTGATGGGGTGCCGCCAGCAGAGCTGCAAAAAACCAACTCCACCATCAAAAAAAGGAGGAAACTTTACTTGAAAGCAGAATATACACTGATTACCAATGTGAACATGGTTCCAACAATTAATGCAGAATCAACAAACTAGATTAAAAAAATATATCAGTACTTAGGAAAACATATGTCAAACTGAAGCATTAATGAGAGGAATATGCCAAGGGAAACAGGACAAATGAAGAAAGTGGGAGAGACATTATTCACATCAAAACAGCTCACACGCACATAATTGTCACTTGTCACATTTGTGAGTTGTAGAATCAGCTACCAGTAGTAAAATAGTACACCTACAACTAGTAATAAAATTCGGCTGGATCTAACTTCCTATATAATTAGGTAGTTCATCACAAGCATAAACTTGGCAGCAGGTAATAGATCATAAGGCTTAATCTAATCTAAAAGCAGTAATTGAATTGCCCCTTCCTCATCCCAAATCAGAGGAAATTGGTTTCATTTCCCTCAATCTCTCCTCTTCGAAACACCATCTTTTCCAGATGTAGACATCCAAAGATGTGATTTTCACCCAAGAAAACTAGGAACACAAGAGACCGAAGAAACTAGAGCATTTGTTGAGGGATAACAGAGAGTATGATTTTTACTTATATAAAGGGGAAATTTTTAAACTGATATAACATTGCTACAGATTAAACACCGACCACACAACTGAAACTGCGAACAACATTCCCCAAAAGGCAAACAGCAAAATCTAACTTACCCAGCACTAGAGGGATAAGAACAACCGGAAGAGGCGGTTGCTGCAGATATTCATTGAAAACCAGCAAAAGAGAAACAAAAATTAGCATTGCAGTAAGGATAAGCAAAGGTTGGCAATTATTACAGTTTTCAAAAACCTTAACAAAAGAACTTACGAGGTGGCGCGTTAGACAGCTGAGCTGTGCCTTGGAAACTGCAGGTAGCACCAAGTGATCTTTTAGCCTGAAAATAGCTATTCACAGCCCAGTTACAGTGATCTTTCACAGTGTTAGGATTGAAGCATGGACCGTTTTGAAGTATCGGATTACAGTTAGCTCCATTTCCACAGGCATAATCTATGTTCGTCTGCATTGCATCAGTGGACAGTCCATCTTTACACAAGCAATAATCAGCACCTAAATCAAGAAAAACAGGGGTCATTAAGATAACCTCAAATGCTCAATAATCAGCTCAATCTTTAACTTGTACAAAAAGTTCCAATCTTTACCCAAAAACACACACACACACACACACACTGTCCTACTACAGATACAACAACATTGAGGAAAAGGGCAACTAATTCCCCATCCAAAAATTACAAAGAAGCTGAAAAAGGGGCTTACTTGAATAACCAGTCAAGGCAAAGAAAACCACCAAAGCGGCAATAACAGCAGCCATGATTATTGCAACAACAAGATGTAAATAAAATCAGCTGTTTCACTGCAAAGAATAAACAAAAAACAGAAAAGGGAGAGAGCTGCTTCAGCTAGGTTAGAAGAAGCTGAACCAGAGTTTTGAGGGGAAAAGGGAAAAGGGGAAAGTGTGATGATATGGGAAATGGAGCTTTCTAGACAACAAAAGCAGAGAGAGAGAGAGAGAGGAAGACGGTGGGTGGAAGTAGTGAATGTCTAAATCAAAAGAAGGGGTTTTATATATGAGAACAAGGGAAGATGTAAGCAAAGATTATTATAATGGAAGAATGGGGGGATGATTTAGGGGAAAGTGTATCATAGGAAACCGAGCAAGCCTGCGTTTGTCCTCTTATTGACTGTAACGTAGTACTAGGTGTACATGTGTGGCTTTACAAACGGTCATAAACTCATGTGCTGGGTTCCTCTGATCATCTTAACCCAACTTTGGTTAAGCCCTCTCTTTAGGTTTTTTCTTTTTTTGTTTTGGAGCACAGAACTTTTACCTGAAAAAAGATAACCACCGATCTACAGATTCTATTTGGTGAAAAAGAAAGTGGCAAGAAATGTAAAAAAGGTTCTACAAATCTAGGTAGGAAGGGGAGATTGAGTATACTGCATTGATATGATTATTAAAAGCCATAATCATTTTATAAAAAATAATCAGAAAAAATTATAATCATACGATTGAGCTAATTAAATACTAGTAAATTATTGAGCTAGTACAATTTTTTTTTACACCTTTGCAAACCACAAAAGTCAAGCATGGTCTAATCTTCTATGTATAGTTAAGTAGCTCCATCAAATTCTTGTCGAGATTAACTAACTTCTAATAATCTCTAATTGCTTCATTTAGTAGTTGACTGGAAAAGAAATTGACAATTTATATTTGCTAGCCTTTGCTGATTGCTACTACAAAAAGGAATTTCCTGTGTAATATCTAACTTTCCCAAAAATAACACTACAAACAAAACTACCTAGCTTTTGGGCTTAAATCGTACTTCTTCTGTCTCAAAATTATTGTACAGTTTGAGATTTCACTTTTAGTACAATTTAAACTAGAAATAAAAATTCAAACTGAATAATAATTATGGGACGGAGGATTAATCAATAATAATGGGGCTAATTTGAATTCCTTGCAATTAGTCTTATTTTTATCAACTGCCTCCAAATAAAAACATTATTATAGTGAACACCCACCCCATAAACGATCCAAAATAAGAAGGCAATTAAGGACTTAGTTGAATAAAGCACACGTGAAATCTCTCCCATTTGAAGAGTTCCATAAATATATAAATCATTTAACAAATCCATAAAAACAATCGTCACTAGAGTAATACGGTATTACCTTTAAAAAATGGAAAAAAAAAAAAACCCCAATTTGTTGAAGTAATAACAAGTAACAACAATCTTTATTAAGCAGCGAGGAAACATCAAGCATGATATGATGATGGTGTTTGGTTCAGAATAGAGGGCCCTCGTGATTCTATATCATTTTGCTGTTGAATTTTATCTTTCTTTTTTTTTCTTTTTTTTTTTTAACAATTTGCAGGTGTGCAGTCAGCATAAGGTAAACATCATGGTATTGTTGGTGACGCGTCAGCAACGTATGTATTCTGAACTTTCTTTTTCCTCGCCACACTAAATCAAAATGAAATTCTTACAACCCAATCACCACTGGTCATTGGATGAATTCGTTTTTCCACGCCAAACTTTTACCATTCGTGGCAACCAAATTACTACTACTACCACACCAAATTGACTTGAAAAATATGCGGATTAACAGACTCGATGATGGGTTTTTAACCCCTTTTTTGATAATCCCTTATCGTTTTTCTTTCGTAGTACTATTTCTAGTCACCACTTGTACTTCTTTCGACTACCAATTGAAAATTTTATCCGTCATTTTTCCAAACCGAAAAACTTAATTAGAAAGAAAACTGAAAAAAAAAAATTGAATAATAAGAAATAAAAAAAAAAAAAGCAGCCGGCCGTGCAATGAATCCATTTGAAGTTAACTCGGAATGGGTGGACCGGCCGCCATCTTTTTTTGCCCGAACGGGTGAATTGCCCGTCCCGAGTGAATTGCCTGTTCGCCTTAAATCCAGAACGGGTGGATCGCCCGGTCACCTTAGACCGGATACAGTTGGATCACCCGTTCGCCTTAGAACCGAGAGGATAATTCACCCGGTTCGGTCTGATGTGGAGAACCGGTCCGGTCAGACTTTTTTAATTTTAGATTTTTTGTTTCTTTTTGTTTTTTGTTTTTGTAATTAGTTAATCTAGTTTTTAGGTCATTAAATTTTTATTGGTTAAATTTATAAATAATTTAGTATTTGAGTTATATTAAGTATCATCAATCTTTGTAATACAAATAATTATTCTGTTCGCACATATTTGGCACAATATTTGCACTACAATTATTATTTTTGAGTATAAATGTATAATTATTAATTTAAACTAAAAATTATCTTAGAAAATAATTATTGAAGAAAAATTTTATGTTTTAATATTAATTCAAATAAATTAACTTAAAAAATAATCTTAAATTTTATTTTCAAGTAAAACTAATTAGTTGTTTATTTTTAAATAAATATAAAGTTGAGATTTTAAGCACTAATAAAGTATAAAAGTTGTTAATGGTATTTAAAGTACGAGATATTCAACATGCAGTGACACTGTGAATAAACAAACTTAATAATTTTGTACGTTCTCGTGTGAACCGCACCAGATGACTTGCCCGATTCAGTCTGATTTTTTGATTTGTTCCAATTACCTTAGAGTGGCTCATTCTCTCTCTCTTCTCTCTCTCCTTCAATTTAGTTTGTCAAAATGGAAGGGGCAAAATGAGAAATTGATGGCTGAAAGAAGTACATTTGGTGGCTAGAAAAAACCTCTTCCTTTCTTTTTACACCGAGTTGAAAATTGATATTGAATGCAGAGTATTTCAGAAGAACTCTTTTCTCAATTAAGATACTCCCTCCGTTCCATAATTATTGTCCACTTTGTCCAAAAAATTTTGTCCCAAAATTATCGTCCAATTTGACTTTTTATGGATCAAGTTACACATTTGTCCTTAGTAAAAAAACATTATCCATCGAATCTTTGTGGTTAAACAATTACTTATGTAGGGATATATCCGGTTGTTCAAGATAAAATATAGTTAAGTTTGACCAAAAATAAAATCTTTCATTTTAGTAAAATTGGACAATAATTATGGGACGGGGAGAGTACTATCACTTTTATTATCTAATTCATTTTCTTTTTTATCAGTATCTTCTTTGTTAAACTGAGTTGCATTATTATTGAAAATGAAAAAAAATTAAAATGGAAAGAAAAGTATTTCCTCTGCCCCAAAATGATTGTCCAACTTGAAATTTCACTTTTAGTACAATTTGAACTAGAAATGAAAATATAAATTGGACAATAATTATGATCCGCGAAGATTCTGATTCTCCATTCTCTATGATGAGTCAAGCTCACCGCTTTTATTAACAACGCTCGTCAGTCAAAATCTACCTTAATTTGGCTGCATTTATTTTCGAGAAAAAGAAAGGAAAGGATGGGTATGAAAAATGAAATTGTGGTTGTAGTAGTACATTTTTAACTCTCAGCACCGACCCAAAGAATTTTTGACATTTCTAAAGTTTGGAAGAAAATTCTACATAAAGGTGCTAGCTGCCTTTGTGTGTTTTTTTTTTTTTTTTTTTTGTACTTATTGGTCCCTCATATTTATCCAACAAGATGCAACTTTTTTTTACACAAAAAGGATGATGAAAATGATTTTGATTAATTAATCCAAGGCTTTTTGGCTCATCCCTTCACTTTTTAGTGTTGGCATCAAATTATTAGGACAAGAAAACCTATGACAAATCCATTCGGAAAGAACCAAATTATGATCAAATCTCTTTGTGTTGTTTTCCCATTTGATCTGGATTTACCGTGGACTTTTACCTTGGTACATCGTTATCACTTTTTCTTATATTAATGACGGAAGCTCTGATTGTGATCTAATTCATGTTATTTCTTCAAAAAAAAAAAAATTGTGTTGTAGAGTATTTATTGTAAATTTTATTCAAGCTACTAAATTAGAATGTGTGAAGAGAATCGGGAACCCTTTTTTTTGTAGACTAAATGATTATGGCAATGGCAGTTTTCCACCGACTTTCCCACCACAGACAAGCAGAGAAGCTTAAAAGGATCAGACATGTATGCTTTACAAAAGTTCTATTCCAACAATGATTTCACCGGACGCGTCTATAAATGTTCCTCCACACTATTTATATACGTAACATTAGGTCCTACGAAATTAAAAATATCCACATAAGCATTGAAGTAGACCATCTATATATATAAATAATCTCATTTCATTTATCAAATCTTGTTGTTTTTTTGACATAATAATAATAAAAAGAAATGTCAAAATGTAGCTGAGATCCTCTTGCTTCCAACAAAAGTGTTCATATAATTAGGAGGAATAAAGAAAGAAAATTAGAGTGGAAAGTATGAGGAAGAAGACCCTAGCCACTTAATCACGTATACTTCTTTTTAAAATTCTGAACATGTCTACATAAATTGAGAAATTACAAGGGGCGGCCTTTTGGGTCCCACTCCCACGCTCATGTTTGCTGCCAATTTTTGGTGCTTTACTAATCAACAACGCAACTAATCTTATTAGGAGGAAATCATTGCGGCTGTGACCACAGACATAATTTTATTATTATTATTTTTTTAATTCTAGTTCAAAAAATATATTCTTGATTTGACTTTTTTATCTCCTTTATTTAAACTTTTTATAAGGAAAGAAAAAAAAAAGATGATGGCAATTGGTTGAATTTAATTAATGATGATAATAAAAAAGTTGGTAAAGGATTTTTTTTATAAAAAATATTGGTAGTCTCATCGTCTGGTGAAAAAGCTCACAATCATGCAACAAAAGGAATTTGCTTACGGTACTGAAGAAAATCACGGGAAAAACAAAACCCGTACTTAATAAAATCAATGGCCTATCATTACGAAATCAAAAAGGTTCCTTATTCTTTCCACTCCATTTCCAACCGCTTAACTTTTATATATGCTGCTTCTTCATCTCAACTTCCCTTCGTTACTCCTATCTTTGTAAAACCAAAAAGCGTATAAACTTATCATCAGCCCACTTCATTTGAGGCCCAGATAATTTGAGAAATGACTTTTAATGGTTCAAATCCAAACCCCAACTCAAACAAAGAACGGCCCAAATTTCAAATTACGGTACTACCCCTCCTGCATAATCGTTCCGCGAAAATCTCCCGAGGCTTGGGAAAACCCTAGTCTTCATGCTCATCACTGAACTGGTTCGCTTTTCTGAATTCCCCCCCATTTTACCCACACTCACACACTAAGGTTTAATTACTCCGATTTTCCGATGTTGTTAACACGATCACGGACGTTAATCAAAACCCTAAACCCTCGCAATGGCTTCAACACTTGCAAATCCATTTCCACCTTCCCAATTCTCTACCAGGAAGCTCAACTCGCTGAAGAAGCGCCACCACATCCGTCGCAATCCACCGCCACTCCGTTGCCCCCTAACCCTGCCTCCGGCAGCCCATATTACAACCAGAACTGGCGGAACCCTTATCCTCAACCTCCCCCTCCTTCGCAGACCAATACCTTGATTCCGTTGGCGCTCCGAAATCAAAATCATCAAATGCAGTCGCTTTCACAGTCGTTAGATGTAAAAGGGTTAATGGATATATTCGCAGATTGGATGACATCGCATAGATGGGTTGATATGAAGCAGCTGTTTGAGTTCTGGGTCAGGTCTTTGGATAAGGATGGAAAGCCTAATAAGCCTGATGTTCATTTGTATAATCATTATTTGAGAGCTAATTTGATGTGTGGGGCTCCCCCTGTGGAGTTGCTGGACCTCGTTTCACAGATGGAAGATTTTTCTGTTGTTCCTAATACTGCTTCCTTCAATTTGGTTTTGAAATCAATGAGCATTGCTGGAGAGGCTGACGCCGCCATGAAATTGCTTGAAAGGTTACTACTTTTTATTCTCTTCCTCCTCCAATGTTTCCAGTTTGAAAATGTAGTGAGTGGTTGGTAAGAAAGTGAGTTAGTCTTGTAAGGTTAGCCTTGGTGTCATGGATTTGTTTCAAACATATAATGAACTAGGGTTACTTTTCATTCTGCTTTCACTTTTTGTGGATTATGGTTCATCATTATAGTTTCAGGAAACTAATTAAGATTTCATCTGCTTAAAATGCTGGTGTTATCTTCCATTTCACTCACATTTAGTTACCAAATCACTTATGGATATGGCAGTGGGTTGTGTTGTTTCAGATTGGATATGGGAGGATTTAGCAAAGGAAGTTTTGTTGTGTTAGCCAGAAGAAGGAAGTTTGGTTGTAACTGTGCACTTTGACAATATATACAACAATGACCTAGATAGGATCTTGATGTTAAGTCAACATGTAGTTAAACTACTGATACATTTTGGTGCAAATGCTGTTGTTTGTCAAATCCTCCAGCTTCATTTATGGGTATTTCATTATGGATTGTCTGAATAATGAACTTTTGTTTGTTCTTCTGATTCATTAGATATCTTCGTTGGCTGCGAGGTGCAGGGCTTGGAACTCCTAACTAGATTTTAAGTTCACTTTCAGGCATTTGTCTAATCAATATAAGGCTCATTTTACGGAACCCATTTTTTTTTCTGTATTTTTTCGTGCTCATTGGTTGAAGGTTGTTTGTTATGCTTTTATTATATTGTTTTGTTTTTTGATAGACAAGCCTTCTTATACTGTCAGGATGCTCCAGACAGGAAACGAATCTTCACCGGATGATGAATCATATGACTTAGTTCTTGGCATGCTGTTTCCAAGAAATCAGATGGAGGCAGGTCTCAAATTTTTAGATTTGGCCTTAAATTCTGGTTATACCATGTCGATGAAGATCTTCAATGACGTCGTAGGGCATTGTTTGCAAAAGGGGAAATTGATCTCACTTGTATCTGTCCTCGAGAAATGCAAGGTATGAATGTGCTTTGTTTGACTGGAAATTTTTGGTGGGGGTGCCTTCGCAATATCTGTATTTTTGCGTTTAATATTATTTTCTCGTTTGTGTATTTCCAGAAAATGGAGCAGAACAAAGACCTCTGTCCAAGTTGGAATTTGTGCAATGAAATTGCGGATATTGCATTGCAATCGGATCATAGTGAACTTGCCTTTTTTTGCCTGCAATTCATGGCGAGATGGATTGCTCGCGGGGAGATTGAAAGGCCACCTCTTCTGCGGCCTGTCGATCATGGTCTAATTGTTTCTGCACTTGCAACTGCTGTTAGAACATATAATCCCAAACTCTTGGAAGCTTCGTGGTCCATCCTAAAGCGAACATCACGTGGAGATACTGTCCCAAGCCCTGAATGTTACCTTGCAAAGATATCTGCCTATTCTTCTCTCGGTAACTTACCGAAGGCTTATGGTACTCTTCGTGAATTTGAAGCAGCTCATGGGAATCCCAGCGATGAAGCTTTGCAAGATCTATTCTCCCCTTTTACATCCTTAAATCCACTGGTTGTTGCAAGCTCCAAGAAAGGTTTTGTAACTTTGGATGAGGTAACAGAAGTTGTTTAGTATGGAGTAAAATATTGTTACTTCCATTTGTTTTGTATCTTTTGCTTTATTATGCACTGCAGGGGGTGAATGCATCATATTCCTTTTAGCTGTGGGCTTTGTAATGATACTATAAAACAGTTAAGTTTATGGATCTCCCATGATAAAAGACAATATGACAATACAATGCATTCGTTGAGTTGATTCCTGGATTTTTGATGTGCTGTATCTTACTAGTTACTACCTAAATAGGTCTTCTTGGTTTACTTGCCTTTTCTTTAATATTTCTGAAGATGTGTGGATTTGTAACGTGTTGGACTTGTGCAGGTTTATTATCAGTTAGAGAATTTGAGTCAAGGTGACCCTCCTTATAAGTCTGTTGCAGCACTGAACTGTATAATTATGGGTTGTGGAAACATTTGGGATGTCGATCGAGCGTACCAGACTTTCAATGCAATTGATGCTAGTTTTGGTTTGACACCGGATATTCATTCATACAACTCTCTCATATATGCTTTTGGGAAGCTGAAAAAGGTAAATGTTGATTCTTTTGGTACCGTCTCTTACACTATATCTCTCCTTTGCTAATTTTGTTTGCTCAGCATTTGCATTCTTGGTTGCATAGAAAATGAAACATTTCCTTTGTGCAAAATTATTGTTTACTGAGAGTGAAAGAAAGTTGGTCGCATGGCTTCCCTCAGAAGAGTCCTGGGACAAACATATGATGTACTTTTTTCTTTGCTTTCTCGTATAAACATGGGCGAAAGTCTATATTATCAACCATCTGAGTTTTTGTACTTGATGTGGCAGACAGAAGAAGCTGTGAAGGTGTTTGATCACTTTGTCAGCTTAGGTTTGAAGCCAAATGCCACAACATATTCTCTGCTTGTTGATGCACACCTGGTTACAAAAAACCAGAAAGCTGCTCTATCAGTAATTCAGGAAATGGTGAGTCTTCACTGCACCTGATATTTATTTAACCACTGTTTTTGGCTGTCTATGCTGTTAATAATTTCTCTTACCCGTTCTCTCACTGGGTGCAGGTACAGGAAGGATATGTACCATCGAAGGAATTGCTGAAAAAAGTCCGAAGGAGATGTGTCCGGGAGATGGATGATGTTACAAATAGCAAGATAGGAGCTTTGGCTTCCCAATTCAACATTCGATTGGGTACTGAGAATCGACGGAACATACTATTTAATCTCGAGTACAGTACTGAATCTGCCTGAAGTTTTTCTCTTTTTCTTTTCTTTTCTTTCTTTCTTTTTTTTGGGGGGGGAAACCTGCCTGAAGATTTTCCAGTATTGGGCAACTGTAATTTTAGCATGCCTCTTAGCAGGAAACCAATAGATCGACATTTTCTTTTTCTTTTTCCTCTTCGATTAATAGGCGAGCATTTTTCTGAAAATGTTTTGTACGATTTGTAAAATGATTCTAACGTAGAATACTCCTGTTTTGCTTTTCCAAAATAATGTCAAACCTCAGAACTTGCTGTATGGTTGGATAATTGGATTCCATTTCTTTCTTTTTTCTTTTTTTTTTTTTTTTTTTTTGGTAAAGGGGATTCCATTTCATTTATTTAAAGGTGAAAATGTCCATACCAGTTCAAAAGATGTGAAAATTCTGCTCACTTATTCACGGCTCGACTATGGTGGTTTCACTCACTACTATTCTTCAATAATTTTTTTTTTAAATGATACTGTATAAAATACGGTGAAATTAGAATTATGGGAAATAAATTTTATCCTGTCATTCTTTTTTTTTTTTTTGACATATTTGCAGGGAAATAAATTTTATCTTATCATTTTTTTTTTTTTTCCATATTTACAAGATGTCCACTGTCAGCAACACGCAAACTAATCTCCCTCATTCTAACCTGTTAAAAGAAAATAAAAATTATCAGAAGCCTTACTGGGCCATCTAACTCATAAAGGGTTAGTTTGGGTTAGTTGCCAGGCCCAAATCACACAATTCGAACAAAATTTGGGAACTCTTGGTTTTGGATCAAATACCCGAATCAAAGAAGTTATTCCAATTTCGGGATTTTCAATCCCTAGCCTTTTACACTTCCTTCTTCATCATCATCATCTTAGTCATTTGCCCTGTTAACGATTTGATTTCTTCAGCCTGATCAATAGAAAGCTTAGACGAAGAATTGATCGTCGTCAATCAATCAATAGAACGTAGAAAACGATGGGGCAAGTATCAGGTCTTAACGGAAAAGGTAAAAAGGAAGAACCTAAAAAGGAAAAGAGGCTGAAAGTGGAGAAGGAGGAGGAGGAGGAAGAGGAAGAACAAGAAGAAGCTGAGGATAACAACAATAATAACAACAAGAGTGAAGACGACGACGATGATGACGAGGAAGAGGAACCTGAGCAAGATGGGTTATCTGTGCATTCCCCTTGCAAACCTCCCCCTTCTTCCAAGCAAAAGGTATTTGTTGTAACTTTGTTTCATTACAATTTTTCAAAGTACATGCAACATTAATTTCTGAATTTTTGTTTCTTCTTGTTGGTGATTTCCACAGGACAATTCGGACGTGGAATTGGAACTCAAGTTATTGGAAGCTCTGGAAATTTATCCTCCAGTCAAATTAGGAGGCAATTCACTGGCCCTTTTAATTCTTCTTCTTTTTTTAAAAAATAAAAAATAAAAATCAGAAGCTTGTGTGATTTATTTCGTGATATTTGTCATTTCAACGTGTAATTGAAAGGATTTGTCTTTCAGAAAGAATCTCATATCCGTTTATTCTCTGTGAATCGGGTAGCCCTTGTGCCTGAAAAGCTGTTTCTTTGGGCTTTTCTAATTTTTAACTCAAAGCTGAGTGAGACTTTAATTAAAACAGGGAAAAATTTTATGTGAACTTTTTGGGACAAGGGACAGAGTTTTCTATGCTCACATGTCTGCAGTGTAAGAATTGGATAGGGAAGTAAGGAGGGATGAAGTTCTAAGTGTTTTGATTCCATTAATGAATCAAATTATTCTTAATTGGTTGTATAATTGCTTAAACCAAAAGTAATGTCTGTATATTTGGTCTCTGTTTTACCTTTTTTTTTGTTGTAAAAGTCAATATCTTCCAGAGATTGGCATCCAATTTAATATAGCTTCTGTATTCAGCAACCTCTTGTAGTATATTTTATGATAACATTTTAGCGTAATATCCTGTGGTTGTTGTTTGGTTCCTTAATTGTAACTTGATTCCTTACAGATAATGCATTTCATTGTTGATGACGGTCTGATTATACAAGCGTATACTTGAGTGCTTTCATGTAGTTATATGAAAATAACAAAATTTCCATTGCAAATGCTGGTGAATAAGAAGGCCATAGTTATATTTTTGAGGAGTTGGGCATTTGTAACACCGGTTTTCTTGCAGGGGTGCATCGTCATTTTGTTCTTTATGGTTTGACCGAATACCTCCGGAAAAGGTCTGTTGTGCTTTACGGCCGTCCTTCTTCTGTGTCTTTTCTTTTGTTCTTTTTTCCCCTTAAAATATCATCATCATGGAATTTATATTTTAGCCTATGCTTCACAGCTGCAATCGGCAATTTTCTTCTGCCGATGTTTTGAAGTTGCTGGATCGATTCTATAACTTGGAAATGATGGTGAGTATATATAACGATGTCATTATCATTTTTGGGGCCATCATATAATTTCTTAGTTTAACATCTTATTGCAGATGCATACCAAGTTAATACCTGTCTGATTTAGCTGGAAGTCAATTATCGTTATTTTTGTGCTCAGTTGGTGAAATGATTTTGAGGGCGTCACTGGGTCATTCAGTTCTGTGCTTCTAATGCATATAGGGAATCTAAGATTGCCAGGCGAAAAATTTAGAATTACACATGCTAGGAGCTATTTCTGTTTCTTTTCTGCAACATGTAAGCACGTCTGTATGGGGTTTTGTTCTTCTTGTTTACATGAGCATCTAAATTCAGTATCTGTTGTATTGCACTTTACCACTGAGGACTACTTTAGCCAAAGCTCTAATTCAACAATTTTATCAAGTCATTTATTCTTTATTTTGTTCTGCTCTCTTCAGAAACCAGATGATGAGGACTCAGAATTCCTTAGTCAACAGGAAGATTTTAGTTTGCCAAAAAGTTTTTTTGTAAAGGAGGACTCTTGATTAGCAAGTTTTTGGTGTATAGAGATCTTTTAGATTTTGTGGTTTTGCTGTTGGTTTAAGTTGTATCTTGTACATTGTAAAAGCTCCAGAATAACTTATATCAGTTGGATTTTTATAAATGAGACTATGTTTTCTAATCTGAATCGTACTTGAATATTTGAAGTATCGATACAACAATTTCAAGATTGAATGGGGGACTGGGTCCTATTGGCCCTTCAGGTGTAACACTGGTTTGCCAAGTTTTGCCTAGTTGATTCGGTAAAGGTTGGGACATTGACCTTATAATAACATAGATACGAGGTAGTGTCTATTTGCTTAATGGAGCTTTAGCTTTACAATAGATTGAGCTTTACGTATGATGCTTTATTAAAGAGATTCCCGTTCTGATGAACTCATTTTTTGGAGTTGCCTCTGGCACCACCTTATTCTTCATGATATTTAAACGCACAAATTCTCGTTTGTCGGGTTGTAAAATGCTCCCTAATTGAGAAATCAGACTTTCACGTTAACTTAGTGCAATTCGAAATTTGATGCCTTCGAAAAAGGATAAGAAAGATTGCGATTAAAGAAAGAACATGATAGACAATATATGTATGTATATATTCTGTCACTGAGTAATATGTTCCACGAAAAGATTTAAAAGGTTACACGAAGAAGATAGGGGTATGAGCTGCAATTTAACTAAAAGGCAAAGCGCATTTTGAGATGTAAACTTAAGAGAGTCTTCTTGTCTTGGTGATGGATCCGAATAGATTGACAAAATTTCAAAGCCTGATTGAGAGCTGACTTGAAAGACCTTTTCCGAGTGCTTGTGTATCTAATGACTGAATGCAGAGCTCTTTAGTATGCCTCAATGCTGCGGAAAAGATACGGATCAGGTGTCTAAGTAAGTAGGTAATATTATTTGGAGGTATGAAATGATTCATTATTAACCTCAGCAGCCTCTGCTGGCTTGGATTCTTCACTTTTTGGATTATCCTCACCTGAACAGAGACAGATGGTTGAAGATATGTAAGAATCTGAGCTCTACGTTATGAATACTTTTGACCAATACTAACATGACAAGAATCTAATTTCTCAGAAGCATAACTGTAAATTCATACTACCATGAAGTTGGATCTTATATCAGGTTTCAAAAAGTGCAGAATGGATGATGTTGGAAGTATTTTGGAAGGAGGGATGAGTTAATCCTACTTTCTCTTCTTATATGTTTACTTACCGCCATCTTCTGGCAGATCAGAGGTCCAGAGAGTGAGATTGTCCCTCAACAGCTGCATAATCAAGGTGCTGTCTTTGTATGACTCCTCACTCAATGTGTCCAGCTCTGAAATAGCCTCATCAAAAGCTTGCTTAGCCAAGTGGCAAGCCCTGCAAAGTGATAAACAGCATACTTTATGCAATCCTCAATAAGAGTCACAGACAAAGTTCTATGATCATAGTCATAGTATTAGGAAAATTACCTTTCAGGAGAGTTCATAATCTCATAGTAGAACACAGAGAAGTTCAAAGCAAGCCCAAGACGAATTGGGTGAGTTGAAGGAAGATCCGTGTTGGCAGTTGCAGAAGCAGCCTAGCGATAAATTGATACAAACCAAGTAAAACGAATGGCTAGAGACTGAAATTTATCTGTGTGCAATGAGTAATGTAAAATTGGCTTATATATATAGGGAGCATAGAATGTAAACACACCTCATAGCCCTTCAGTGACTGCTCAGCAGCTTCTTTTCTCTCTTGGTCAGTCTTAAACTCAGCCAGATATCGGAAATAATCACCTTTCCTATATTGAAAGGGCACCAGAACAAAGGTCAGTCCAATATTTGGTATTACAATTCATAAACTACTTATCTACTTTGGTCTCTCGTAGGATGTCTGACATTAAGTTTCACACTAAAATTTTAATCAAATGAAAATGTCTATAAACCTAAGAATTCTTTATGGCATTCATTTCATAAGTAGAGATGAAGTGCTAAAAGAAGATTTTAACTACGACTCCTTCATGAAAGGTTCTAGCATTAAGTAAAAAATAGATTAGGAAGGGACAAAATGGCACACATCTTATAGTAAAAAACAGTGGCTTCTCCGGAGCCAGAGGATGGTATCAGATGCTCGTCAATGATTGTGAGGATGTCACTGCAAATCTTAGTGAGCTCATCCTCAACCTTCTGGCGATAGTCTTTGATGAGTTTAACATTGTGCTCATTTCCCTTAGACTCCTCCTTCTGTTCGATAGAGGACATGATCCGCCATGAAGCTCTGCGGGCACCAATAACATTCTTGTACCCAACAGATAGAAGATTCCTCTCTTCCACGGTCAGCTCAACATCAAGTTTTGCAACTTGCTTCATGCTCTCAACCATTTCTACCAATACAAAGAGGGGATTGAAAGACCAACAAATTAGAACCAAAAGGTAATTACTTAAACGCAATACCACAAACCCACCCCCCCTTTAAGTTGAACATACAACAAAGAGGGGGTTGATTTTTCTTGATCATTCGGTAAATTTTGCAGTAAAAAAGAAAAGAGAGAGAGAGAGAGAGAGAGAGAGAGAGAGAGAGAGAGAGAGAGAGCAGAACAGTATTACAAATAAATGCTTCACAGAATTAAGGGAACCATAACCAACATCAGCCATCCATTCAAAATCCTCCGATAAATTCTTAAAACATTAGCAGCATCCATTTCACATTTCAAGAAATTTTGGTCACGAATATTCACAGCATGTAAAAAAAAAATCAAACACCAATCCAGATGAGCAAAATGCATGAATTACGGGTCTATAACGAATCGACGATAAAAAATAAAAAAAAAAAAAACGCTAAATAAAAGAAATGTAGAAAATAAATTACCTTCATAGCGCTCGGCTTGCTCAGCGAGCTTGGCCATGTAAACATGAGTCTCTCTCTCCTTTTCAGTCGACATTGTTGAATAGGGCGATTAACAATCACAATAATCTCTCTACGCTATTTAACAAAAAATAAAATCAAAAGAAATAATATAACACGAAAAAGGGTAGAAACTAGGAAGGGATCGACTGAAAAAAAGAAGTAAAAAATGGCAAGAAAAAAAAAATAATAAAAAGGAGGGGAGAGGGAAGAATTTATGGAGGTTGAGAAAGAAGGGGGGGAAAATGGTGGTTGGTTTTATTTGGGGGCTGCAGAAATACCGGATCTGGACCGTTGGATTAGGAGAAATATACTGGTCATGTTTTCCCATTTTTCTTTTTCAATTTTTCACATTTTAACGGGAAAAAAAAAAAGAAAAAGAAACTACCAAATTTAAAAACACGTGCGAATCCAAAATCTGACATTGTTGATTTTCTGTGGGGAATTTGGATTTTTCGTTTTTGTTTTGACCATTATATGCCTAGGTTGTCTGTTGTCGCGTTTTCTATTTTTTTTTTCCCATCTTTTTCTTTTTTTTTTTCTTTTGCTGACCAACATTCTAGATGCTCTATAAATTGTTACCCTTAAAATTGATAATATTTCTTCCTTTTCTAGGCTTCTTGACGAATATGAAACTTTGATTTCCATTGTTCATCAAAACCTAATATATTGCTCAGGTTATTTAACTATATTTGTTCCTTAGTTACGTGTATTCTGGTCATCTGGTGATAAAAACCAACAATTTTTTTTTCCAGTTAATGTACTTTCTCCGTTATAAGTCTTTTTTTTTTAAAAAAAAATTGAATTGCCCCAGTGAAAATCGAACACTCGACCTCCCGGTAATAAGTCGCTTAATTATTGAAATTTAAGGGAAAAAATGAGCTTGTCATAAGTTTTAAAAAGAATTTACATTGAGTTTGTTTTATTACAAATCTTAAAGCTCTATTTGGAATGGTAATTGTTTAGAAGCAGAATATATATTTGCAAGTCAAGTCCTTATAATTTTTACTAAATACGAATTCTAGTCTTCAATTTATGCCATTCCTCTTGGCTTCCTTTCCATTTGAATATCCCCAAAAATGCTCAGAGCAAAAACTCTCTCACCAACAATCGCTACCCTTTCTCCCTACCTCCGCAGCCACCTCTGCACCTTAAACACCACCGGCGGCGCCGCGTCATCCGCCATCAGCACAACAAACGCAACCACTTCTCCTCCCAGTAATAACTCAATACCGCCAGTGAACGAAGCCCAACTCCTCAGAGTATGCACAATCCTCTATCAACAACAGAACTCCCCTGATTCCAGACTCCATAACAACCTCCAAAACGTTCCGTTTCAACTCACTCACGAATTCTTCCTCCAGGTTTGCGACAAATTCCCATATTCATGGAGACCCGTTTTCAAATTTCACCAGTTTTCTCAAAAGCAACCCCACTTCAGTCATACCTCCACCACATTCAACAAATTGCTCGACGTGGTTGGGAAATCGAGAAACATTGACCTCCTGTGGGAATTGCTTCAAGAAATTGGGCGTCTCGGTTTGGTGAACACTAAAACTTTTATAATTGCGTCAAAGGTTTTAGCTTCAGCTAGGGAACTGTGGAAATGTGTTCAGATTTTTCATGTAATGAATGGGTTTGGGTATGTTTACAGTGCCGAGAATTTGAACAAGGTTGTTGAGGCTTTGTGTAGGTCTAAGCTGGCTGCGGAGGCTAATCATGTGGTTGTGAAATTGAGAAAGGTGATTAGACCAGATGGGACTACTTACAGGTGGTTGATTTATGGATATTGTGATGTTGGGAGTTTGTTTGAGGCCTCCAAACTGTGGAATTTAATGGCGGATCAAGGGATTGATCCTGATGTTGCGACTGTTGAGACAATGTTGGAGACCCTTTTCAAGAACAACAACTTTAGTGATGGATTGAAGCTGTTTCAGTCAATGAGAGTGCGGAGGATGAACGATTTGGGGCTTTCGACTTACCGGCTGGTGATCAATTGGTTATGCAAGAGGGGCAAGCTGGGGGAAGGTTACATGGTGTTTGAGGAAATGCGTGAAAGAGGCATTCAAGCCGATAGCGACACTTTGGCATCTATGGTTTATGGGTTCATGATCAAAGGAAGGGTGAACGAGGGTTATAAGATTGTTGAAGGAATTGAAAAGCCGGATATCAGTGTTTATCATGGGTTGATCAAGGGACTTTTGAAATTGAAAAGGCCTAAGGAGGCTACTCAAGTGTTTAGGGAGATGATAAAAAGGGGATGTGAGCCTACTATGCATACATATGTTATGTTGCTGCAAGGACATTTGGGCAAGCGAGGACGAAAGGGATCCGATCCATTGGTCAATTTTGATACAATTTTTGTTGGAGGATTGGTAAAAGCCGGCAAGTCCTTGGAAGCTACCAAATATGTGGAGAGAGTCTTGAACAGAGGAGTGGAGAAAGTCTTGAACAGAGGAGTAGAAGTGCCAAGATTTGATTACAATAGGTTTCTGCATTATTTTTCAAATGAGGAAGGTGTGTTCATGTTTGAGGATATGGCAAAGAAATTAAAAGAAGTGGGATTGTTTGATTTAGCCGATATATTTTCTAGGTATGGGGAGAAAATGGCAACCAGGGATCGGAGAAGAAGTAGAGATAATTATTGAGAGCCAAAACATGAATGCAGAGATGATTCGCGAGAATATTCGACAATGTAGTGCAGTAGGAACTGTTAGATTTATCCAGTTTGTGTGTACTTTTAAGTGCACTATCCTGATTCCTGACAAACTCAGAGTCTGCAATTTGGCAGATACCAGTTTATACTGGAGTACTATCCTTAACCAGAATCTATACAATCATTTTGTCTAATAGGAATCACATTGTTCTGACCAGTATTGTATTTGTACAAAAGATAGAATGAAGGATTGCAGCTCTGTGTTCTTCTGTACTAATTTGCTTATGATATGAATTGGTATAATGTAAATAAGTTACTGCAAATATTGAGAAATAACAGGAAAATGAGCCACAATCCAAGAGTATGAGATGACATTTTCTCATCTTTAAGTTTGTTATTTACAAGGAAAAAAAGGCCAATCAAGAAGTGGTATGGTGTCACTTTAATGATCTCGATTCTTCAATCTTACAATTGAATGCCTTGCAGCATTCACCTTGGATAGAGCAGTTGTCTTCAGTACAAATGACATCAAACTACATAATCAATCAAACAATATGAAATCCACAAAAAAATGAGGTGAAAATGAATAACTACAAACTTCTTTGCTAGGAGTTGGGAAAAAATTTCTTTCTTTGGACTGGGGAATTCCTCAGCCAATATTTATGTACTCTACATCTTGCAAAATTTTCTCATTCATCTTCGTGGCAGCGCCCTGATTGATCTGTTCACCAAACAGATACTGTATATACCTTGTGTTGCAGCTCGCGCCCTGCCACAGAATATAGCTAAACATAGGTCACACACCCATATTGTCAAGTAAAAGGAAAGAAGGAAAAATTAACATGCAGAAAAGCTTGCACAAAAACATAGCATCTAGAAGAATTACCAGATTGTTAAAAGGCCTGGGCGGTAAGATTTATGAGGATTATCTATAGCTAGATATAATCATTTTCTTGTGAACGGCTTTTGACATACAAGAAGACGCTGGTCACTCCCATTCTCAACATCAATTACTCTGGCCTCCCAGCGTATCTGGGTAGTAATCGACCGTGCTTTCTCTATTTGACCAACTTTATCAGAAAGAATAACCCAACCCTGTGATGGGACAAAAGTTTCACATGTCAGGAATGCCTATTACACTTAGGGGAACAAACAGTTGGAAACATGAAGAGTATATCCCTCATTGCTGAACACTTCTTGGTTTCAAATTATCAAAACCAAGAATAATTGAGGCAGAGGGAAATGTAGGTATACCGTGAAAGATTGGGATTTAGCTATTACCTCAGGACGCAGGATGCGATCCATTTCAAAAAGCAAGTCTACCATGCTACAACCCTTTTCAGTAAGACGCGACAGAAGGTTACTGCCATGAAGCAAGTCATAGGTTCGAGGATACGTGGGAAACGGCTCACACCTGCAACCAAAATGTCTGAACGTCAATATAAACAGCCAGAGACCCCAGACTAAATGGGAAATGATGGAACGGAAGGTCCAAACAGACCAGACAAACCAGGATAAGTCCAGATAATACAAACCAAATCAAAGTTTCAGATATTGTAGCATGCACAGCTTTACAACTTTCATTACTCAATTTGGAAATCGGAATAGATTGTGAATGTGTATCTGTTTTCAGACCAACTGAATCTTCATCACTATCTACCAAACAAATATTTTCATTTAAAAAATAATTCAATTTTCAAGCAAAAACTTTCATCATGCACAAGAAGACAGCTAAATCAATGCAATTTTCAAGCAAAAACTTCAATTATGCCCTAGAATAAAACTGAGATCCCAACTAATGTAACCAACCAGCAAATTTACACTACGAAAATCAAATCAAATCCTCAGCAATCGTCTGTGTGAGTTATATCGTATTGAGCAATGCTTCAGATCGCCTATAAATTCTGGCTTCTTTAGATAGCATTAAACTTATAGTAAAAAAAGGAACCTAACAAAGCCCTAGTTTATGATATGATACCCCAAAGTATTAACATAGCTTAGACAAAGCGCATCAAAAGAACACGTTACCAGTCATGATAGACACCAGCAAATCCTCGGTCAAGTATAAGAGGTAATGTATCATCTGCTCCAACTGGCACCACATTCATGACCCAAGCTGATTTCCTAGCTTCCAATAATGCAGCATTGAGACCCCCATAACGTGCGTTCATATCCATCACATTCCGAACCATGTTATATGGAAGTAACGGTTCTTCTTCACCTGGCCTCTTTGGATGATCAGAGAATATAAGAGGAGATAACAGAGACCAATAGTCTCTTAAAGATGATCTCCAGAACTCCAAGTCTTCTGAGAAATCATCAGGAAGAACTCCTGTTCCATAATATCTTATATCAATATATGATTACCCAAACACTTAAAGGAGTAGTAGGCCACAAGAAATGTAATACAACAATACAGAAAACATAATGAAAATACTAAGGGCAAAACTTTCCATAAACTTCGAGATCAGCAGAGTTTAAAGAATCAGAGGATCTGTTTTGGATGGGATTCCATCGTTTGCTGGTTCTTCCACTTAAACAGTTTACCAATGGCTGATAATATGACTGAGAATTGTCTCCCTTACATAGTGGTACATCAATATGCCTGCAAAATCAGTGTCAAGAAATCATGGATACTGCATTATGACCCAAAACATAATTGCACGAAGGACTAGAATGAATCAAAATATAATTTTATTTTGCCCCTCCATTTTTTGTCTTAAAACAAGAGGGTGGAGAGGACGGCGTTCAGAATTCTATAGTGGCAAAAACAAAAGGGAAACAGTACGCTGAAGTCATAGCTGATTCAGGCTGACTCTATGTAGAAGCATTTCCGAAAACAGCTATTTCACATGCGAAGGGAAAACAAATTGCATTTTCTCACTAGTCTTACCCTGATGTGTAACATTGAGCATCTGAAGTCTTCTGCCAGATAAAAGTCTCTTCTTGCTCGGCTAACAATTTCCAACACATCTTTTGTGCAAGTTCCTCAATTGGAGTTGCCATGCTTCCCTTTTTTAAAGTTGAGGAACTTCCATGCTGCCCGCTGATGGGGGAGGTTAAAACAAAGTAACCCCCTGGCTTAAGCAAACGATCAACTTCGATAAGGAACAACCCATCTGTAGCAGAGTATGAGAATCCCAAGGTCAAAGAGGATTATTTTATGCGTAATCTCACAAACAAGAGCAAAAATGATAAGGCCATAAGTGGGGAAAAGATAAACATTGTTTGTCAACTGCATAAGCGAAACATGGAACTAAACAGACCATGCTATGCTTGTACAACACCAGGCCTGATACAAACATACCTTTCTTGTCCCAAACGATACCACACTGGGCACAGTGTATCATGTCATATGATAAAGAAGCAAAAGGAAGCTGTCTTGAAATAAAGTTGCCAATGATAGCAGGAAGACCTCTTTCAAGGGCCAACTGAACTTGGCTACCAGTCAACTCATATGATGCCGTACAAACAGCCATTATATTGAGAGCGAGCAAATGAGATCCGAAGCTTCCAAACCCACAGCCAATATCTAAGACAGTGCGTATCTGCAAATGACACAAGACACTCAGATTTGACTGCAGCAGAAATATTTCTCAAAAGAAAGATAGAAAACCAGAACACAGAACAAACAAACCATCATTGAAATCATCACTTACACCAGCCTGATAGAATTCATTATCACCAGCAAGTCCAATCATGTCTGCTATTAAGTGGGAGTAATCTTTGACATCATCCATCCCATCTTCTGAGTGGAAAGCAATTTGATTTTCTTCAACTAACATCAACCTATAAACATTACAAATAGAAAACATCTCAATGAAAATATCTGTAGAACTTCCCACCATAGAGAACTCAATTGTAAAATGGACTTGGTACAAATAAATTACTACGAACATAGGATATACCTCTTTGTCATGGTACCAGATGACAGAAACTGGTCTTTGGATATCTTCACATTTGCACTCCAGATAACATCCCTCCCTGTGGGCCAATTCAAAGGAATCTTATAGTCCTTAGGAGGACGAACTAGACAATGCTGTTGATCGTTGGAAACTTCACAATGCCGATCAAACTCCTCCCCATCTTTGAATCCAGCTAGTATATTTGCAGAAACATTATAACAAGGCACATAATTCTCTCTATCCTTTCCACAAAGACCAACATCCCGGAGCTTATTAACCCCTGCAGATAGAGTTCTCAACTCCAAGTAATCACTGGTTGCTTGCTCCTTCAGCTTTCTGTAACTTTCAGGTTTCACATATGGCGTAACAGAGTGGAAAGCAGTCGAAGAAGAAGACCCCAAAAGTGCAATTAGCACAATTATACTCACTAGAAATAACAGCAACCAGTTGAGTGGCGGTCTAGGCCCAAAAAATAAAGATAATCTCTTTAGCCAAGGGCTTCTCATGTCCAAGTTTTGCTAAACCCCCAAACAAAGAATGATTTATATTTCCGGACTTCACTTTCAACTTAAACCTCCAAGAACTACAACCAGAGTGATCCTCTCATTAAATACAGTCTTCCATTTATATTTCCAGAAACCCATGCAATTCCTACTAACATTTGAGCAACCAAACTTTTTAGGCTCAAGTCACAGCAATCCTATGTAGTGAAGTCAACATAATTAATGTCAAAGAAAGACTTCCGTCTCAGTAACCTACATCACAAATGAAGATACCAGATCACGAAACCGCCCCAATGGCAAAAGAAGTTTTTTTTTTCCACTCCTTCAAACTTCAAAAATCCAAGCGTCTCTGGCGCAGAAACAGATGTAAATTCTTCGCTGGAGGCAATTCCGTACCCTCAATCAATAACTTCAACAAAATTGAATACCGCTGCTCTCAGATCAACCTGCAAAAGAACCCAAATTTTCAACAACTAAAAAAATAACCACACAAGAAACGAACTTTAACCCAATTGACAATGACAATCAAACTCCTAAATCCAAACTACCACTCACTCGCCCGAAGAAGCAAAAAAGAAGAAATTCAGATCCCAACCCAGATCAGATCCACGTGGAAAAATCCCAGAATCATGGCAATCAAAAAGCAAAACACAAAAGCAACAAAAGGGCATCTCTTTTAATCACCTTGTCGTTAAAGTTGACAGATAATAATTGTGTATGTACGTTGGAAGGACCGTTGGCAAATGCTACACAGAGTTCAGATTCACCATTGACATTTTGGGGCTATGGTGAGCAAGAAGGCAGCTTTTTGGTTTTTTCCCAGCCTTTTTTGTGGGAGCGGTGAATTGAATCTTCTCTATAATTAGGAAGGGGAAAAATAGTCAATGTTGTGGGTTTTGTTTGTATAAAATTGCAGTAGGGTGGTGGCAGTATGTTGGTGGCAATTTAGCACTAGTAATAGGTTCAGACTTCAGATCCAATTCCTTCTGATAAAGCTCGCAATTTTAGAAAGAGACACCAACAAACAAAAACACACAAAAACAAATGACTCTCATTAATTGTCTGTGTGTGTGTATGTGTGTGAAATTTGAGTTGCGTTTCTGTACTTCTTCCTTATTTGCAGTTAAGCCATTTTTTTTTTTTACCCTTTTTTTTTAACTATCACTTCTTTGTACTCCTATTAGTGAATGGGGATCTTTGATGTATAGCAATTTTATTTGAGTGGAAATTATTAGTATAATCTTTAAATCATTGGATTTGGATGAACACAAAAAAAAATTAAAGAAAAGCTGGTTATTTGTTGTGAAAGAATGGTCTTTTGGTGAGCTGGATATGACACTTTTTTTTTTTCTTTTTAGTTGATTTTTGGTACCACATTTATTAAAAGAATAATTGAAAATCAAGAATTCTTCTTGATGGAACTTTTTTGAACTTGGTTTATCTCCTTTTACTTTTTGGTTTTGAGGTTACTGGACTTATACGTTATGCTGATAATAATAAATAATAAATGATGATGATGCTGATGCCAAATGGATTTTTACTTGGCCAAGAGATGATAAACTCTTTATCTTATTTCTCATGTTGATCTTCATCTCTTCTTCATCAACACAACGTGTTTTTTTTTGGTTCTTTTTTTTAAGAATGTGACTCTTATTAATTTTTTGATTAATGAAAATTGACATTTTTCTTTTGGTCTATAGTAATCCTTTTTCAGTTTTTGTTTTTTGTTTTTTTGAATGCGACTCTTATCTATTTTTTAATAACAAAAATTGACATTTTTCTTTTGGTATGTTGTAATCATTTTCAGAATCTAAAGATATTGACTGATTCATGAAACATATATCAACTATTTTCTGTATTTATATTTCGTACGAATCTCATTTATGGAACAACTCAACTTAAGAGATGCATTACTAAGCTTTTAATGCTCTCTTAATCAATGGATTTATACAGAAAGGGGGAACTAATTTAGGGATTTTTCGAAGTGTTAGTTTTAGTTGTTTTTTTTTTTTTTTCATAGGAAAGAATGCAATCTCTTCTTTAGCTTATTTATTTATTTTGTTTCTAAATGTTTTCAAAATGCAGAAATTAGAAGAGGTAAAAAAGGATGGGATCTTATATAACTTGGCTTTGGCATTGGTCAGGAAGTGGACAAATCATTGGGTAAAAACATCACAGTGCGTTCGTGTGTGATGACATTCCATTTGGAGCACTATAGAATTCAGCACCAAAAACACTTTCATTTTTATAGTATTTGTTTTAGACGTCACCAACCAAAAACAAAAAAAAAAAAAAAAACAACTACTATAATGGTACACCACCACTCTGCCTTCAATCTATATAAAAAAATAATAATAATAATGTTGATTCTGGACCAACCCATCATCACCAAACATCAACTTTTCCTCATCCTTTCCTTTCATCAAATACCCAAAAGATTACTTCCTTTCATCAAAACCACCAAAAGGATTTAAAAAAAAAACACATAATGAAGTAGAAGAAGCAGTGGTCAAGTTCGTAGCTGGTTTACACCAAATGGATTATTAATATAATCTTCTGGAAAACAGTGGTAGGTTTGTTAGTCTAACAATCTTACCCGTCAAGCTAATGCAAGCATCTGACTTTAAAGCAGACAAAAGAGCAATTGGTTTTCTTTAACTTAAAAACAGCTCATGATCCAAGAAAAATCCCTTGCAAAATGAGTTGTGCCATGTGTATTAAGACATATTTATAAGACCATCTTCACCATGAATCGATAAGCAACATGAATATGGGTTGCTTCTACCCATAAAAAAAAAAATATGGGTTGCAAAATACAAAAAGTAGAACATGACAAAAAGATATGATAGGGCTGATAAAACCAGAAAACACTAAAACCTGCAAAAAATCATGTTACAGAATCACATAAAACACAACACGAAAATTTCATACCGGGCATTCCCAATTATAAGGAGAAGCGTCGTATCAAACTCTAAACAGATCCTAATTCCCTGTTTAAATAATCTGCAAACATTCTCTTTGCACTATCTGCATCCGCAGGTGGAGGGCGACCACTTAAACTGGATTGACCGGTTAATTTTAAGAAAGTTCGTCGCAGCCTGCGAAGCTCTGGCAACCCAACAGGCTGTGAAATGCTGATGCTAGGTAATTGAGGCCCGAGTGACAAGTTATTGATAGGACCACCAAGCGCTTTAGACTGGGCTTCTATGACAACATTGATCACTTCTTGTGTAGCCTTATCCATCTCATAAAGAGAATTTGCCTCTGAACTCCGATTAGTCTGAGTAGCTATAGTTGGCTGTAGAATTTTGACATCTCTGGTTTTTGAGTCGACTTTCTTGGTCAGATATGTAACAGCATCAACAATAGCACCGGAAGACTTTTCGATTCCTTCCCTTGCTGGCCATAACTCAAACAAAGGTGAATCCCAACGATTTCTTCTCTCTGGTGTCTCAAACCTTCTCACCAGATCTTCGAAAATATCGTCATTGTAGGAAGGTTCTTGTTTTTCCCGGCGTTCTTCATTCCACTTTCTGCAGCAGGCTTCATCGGCATCACAGAAGAGCACACAATACCTGATTCCTGCTGCGCGAGCCAAACACCACAGCTCGTATCTGTAACCCTTTATGCTGTTTAACGAATCTACGATAAGAATGTTATCTTTAGACAAAGATCGGTCAACTTCAGACCTCAGTACCCCTCTCAAGTTCTTTTCAGCAGGCATGTTAGCATAACTTTGGTTGCGATCAAGATGAAAAGCAGTTTCATCTATAATTCTGACTAATGGTTTCGACTCTGTTTCCTTAAGAGCTTCAGCAAGAGAGGTTGCGGCAGTCGACTTCCCACTACATGGTTGGCCACAGATAACAACCAATGCCATCCCAACAAAGGATTTCGACTTCAAGACAATGTCAATAATCTGCAGACAAGTTGAACTGCGCATATGAGAAAATCTCAAGGATTTAAACCAGTACATCTAACAAGCATAATACTGTATTAGAATTTTTACGGCTAGAACAGATTCTTTTGTGTAACTAAAGAATCTATTCTTCATTATTACAGTAAGGTCTATTCACACTCAGGCGGGAACATGGAAGAACAAATTTAACAAAAGTGAAGTCATGTTTGAAGAAGCACTCAACGAAAGAATTGAAGCTACAACAACAATAGAAGTAAGGACAAAACATATCCAAGTACCCAACCGAATGCAAGATACCCGTTCGATTTACAACAGAACAAACTTCCGGTCATACCTTGATTCCTGTTGTTTGGGAACCTAAGCTATGAATCCATAACATATAACAAGAAGGGTGTGTCCACATCAATAATGTTTACTCAGGGCGGCAAATAATTGAAAACCCAAGGTTTAATTTCACAACAAATAATCACAAGAAGCTAGGGTTAAATAGAAATCAAATTCCCAACATTCATTTAGTTATTTCATCAAACACGTCGCAGCGGATTAACATGTGCCGCACAGCAAGATTCATAAACCACTAGCCGTGAGGATGAAACTGAGAGCACAAAGACAAAATTTTGACATAAAAAAATTGAATATCAGTTCCATGCCATTTACCTGCAATCTGCAATCTGCCGAGGAGATCAATTCCTCAACACTGTTTACCTTCAAAATAACTAAAAATCGAGTCTTGCAATCTTTCAGAGGAGATGAATTCTTCAACTCCTTATGTTTGTTGCTGAACTAAAAGTCCAGTCCAGTCTTTTTGCAAGAATAAGTTGAAGCAGCTCTCTTTTGTTTCCAAGGAGAATCCAGTTTCACTTTTTACTCAAAAGCCTTGAGCGGACGCGTCCCTAATAACAAAACGATTCCTTGATTGTTTGTCGTTTTATTTTACTTTTTGTCTCATTTTACCCCTTAAACACAAATTTTAATACATTATTCAAATATTAATTTAATTTATTTTTTAAACTATTGTAAAGTTTAGTACCGATGGTCACTAAACTATTGTAAAGTTTTAAGTCTAGTCACTATTCTATAATACTTTCCAAAAATTGTCACTGAATTTTATTTTAAATCTCCTCTCAAATTCAAATAAAAAACTAAAACAAAACGTTATTCAAACATTGGCTTCTTTATAGTTTTTATATACCTAAATTAATTACTAATACTACTAAAGCATTCTGTAATTAGCTTTCCAAAACCTTCTGTTTGGAAATATTAAAACACGAAACAAATAGGGTTGATTATTTTTACCTGATCATGCACACACAAACACGGGAAAAAGTGGATATTTGTGTTAACAATAACCATGTTAATGTCGAGATTTGATGAATAAATTTTATCCTAAGAGAATAAAATTGATGGCATTTTTTTTCGTTAACAAGTTTCAACTTTTCGGTGGATCTATTCACCTTTCATTAATAAAATTATTATTCTGAGAAAATTACTACAAAACAACGACTAATAAGGTTCACTATCTGGTGGTGTTCTTGATGTTACAAAAGAAAAAAAAAAAAGACTTGTAACGTTCTAACACCCAATTCTCCTCTTTAGTTAATTACTAGTATTTCGCCCGTGGCGGGTTTACAAAATGACTTTTTCAGGACTGAGCAACTTCAGGCAGTGCAATCTCTTAGGCAATCGCGAAGAACTTCTTGATTCAACAGTTTACCTGCATAAAAAACATCACCCATCATCAAAAAGTCCAACCAATTCAACCCAAATAAAAGAACCCAAGGAGAAATGTTCAAACCTATGAATACTATTTTGCTCATTTCAGTTTCATCTTTTCTCCATTCACGAGCCGGGACAATTTCATAAATTTCCCTCACACCCTGCAACATCAAAATGTGCAAAAAAGATTACAATCAAGTATACAGGTGTGTTAATGATGCGCTAGAAATGGAGCAGTACCTGCAACGTGTGAAGTTGATCTGAGTTCTTAATGTTTAAAACCCCTTTGCACCGATAAATATCCATGCTATACTTTTTATCCCAAAGAATCTCCTCCAGCCAAGTGCGAACCTAAGACAATGACACAAGGGTAAAGACGTGACAAGGATCATCTCGCGGTAAAAGCAATTAATGAAGCCGTTGTCTATGAGAAAATGCAATCTTTCAACTTGGTTGTAATGGCAGGAAGAAGGAATATCGGAAAAAGAAATGCAAAAGAGAGCAACTGTTGAACAGTTGGCTGAACACCATAATTGATTAACTTGCAGGGTAAAGCTCGATTAACAATTTAGAAACTCAAACCAACTGTGCAGTTTCACGGACAGTGTTCTGATTTCAAAGAAGATTTAGTACCTTGTCAAGATCTAACTTCTGCTTTTCGGAGATACAGATGGTTCTCACACCAACATCATGAAGTTCTTCGGTAGTCAGAGATCTATTTTCCTCCAGTAATGCTTCCAAATGAGCAACATGCTGAAAATGATTACGAGAAAAATTATCCTCTATTTTAGCATATCACGTCACATGATTAATTACAGATCAGCAAAGTGAAATGGGAATTTACTTCAGAATCATACGCCTGGCAGTCCAGTATCATGGACAGCTCTACTTGGCACCGGGTGGAACGAATAATTTTTGTGAGGGAATTGATACTACGCATCTCCTTCTCAAGTTCCTCCAGCTGGTTTGCAGAAGCTTGATCAACTTTATTCAGAATCACAACATCCTAAAAGGAGAGATAAGTAACAATGTTAGTAGTCCTAACAGCCATTGGATCAACTATCCAAGGTAGTGAGTCTATGAAGTATCAGCATAAGAAGGAAATCATCAGTTCATCGAAAAGAAATTAAAGAATTTGCTAATGCAAGTAAAAAAAATTTTTACCGCAAAAGCTATTTGTAAATAAGCTTCAGGGAAGGAGGAAGAGTCGCGCTGCATCTTTAGCTGGTACGGAAGGTTCTTGGCATCAACAACCTATTTATTAAAAACAAAAGTCATTTAGACACCCAAGTAGAAAAAAGGCAAGAGACAGTTCATTACACAGTGGAAAACTATCAGATAATTAACCATCACAAGATGTCACATTTATTTTACCACTGACATTTCTCAACCAGAAGCGCAATTTTCACTTAGAACCCTAACAAACTTCTCTGAAAAACTTCAGAAGCAAGTTGGCAAATGAAACTCACAGTGATGATAGAGTCAAGCTTAACGGATGATTCAAGCTGATCATCCAACCAGAGAACAGAAGCAAGCGGAGCAGGGTTTGCCAACCCTGTCGTCTCCAGTAATATATGATCAAGTCTACATGCAACAAGATAAAAGAAAATTTGCACTGTCAGTTCCAGAAGCATATAACAATCAGATAAGATAAGGCCTCCTGACAAACATAGATTAACAAATGATGCCAAAATTCCAACATTGGTAGCAGTAGAAACTTTCTGCAAGTACTTTTTGATATCCAACTGACAAACTAAACTTCTACATAAACCATTCAACTCAACAACTAAACACAAGGAGAAGCTCATTTAGAGATTTCATTTTTCTAGGTAAAAACAATATAAAAGCTGTGAATAAAAAGTTTATACAAGATGGGAATGCCATATTTGTCTGACAAGAACAATATAAAGATAATACTCATTTTCATTAAAAAGGAAAAAAATATATATCTTTAACCTTTCTTTTCTTTGAACAAGTTGCTCAAGTGCTTGAACCAAACTGTGCTTAACAGTGCAACAAATGCAGCCATTATCAAGCTCCACCCATTCCTCAACCAGGGCACCTTCTTCTCCTTCATTAATCATTGCTCTTTCCACCCCAATCTCCTCCCCAAACTCATTCAAAATCACCGCTATTCTCTTCCCATGTTTCGAATTTATTATGTAATTCACCAACTGCAACCAAATTCACCAAATAATCAAAACGTATTACTTCAATAATTGTTCCGCTATTCACCAAAGCAACATAAATCAGTTATTACAGTGGATTTTCCAGCTCCCAAGTATCCAGTGATAACGGTGACGCCAACCGGAGGAGGAATTGAGCATTCCGGGGCGGTGACCGGAGTGACGACGTCGTCGATCGCGACGGCGAGCGGCGGCTCCTCCCCGTCGTCTTCCATTTTTCGGGCTTTGTGATGGAATTACACGGTGAAGGTGCGGGAATTTCAACTAAATAATGATTTGGACAGAATTAGGCCCAGATAGGGTATTTCTTTCTCATCAGTCCAAATATTTCTTCAATTTAATCCTTATTTGGGCCGCCAGCCCAGCTTATTTACAAGTTTTCTAAAACCTTCAACTTGAACCCAAAGCAATATTTGATCCTCAATGTTTAAGAAATTTTATTAAGCACTCAAGTTTGATTATTCGATCAAGGATTTATTTTATTTTAAATTTTTATAAATTGTATGGTCCCAGCGAGAATCGAATTCTCGACCTCCCGGTAACAACTATTCCCTATCCTAATTCCCTAACCACCCCACCTAATCCTCCCACCCCTTCGATCAAGAATAATAGAAATGGAATAGTCGACTTAATCGAGTGAAATTGTTCAGTGTCACGTGGTAAACACATAAAAAGACAGTAAGAAACTCAATTTTATTCCACAACCCACGCACACTGACTATATTTCTTTGTATCATTAAATCATTTTATTGGATGAATTCACTATCTCTGTAATTTATTCTAAAAATAAATAAATACATTACTCTTAAATTTGCTTCTCTTGGGTTCGAGGCATTACAAAACCTCTTTTTAAGTCGTGCATATCTTTACTTTACATGGATTAATCGATATTTTCAGTACTTCACATTCTTTTCGGGTTCACAAAATTTCACTTTCGAGTAAAAGGGACTATTATGTCTTATTCATCATTGTTATAAAGTAGTTTGGAAGATGCAGCACAAAAAATTTTATCATTCGATCACAAAATGGTGATTTTAGATTTCTGAAATCAGTAATGAAATTAATCGTATAATCTCATGCGGCGAGGAAAGTAACAATAAGGAGGTCATATAGAAATCATGAGATGACCATTTCAGCTTTTGAAAACATCAAAATCCAACTTTCTTTTTTGTAATAATAGTTCAAGACAAGTAATCTCGTATAAGAAATTCGCATGCAAGACTTGAACGATTATCTCTACGTCTATCCCTAATTTTTGTTTTTTTCCCGGTTATTCCGTTTATATCCGTTTATTGAAACAATACCGTATACAGTATTAATGCGTTTGATTAAGACGTAATTACTCTGTTCCAAAATTATTGTCCAATTTCAGAATTCATTTTTAGAACTAAAAATAAAAATTTAAACTGGATAATAATTATAAAAAGGAGGGAGTACTACATATGATTGGAGATCAATGGGTGTGAAATCAATAATCCATTAACACTGTACATATGCATACTACAATTGAGTTGACAAGTGTTTGTGCTGCCATAAAAAGTCATAAAGAACTAAAAATGGTTTTTTTTTTAAAAAAAAAAAAAGAAAGAAAGGATGATTATCTCCGTGATGTTACGTGATCTACTAGATTTTTCTTTTTTTTATTTACACCAATCCTAGGTTTCTTTTGTGAGAGTAAATAATACGTATTCATCCTATTTCAAATTTAGTTATTCAAGTTGTAGTTGTCATCAAATTAATAAGGTTTCTTGTAGCTAGTAGCTTCATATATCTTTGTTTCTTCATCCTTCAAATTTGAGTTACAATACGTTGGCATAGAACAAATTACATATGTATATCCAAGACTGCTTGTGTTAGTTTGGATTCCAGACGTAAAGAGAATTAATCAAATGCTTTTGAGACGAAAACTACTAAATATATGTATGTATACAACATTTTGTTTACGTTGTACAGAGGTTGGAATGTCATGATATGCTCAAACACTCACGAAAATCCTCATCACAACATACAATTCGTGTGGATTATCGACTTGTTTTTTTTTTTTTTTCCTTTTGTTTGGGTGGATTATCCATTTAATTATTGAGAGATTATTCGAGATATAACATTCTTAAACTAATTCATCCTGATCTTTACGACTTTGTACAACTGATAACGATCAAAATGACAAATGCGATCATAATAATTAATTGCTTGTATTGATTTAATAATTGATTGAAAATCACTTCACCTCAATCTGTATATATCCATCCCAAAATAAATACGTTTGTTTGATGATGGAAATTCATCATAACGCTGAAATATTGATAAATCATCCATGAACCTTGATTTTGATATAAGATTAAGCTCTCTTGCGTACTTTCAAATATATGTATATATATATTAAGAAAATGTGACAAGCTAAGATATGAAGTATTTATTAAATTTAGTATTCCCTCCGTTCCATAATTATTGTCCAGTTTGAATTTTCATTTTTAGTTCAAATTGTATTAAAGTAAAATCTCAAACTGGACAATAATTTTGGGACAGAGGGAATACTACACTAAACTAAATTCGAATATAAAAGTATGCAACTTTCTTTACACGTACGAAAAAAGGCCGAAACAGTTTAGAAAACCAATTAATGATTCATATGAATTAACAAGCAAGAAATGCAAAATTCACATTCATTTTGATTTTGGAACTTTTGAGCTAAATGCCCCAGTCGGCAAAACAGTAAACTTAGCTGGAATTAGCCACCAAAAAAAAAAGGAAGAAATAGAGAAGAAGGACTCCGGTGGGAAATGGAAATGGAATTCGATTGTAATTCGGCATCCAGATATTCCAGTATTGACTTTAGTTGCCCGAAACTCTTCTTATTCGCGGATAGATAGAGAAAGCGAAACTGGCGATTAATATTGATCGACATGAAACTGAGACATTAATTCTAAGGACAATTCCAGCTCAAACGAACGTCTTCCACACCCCACACCACTACCTAACAAAAATGGTTTTGTTATAATTATATGATAATATGAATGTCCATAAACTAGTAAGGTTATACAAGAACTCTTTGTATAGAGATAATATTTATTAGATTTTTTCACTGATTAGATGTTATTTCTATTTGATTTTAATTTTATATTTACTATGCCTATAAAAGGAGACTAATCTCTGCAGATGTTATCTCTATTTGATTTTATTTTTGCATCTACTATGCCTATAAAAGGAGACTAATTTCTACAGAAATAAGGGACAGATCATTCTCTCTTTCTCCCTCCTTATTATTTTCTCTCCCTATCTATTCTTTCTCTCAGTTTTATAGTTTGTCCTTCAATTTATATTTATAACAGGTTTTTTTTTTTTTGTCTCTTACGTTGGTTTCCATTTCAAAATTAGCGGGTAATAATCAGTGAATAATCCTATCTAATGTCAAGATATTACATATACTTGAAGTCGTGAATGGAAGATATCAATAATATATCGTGTTTCAAATTTATTAGGAATTGATGAAACTTTAATCCAAGGAAAAGGAAAACCCAAAATATCAAAAGGAGAAAAGGAATGGTCCGACAAAAGAATTATCGGACGATCAAGTCCCACGCCGAAGTGACGAGAAGCAGGCTTTTTGACAATGGAACGCGCAAATTTAATCATGGGCATGGGACAACATTTTTGTCATTCTAGATTCTTCAATTGGCTCCACACATCGTGGGTCGTGGATTCCATTAATATTTCATATTCGTCGGATTGTTATTTTGAAGTTTGATCAGTTAAGTTGCATGTACTAATGTGTACACGAGAAATTTCATTTAGTGTACATACAATGATAGCTACATACGTGATGATCTTCGCACTTCAAATTACTATTACTTAATGGGACTTACTATGTCGGAGCTAGACCCACTGATGCAAACAAACTCCACATTGTGATACTCAAATGTACTCGCTAGTTGACTTTGAGATCGATAATTAAGTCACACAAATTTATCACTAAGGTAATAATAAACATGATAATAAGTGAGAGTTGACGATAAAATTTGGTATAGTCCCTCTGTCTCAAAATTATTGTCTCGGTTGAGATTTTACTTTTAGTACAATTTGAATTAGAAATAAAAATTTAAATTGGACAATAATTATGAGACGGAAGAGTATTATCTAATCAATCGAATTGGACTGCAAAGAATTCATGCGCCAATATTCTTTCACGCTACAACTATATACTCCAAAGAAAATGGGACAATGCCGGGGGTGGCAAAGCATTGCCTATTTGCATTGCATTTCAATTTTCGTGTACGTCTGTATCAGTTAATTTGTAAGAAGAGACATGGTTGATATAAATATCTATTCTTTCACCAAAAAAAAAGGGAAAGTTTTTGCATACGTTTTATACTATATATAAAGCATTACGCCGTTATGGTTCAATTTTGGTCCTATGATTCTGGATTAAATCAATCAGGATTTACGTTGGTATGGTTTTGTTAAGATCTGATATTGCTAAGGACCTATGATTTGAATGTGCCAACCTAAGTCTCCATAACTAATACAACTGTCTATGACTTTGTTTTCTATGTCGCTTGATCACTTAGAGGTTAGAGCAGTAAATCCGAAACAATTAATTAAATTCCTCTGATAATCGGAAATGATATTTAGTAGTTGAACATTTTAATGCCAAGATGATACGTCAAAATAATTATTTAATAGAGGAATTTTACGTTATTTATCACCTATTTTGTAATAATGATACCAATAAATTAGCGCGATGATAAGCAATGTCGTTTACAATTTGGTATGGTCACACCATTGTTAGGTATTTATCAAATATTTGATAATGTAAGTAAGGGTTTTTTTAAATTATTTTTTTGAACTCAAACTAATTAATCGCGTTTTGAGCCAAACCTATAAGTATGAAATTTGGGATGTTTAAGGAAGAATATTGTCTAGTTTTTTCTTACGTTTGAAAAAGAAAAAAGGGGGGGGATACAAATCAGGGAATCAGTGTTAAGTCTTATCAGTACAACAAAGCTATGGCCACCCGTGAATGAACATGAATTCCAAGGAAAACACAAGGTGTGAAATGAATAAAAACAACATGTGTTGAAAGCTAGCTCATAAACCACACATCATTGTCATTGTGATGCTAACTATATACTACCAGATGGAAACAAGAGGAAGAAACCGGCATCTCAACAAAAATTCTATTTAAAAATGACCAAATATCATGTTTCCAAAAATAAAAATGAAAAAAATTAATTAGGAGAGGACACACTATATCTATATATATATTGCCATATTGGTGGGTTCCAAAATTACTACAAATCACAACGTGTAGTGAACGGATCGAGTAAATTTCACCACCACCACCACCACCACCACCCAATAACCGCCCATAGCCGCCACCACCACCATTTTCAGCCTCCCGCCACCAACTATATATATATTTGTATATATTTATATTTTGCTTTACTCAACATCCAATTAACATCATATTCCATAATCCCCACTTGTTCCTTGAACCTTTTTTTTTTTTTAATTGTTATCCATTTATTTGCAATTGATATAGTATCACGCATTTGATTATAAAGTCCGTTAGGAAGTTAGTTTCTCTCCATATCAACCACATAAATACATTTCTTTGTATATATTTGTATAAAGAAAAAACTTGAAGCTTCATCTTTTTTTATATATGGCGAAGATGCTAAGGAAAGACATCGTTTTGTTTGTACTTCTTCTGGTAGTGTTTGAGGTTCAAACTTGTTTGGGAGTTATCAATCGATCAAGTTTCCCCCAAGGTTTTGTTTTTGGGACGGCTTCCTCTGCTTACCAGGTTGGTTTGTTTGTTTGTTTTGTTTTCTTTCCCCCATTGTTTTTGTTTCTTTTTTTTTTTTTTATTAAAAAAAAACTCCATTTTTGCAATCTTTCTGCATTTGAATTTTCATTTAGCATGCATTCAATAAGAATATATATATATGATACAGATTTGATTTGGGTCCTGTTTGTTGTATCATTTTTTAAAAGAATGTTTAACGATGCAGATACTATCTTTGTTTTAAAAATATCGTATGAATGTATTTTATCAACCATTATTAGGTATTTATCAAAAATTTTGAGATTACAATCGTCTAATATTCCTCTACGCATTTACCAACATGCGATGAACACGAATGCACAAATGTGGGAGATAATTAACTTTTCTTCTGCTCTTCAACGAAAAAGTTAAAAAAAAAAGGAGATAATAATGATATTATTATTGCCATGGTTCCATAGGACCCAAAAGAAAAAGTAAGAAAGAAGAGAAGAAATGAAATGAATGAAGAAACCGGTTAATCTGGGCAGGACGAATTTAATTTTATCCTGATTTTGCATTTCTTTGGGCATGGTAGCTACTTTTTCCGTTCCATAATTATTGTCCAATTTGAGTTTTCATTTCTAGTTCAAATTGTACTAGAAATGAAATCTTAAAACAATAATTATGGGACGGAGGGAGTACTAGCTAATCTGCAAATCATTTTGGGTGGAAGTGGGAGGTTTTGTAGAGTTTTTTTTTTAACAACCTTTAATACAATCTCGCATTTACTTCTGAAATAAAATCGAATTGTTTTTTTTTTAAATTAAATTTTTACCTCTGTCTGCATGAAATTTCTAGCTCATCCTTGAGATTATCACGAGTAAGTAAGTCTATCCTTGATGAAGGTTCTATTTTAATTTCACAAATAAATATAAAGAATCAACTTCATGTTGTGAAAAATATTCAGGAGCTCAATTCAGGCAGTGACCAATTCCTTATTTGGATTCATGGAAAATGACAACCGAATAACCCATCTTCTGCCCCTCAAAAAAAATGTCATTTCTTTTTTATATATATATTGAGTGGATGGATGAAACGCTCAGCTCGTCTATTTAGGAGTAATTTTTTTAAGGAAATTTGGAAGCAATTACTGAAAATTACACCTATATTTTAGTTTCCATTGCATCTACGTACGCAATAAATCATTGTCATACTTCATCTTACCACTAAATAAAATAAATAATATTCTGCTACGGCCAATTTCTCTATTTTTATTGTGTGTGTGTGTGTGTGTGAGGTTGAATAAATTTGTGTTGATAAATATAAGTCCGTTACGTTGATAAATGAGGTCCTCATGTTTTACTGCAAAGTTAACGGGAGTAATGACTCAATCCACCATTAATTTAGTTCATATTCACACTTACTCCACAATAACTTCCAAGATTTGCCATTCTGTCCAATCAGAGATTTCCCAATATTTTTCCATTCAACTATTTCTTTTTCCCTTCTATTTTGCCGCAGTATGAAGGAGCGGTAAACACAGACGGAAGAGGTCCCACTATCTGGGACAAATTCGCGCATTCATTTGGTACATATTGTTTGTTTTTTTCTACAATAATTACGCTACGTTAACACTCCAAACTTAATCCACAAGAAAAACAACATAGAGATTAACCATGACAAGTTTCAACTATTATGTCATTGGAATTGATTTGAGACCTTTTTGATGCATTATATGGTAGGCAAAGTACTTGATTTCAGCAATGCTGATGTAGCAGTGGATCAATATCATCGGTACAATGTAAGCGCTTTCTGAACGAATAAAAAATTAACATTTTCCTGATGAATTCAACACAAATATAGTGGGATATATAGGTTAACAATTATGAAAATTTTGCAATTGTAAACTGATCTTCAGGAGGATATAAAACTCATGAAGGACATGGGAATGGATGCCTACCGGTTTTCTATAGCTTGGACTAGGCTTTTTCCCAGTAAGAAGAATGTTCTTACACTCCTCGGAATCACTGAAAATACCTTTACATTTGTTATACGAACAGAGTTTGATTCAGTTTTCACGTCGCTTGATCAGATGGAACAGGGCAACTGAATCAAGCTGGAGTTGATCATTACAACAATTTCATCAACGCTTTACTTGCCAATGGTGCCATTTTTACTAGTCTCATTACATATGAAATGCTACAAGTTTTTGTTGTTTCCGCGAATACTAAAAACGTCAAATTGGTTATCATTGTTGCAGGAATTGAACCTTATGTGACAATCTACCACTGGGATCTTCCCCAAGCACTGGATGATAAATATAAAGGATGGCTAAGTCCTCAAATTATGTATGCATCAACTTTCATAATTCAGTTTACCACTTTAAAACCAAGGAATTATAAGGGATTTTTTTTATTTTTTATTTTTTGGCTAATTCTTTTTCTGCAGCAATGACTTTGCTGTGTTTGCTGAGACGTGTTTTAAAAAATTTGGCGATCGAGTGAAGCATTGGATCACTTTTAATGAGCCTCACACATTCACGGTCCAAGGTTATGATGTCGGACTTCAAGCTCCCGGCAGATGCTCAATCCTTCTCGGCGCATTCTGTCCTGCTGGAAACTCTGCTACTGAGCCTTACATAGTGGCACACAATGTTCTGCTTACTCATTCAACTGTGGTGGACATTTACAAGAGAAAATACAAGGTAAATGAAAAGTTTACATTTCGATATTCTAAAGCAGTTTTCTAACTTTTTTCCAAAAAAAAACCAATCCCTTAGGTTAGAGAAAAAAATGTAGTCCACTTTGTTAAACGGTTTGGATTGAGACTCTAATACTTAGACTACTTGTCTGCAGCCTACTCAGAAAGGTATGATTGGTATCTCATTAGATTCTTTCTGGTATGAACCTGCATCAAACTCCAGTGAAGACATTGCAGCACAAGGGAGAGCACTTGACTTCAACCTGGGATGGTACTTTTCATGTGTGCATCTTCCTCAATAATATTAGTAGCAGCTTATTTTGCGCATTTGCGAGTGCAACTAAGGAACTTTGAAATTCAGGTTTCTGGAGCCTTTGATTACGGGGGATTATCCAGCGTCTATGAGAACGAGAGTCGGAAAAAGGTTGCCAAAATTTTCTCAAGCTCAGTCAGCAGCTCTAAAGGGTTCTTTTGATTTCATTGGCATAAATCACTACACCACTTGGTACGTCGAAAATAACAACACCAACATTATTGGAGTTCTTCTCAATGATTCTGTTGCAGACAGTGGCACGTCTACCCTCCGTAAGTTCTCTTTAAGCTAACTTAAATGTTGATCAAGTTGAGTATCTTTCTTAATTGTGAAATGTCTAACAACTTCTTCATGATACGAATGCAGCATTTAAGGGATTGAAGCCAATCGCAGACAGAGTAAGTGTGTCTATATCGAAGCTTAATCTTTGAGGTACCTTAGTTGTTACTGATTTCGTTGGAATGAGTTCATTTTTACAGGCAAATTCAATCTGGCTATACATAGTTCCTCAAGGGATTAGAAACCTGATGAATTACATCAGGACAAAGTATGGAAATCCTCTCGTCATCATCACTGAAAACGGTATGTTTCTAAAAGCCTGTTTAGCTTTGCAATGTTCAAATACTTCTCAATGAACCATTAAACTCTTCATCCAACTCATGACAAACATCAGAAAATAAAGATAAAAATGCAGTTTTAGATCATCTAACCCCTTACAGCGCCTTATTAACAAGGGATACCTTTCAAAACTTGGACTACTGTTGCAGGAATGGATGACGGAAATCCGCCATTTAATCCTATAAAAAACGCTGTTAAGGATGAGAAGAGGATCAAATACCACAATGATTACCTCACAGAGTTGTTGGCCTCGATCGAGTAAGTGTGTGTAAATTCTTGTGCATATTAAAATTTGTCAAAATTGCAAAAACATGCAAAATGAACTAACGAAATGTTTTGTTTGTGCAGAGAGGATGGATGCAATGTGAATGGATATTTCGTGTGGTCACTGTTAGATAACTGGGAATGGGGAGCTGGATACAGTTCCCGATTCGGTCTATACTATGTTGATTACAATGATAAACTAAAGAGATATCCTAAGGATTCTGTTAAGTGGTTCAAGAATTTCTTGACTTCTTAAAACTTCAACTTATATAAGTCCATCATCAGCATTGTCAAACTATTTTTCATCATTTGAAAACAAATTAGTCTCAATCCATACCGTGTACAGAACAATACTATTATTGATCAATAGAAACTATTGTTGATTTATGTCTCTTTCATTTGTTAAAGAGATGGGTTTCTTTCTAGTCCGTAACTTTTGAAACTTTGCCGTCCCAAAATTATTATCATGTTTGTCATAATTAATCATAGTGGAGTAGCAAAGTTCCTTTATTGCTTATACCAAACTCTTTTAACTTCTTGTACTTAATCGTTGATACTACTCCTACATAGGCATTAATTAAAGATGAAACCTAAACGTATAGTTGAATTAAAAACTGCGTCCACTAAAAAGTTGAGTTAAACAATGGAATTCCCTTGAATAACAAACATAGTATAAAATAAAACTTTAATACACTTTTCTTCTCAAAACGAAACCAAGAAGACACTTGTTTTGTGATGGAGGAAACGTTTTACGGTGAAGAACATTTAATACGTAAAAATAATAATAAAAAAAAAAATGAGAAGCTATGAGCGGCCGACTGGTAATTTATTACGGTTTGGTGGAAACGAAATGGTAGGAGTGTGTGACTGTGTGTGCATAGTGAATATTAGATTGATTTATACAGTAGATAATAGGTTAGGGGGAAGGGATAAATGAGTGAGTAATTAGGAGGGTTTGGCAAAATTAGTTAATTGGAGAGTTCTATTTCAGTTAAACTATTAATATAATATAATAATACGATTATATGATTTTCATAGCTTTAGGTGTAGGAAAAAAATAAATACGACAGTCCGTATAAATAGGAGTCCCATTGGTGTTGATTTCCCACGCTCTCCTATCTCTCTGCTTCTGAGTTATCTTCTTCCTCTTAGGCGTTTTCAGGTACTATATATTCTAAATCCATCTTATTCTTTTCCCTTTTTTGTTTTTGAAGTTCTTTTTCCTGCTGTGGAAGAAGGCATTTTTTAAGGTATGTAAATCTTCCTTCTTCCTGCTTTTTTTCACTCGTTTGTATTTGTTTCTGAGTGTTGGATCATATTGTTTTTTCTTTTGACTATGAATTCTGTACCTTTCTCTAAATTCAAATGGGATCTTAGATTGCTGGCTTCCCCTTATTGTGTGTGTGTGTGTGTTTTCCTATGGAATTTTAGTGATCCTTTTCATATTTGTTTCAAGCATTTGTGGAATCGCGACCGATTGATTATTATTTTCATTAAGCATAATGATGTTTTTACTTGGTTAAAACAGGGTGATTAGTATGACTAAAGAGAATGATGAGATATTTGGGTGTTTTTTTTGGTTGAGATGCATATGCTTTTGATGGCCTAAAACTGTGATCTAGAGATTCTTTCTGTGTTTTTATCCTAAAGAAAATCTAGCTTCAATTATTTCATTCGAAATGAAAACTGGCTTTTCTTAAATGTCACATATGAAAATTTGTCCAGGATATTTTGTGGAATTGAGCAAGAATGGTGAAGATATGTTGTATTGGAGCTGGGTATGTCGGAGGGCCAACAATGGCCGTGATTGCTCTTAAATGCCCTTCGATTGAAGTTGTGGTGGTTGACATTTCGACACCGAGAATCACTGCTTGGAACAGTGACCATCTTCCAATCTACGAGCCTGGTCTTGAGGATGTGGTGAAGGAATGTAGAGGAAGAAACTTGTTCTTTAGTAATGATGTGGAGAAACATGTTGCAGATGCTGATATTGTTTTTGTTTCGGTCAATACCCCGACCAAGACTCAAGGGCTTGGAGCTGGAAAAGCAGCTGATCTGACCTATTGGGAAAGCGCCGCTCGGATGATTGCTGATGTATCAAAATCAGCCAAGATTGTGGTTGAGAAATCGACGGTTCCTGTCAAAACAGCCGAGGCCATTGAGAAAATCTTGACTCACAACAGCAAAGGCATCGACTTTCAAATCCTGTCAAATCCAGAATTTCTTGCTGAGGGAACTGCTATTAAGGATCTTTACAATCCAGATCGAGTTCTTATTGGAGGACGGGAGACCCCAGAAGGGCTTAAGGCTGTCCAAGCTCTAAAACAAGTTTATGCACACTGGGTTCCCGAAGAAAAGATCATTTGTACTAATCTTTGGTCAGCTGAACTATCTAAATTGGCCGCAAATGCTTTTCTTGCACAAAGAATATCTTCTGTCAACGCAATGTCGGCACTCTGTGAGGCTACTGGTGCAGATGTTAGCCAAGTATCACATGCCATTGGCAAAGACACGAGAATTGGTTCTAAGTTTCTGAATGCTAGTGTGGGATTTGGTGGTTCTTGCTTCCAGAAGGATATTCTGAACTTGGTTTACATTTGTGAGTGCAATGGACTACCTGAGGTGGCTAATTACTGGAAGCAGGTGATCCAAATCAATGACTACCAGAAAAGCCGATTCGTCAACAGAGTGGTTGCATCAATGTTTAACACTGTGGCAGGGAAAAAGATTGGGATTTTGGGATTTGCTTTCAAGAAAGATACTGGAGATACTCGAGAGACGCCAGCCATTGATGTTTGTCGGGGATTGTTGGTGGACAAGGCTGAATTGAGGATTTATGATCCACAGGTTCCACAAGCTCAAATTGAGAAGGATTTGACCATGGTGAAGTTCGATTGGGAGAACCCAGTCCTTGTTAATCATGTCAGTCCTGTTACTCTCAACCAAGTCTCCATCGTAGAGAATGCTTACGAAGCATCCAAGGATGCACATGGGGTCTGCATCTTGACCGAATGGGATGAATTCAAAACTCTTGATTTTCAGAAGATTTACGACAACATGCAGAAACCAGCCTTTATATTCGATGGCAGGAATGTTGTAGATCCCAATAAGTTGAGAGACATTGGGTTCATCGTTTACTCAATTGGGAAGCCATTGGATCAATGGTTAAAAGATATGCCTGCTGTAGCATAAGTGTGCACTAAACTCATATGAGACTACCAAAAAAGAACACTAGCTGTTAGCTGCACTTCAGTTCCTTTACTGTGTTTGTTTTTGTTTTTCGTTTCCAATACATGAAAAGAAGCATAGAATTGTTTAGGATGAACAATATGTTTCAACTATGTAGTACACCTCTTTAAGGTGGCTTTTTAAACTACAGTTTATTGCATCTTTCTTTTTGGGTGTTGTTGGTAATAATAAAAGACGAACTTGACAATATGTTGTCTGGTTCTTTTGGTTATGCCAAAACAATTTTAAGAAAAAGACAGGGTTGTATTGTTGCAATATATTCATAACCCATGTACATATAGAGTCTGAAAAATGCTTTAATTAGTTCTTGTTGCAAATGAGAAGAGACAAGTCTTTTTGCCAATATGATGATGTTTACCAAAATTTTGGACAAAACTAAAAGATCAGTTGAATTTGCAAAAACTGGCAAACACATAGCGATTTATGATTTCTTCCTACCTGAAAGTAATTTGCACAGCAAACAAGAATGGAGCGCGGAGCACCTGACAATGTTGAAGCTCTCGAGTCGCAATTGATTCTACAAGTTAGGTTCCTCTTTGTCTATTTTAGTTGCAGATTTTGAGCTTAAAGCCTTAAAGTTTCTGTTTGTTTGACTACTGTTGTCGATTTGGTTCCAATCAGGTGCATATCAGCATATGTGGGAAATCAATAGTAAAGAATACAGTTATTCATGACAAATGAATGTACATATTTTTTCTGTCTCAATATGATTAGAGTGATTTGGGTGAGCAAAATTCAAAATGACAATACAAATACAAATTTATGCACTCAATCATGTTTTTCGTGTAACTTGAAAGTGATAATATAGTTTTGAGAGATTAAGTGCAAGATTAGTCATGCGATTAATCGCAATGTATTTGAAGTAGCATACTCCATGTTTGTGTAGTTGGGTTTAATTTTTAGCCCTTTTTTTTTCACAAAGAAGAAGAAAAAAATAACTTTATATTTTAGTATAATATGAGCAGTAAAAGTAGAAGTGTAGTAAGAAAATGTATTGATGATAAAATAAAATAAAAAGCTTCAATAGAGAGATATATTAATTAATCCCTCATTATTAGAGAAAGTGACCGAATTAGTATGCAAAATATATCTCCACGTGTGCACAGGGTCAACACCAAGTTTGACCCACGTGCGAAATTTCCGAATCCGGATCTTGGTGCTCGGATCCTTCGTCGTCATCTACAAAAGCGCGACCGCGTCGTCCCCAATTTGCCCTCAGACCATTCAATTTCCCCCAAACCTCTCCCAGATCGAACTCGAATTCTTCTTCAATTCTTTTGGTAATTTTCAAATTAAATCTCCGATTCATTCGATTCGTTCCTTTATCTATCGATTGACCCCCTTTTTTGATTCCGTTTTCGGAATTTCGAGAACCCTAATTTTGCGACATCGAAATTTTCGATCTCCTCCGTGAAGCCTTCAATCGGTCGATTCTTTACGTATATATCATCGTCTTGTTATTTATTCTTGTTTCCCCAAAAAAATTTAGCCTTACAATTGTAAATTTTTGGTCGTCGGATTCGTAGCTAGGGTTTCGGGTGGTTCTTGGATTCTTTATTGCTTGGATCTTGAAATTTGTTTAGGGCTTTGGTAAGTCTTGCTCCGAATTGTCCTTTTTAGCCAGATTCTGATGTCAATTTCGTTGTTTTTGCGTTTTTAATTTTGAACCTAGGGTTAGGGTTTTGCGAAAATTTGGGGAATTATTTAATTGGTTGACTTGTATTGGGGATAGGGGGTTATGCAAGATAATGCCATTCTCTCTCTGTTTATAGTGAAAATTAAGATTATCATGTTTTCTCATGTGCCTATTAAAAGTATTAAGTACTTGTATATTTGTTAAATGGAATTTCATTTCTCTGTTTATGTTTTATAGTTTTTATGCTGTACCAGTTTTGTGTACAATAGTGTTGAACTTTGTTAATTTGACTGTGTCTTTGCAAAACTTCTTAGATAATAAACCCAAAAGCCAGCATGTTTAAGTAGTATCTGACCTGTTATGGGAAGTTCTTTTGAGTTGCCAATAATGAATATGATGCTTCCTACTGCTGACTTAGCTCTGCAATGTTGTCACCTTTTATTTATGTTATGTTGTTTTAGATGTTCTTACTAGCTCCTCTTTACTGAGGAGCTTAGCTGTGGGTGAAGATTCTGAAACCTATTTTGCACATGATGTGAATGCCTGTGTTGGACATGTAATGTCCGGGGATGAGTTCTAGTTATGATTAGCGTCCTGTTTTCTGCTTTTTATTGAAAGATTGATTACTTGTTAATTATGACCTTTTAATGGCAATAGCACTCTTTCAGAGATGGGAGGAGAACGCATTGGCCTTAAACATGGTGTCATTTAGCACCCGATTTTTATGTCTGATGTGAATAGGAATATGTGAATGTGTGTGCATTTCTTGCGGTATCTAGACATGTTCTAGAATTGCTTCATTCTGACTATTCATGTGTCATCACTTTTGATAGAACTCTCTGGATTGTTCTTGGCCTGTGCAATTGATCGATTTTCTTCCCTTCCATCTTTGTTATCCAGTGGAGCTATGGGAGTTAAACGTCCTTTTGATGAGGAGCTGCAGGAGTCTTCTTTTAAGCAAGCTAAACAACTTGAATCTGACAATGTATGGAGCTCTGTTACCAAGGATTTCTCATCTCATGATGTCAGTGAGAGTGCATATGATCGAGGTAAGGAGCTCTGTTACCAAGGATTTTGTATTTGCTGGTTTTATATTAATAACATTCGTCATTCAGATAGTTGATTTCCTTTCAAGAATCACCATGTGTTTGGAACTGTAAAGCTGGACTTTCTTTCAGCTTTGTTAAATTAAGTTGAGATGGTTCAGCATCAATTATATCTGACACATGATGCACTGTTATAGGTGAAGCAGGGGAAAACTTTGATAAATTCCTGTTGCTCAAAGACTTTGAGAATGAAGGTTCTCATTTGACGTCAAGTGTGGCTGACAAGGAGTTGGAAACTAGTGCACCTTTATCGTGGGTCACCAGTAGCAGCAGTGAGGAAGATGCTGGATCAGGACATCCATTTCCTCCATCTTTCTTTGCGGAGTTCTTTCCCTTCAACTTCCCCAGACGGACAGTGCATCAGCTAGAAGATGGTTATTCAGCTCTGATGAATTCTTCTCCAAGGAAGCAGATTCCAATCGGACCTGATTATCAAGCTGAAATTCCACCGTGGAACCCAGATAGTATCAGTGATGAGAACGACCTACGGGTGGGGCGTTGTGTTATTTCACCGTCTCTCTCGGAGGATTTGACTCAAGGTGAGGTGAAGATTGGTCAAGGTAGGGAAGAGTGTAACTGCTTGGATGAAGGTTCTGTCAGATGCGTGCGACAGCATATCCAAGAAGCGAGAGAGAAACTTAAAGAGGCCATTGGTGTGGAACGATTTGCAGATTTGGGCTTCTATGATATGGGGGAAGAAGTGGCATGTAAGTGGACCGAGGAAGATGAAGGTATCTTTCATGAGGTTGTTTACTCGAATCCTGTGTCTCTAGGGAGGAATTTCTGGAGGCAACTACCTGTGGTATTTCCTCATAGAACAATGAAGGAACTTGTGAGTTACTACTTCAATGTCTTCATACTCCGTAGGCGAGCAGTTCAAAACAGATCAGATTCATTGGATATTGACAGTGACGATGATGAGTGGCAAGGAAATGGACAAAGTTTCTTTGGACGTGTAGAAGATGACGATGAATTGGCAGTAGAGTCATTTGGGCATCAAGACATTCAGGCAGGATCTGAAGATGATATTCGTTATGATGATGATGGTGATGATGATGATGACAGTGACAACGGTGATGGTGATGATGGCGAATCTGGTGGAGATGTAGATAGAAGAGCTGATGGAGGAGATGATACTAACAGGGAATATATGAGAAGTCCATTCTCAAAATCCTATGCATCCCAGATGCAGAATGACATCAATTCTGATTGTGTTCCTAATGTGAGTAATCCTGGTGATACTAGAAAAGTAAATACAGCCCCGGAAGATTCAGGTACCTCTTGTGAAAGCCAGCTCGGATCTTGTATTTCATCTGGACATGATACTGGGAAAAGCACGATTAGAGATGATTTGACTGGATACTTCACTGGAGAAAGCAACGATTCTAGTGAAGGCTTGGACTCCGGATTTTTCCTGGATCATGGTGATGCAAGAGTCTGGGATGAATCTCATTCGACAGGTTTTGCAACAGGGATTGATTTTTTGCCAACTTGCAACATGATTGAAGAAATTTTCGGACCATTTTCCTCGAAGAGGAACTGATGAGACCCGAAGTTTTTGGATAAAAGCCATCTGGAGACTTCCTTTTTGTGTCTGTTTTTTCTTTCAACTGTTGGTTGATGCCAAGCTGAATCTGGAGGCAGTGAGGTTTGCTAAAGCAAGAAGAAGCTGAGGGCATTGTCCTATTCTGTTTGACTTTTGTACATATAATCTGTTTCAATGGACCAAGGGGTTCTCTCGGAATGAACCCGTTTCTCTCTCTTCTGTAGCTCCTCCATTATTAGATTTAGCCCTCTTCATCTTAGCCAACCCTCCAAAATTTTGCTGTCATTTATTCCGAGTCATTTCCTTCTGAAATGTCAAAATATAGTCTTAATTTATTCCCCCAATACTATTGGTCAACCTGAAACTGTCACTGCCACATTTGACTTTTATTTAACTTTTCCTAGTACTTTAACTTATTGCACCTTTGCAACCTTACGAATGTCAACTTTATAAATTTTCCCAACACCACATTACTCTATATTATCTCCATTCTAAGATGATTATAACATGACGTATCATGAAACTTGGTAATCTTAAAAAATAATTATTTTAAATCTCTGCTATTTTTGAGAATTTTACTATGATTTTTTGTAGGGCTTCAATGGGCAAGTTTGTGAACCTTAAATTGGTCCGAAATCATGATCATTTTACTGATAACCTTAATCCAAATCGAAAAAATTTATCGGTATAACACCATTCTATTTCACATCAATCGAAACTTTTATCGGTATCAAAACATTCTTTTTTCTTTATTTTTTTCATAATTGTCGAGTGTCCACCGTCGACAACAATGACTAATCTCCCTCGATGAATTGTAGGCACCTCAATGGGTGGGACAGCTGGCCAAAGTATTTAAGGTTGCTCCATGTCTATAGTGAAGTTCGAACCCTCGATATGTAATTAAGGGTAGAGGAGTCCCTTCCGCTCCACCACTACTACTTTGGTTAACATTCTATTTAACATTAATCGAAACTCTCCGGGTAAATGTTTGACTTTAGTCACAATAAGTCAACTCATCCTTTAAACCAATCTGTTACAGGATTTTACTCAGAAAAACGAATCGAACATATAGAAACGTTCACAACTATGTTTAAGGTCCTTGCAATCCGCCTTGTTGCAAATAATACGCATTATAATGGAGAAGATATACATAGTCAATTGTCAGATAAGACCTCATTAAATCCATTAATCCAGCTCATTTTGACCGGTCCACAGTAAAAATATTGTTTGGTGGCACAACTTTCTCCAGAGAAAAATTAAAAATATACTTCCTTCCTCGTACCCAAAATTCACTAAACTATTATCTAATTTGGATTCAAATATATCGTTTCATGGCTGAATTTTTTCCCGATCAGTGCCACGTTGGTTTAAGTTTCATCATTGTAACAAAATTATTACGTGAATGTGAGTTTTATAGGTGTAATTGCGTAGTAATGACCTCATATTCCAACTAAGGATACCTGTAATTTATGGCGACAGATAATAGATCTGACCAGTTTTTATTTTTGTTTGTTTGTTTTGGTTTTCAATTATACTGCCATAACAAGTAATAATCTTCAATTCTTCGTTTCTTTTCCTAGCAACTAAATTGCCATATCTTCTCACCAAATAACTCATTTATGATAATGGCTCCACTTAATTATCAAAAGATATCTCCCTAATTTTGTTTTCTTTCTTCTTTTTTTTTCCCCCTTATCATCATCTTCTAACACGCAACCACAAGTTTTGAAAGGAATCCTAGTGCCCTTATTAGTAGCAATGCTTTAACCTCCTCCACTATCCCTTTTTTTTCAGTTCCATGAAATTTCTCTTAATATTTCTTGCAATTGATTGACAATGAAGGTTCTCTCTTGCTTCAAAACCAATTGATATGACTTTGGCACAATTAGCACATTCATTTACAAGTGTGTGCCAATGTGATATTCCTAAACTAGGTTTTCTAGTATGACGTAGTAGTCAACGTGAATGTGACACAAATACAACATCTGGTCAATCCGCAATCAAATTTTTATGATCTGTCGCATGTACAGAATATTCAAATCTTTATTTTGTAGTGTTCGTAAATATACTTTTAAAACACAGTCTATTCATAAATTCGATTATTTAGAATACAAAATTTCGTCACTCAAAAACTAATGTATAGAACTACTAACAGACATTCTAATAATAACAACAAATTCGATCCGATAAAAAAAAAATTATAGGAGTATGTGTTCTACCTAAATATAAAAAATTGCTCATTTCTCTCCAAAGTGGTCATCAACAATCATCAAACAACAAAACCCTTGTGAAAATTACAAGTGCCAATCAAATCCAGTTGCCAAATGTACAAATTATAAAGGGATATTGACTAAAATGCAACAGAGAAGCCCCAATAAAAATGCTGCAATATAGACCAAGAAATTATGAATATTTCTCTCGATTGACCAGGAAGAAGAAAAGGGTTATTTCAGTCAGTTCTTCAGCCTAACAATAACGGCTGAAGATTCGGACCTTTCATGGGGTGTGAGTAACCCTTTTCTGTGCAATGACAAGTTAAGCCATTATTATTGATTATCAAAAAAAACAGATTAAATTTTTTAATATTATTTTGTGTCATGATTTTTCATGTTATTAATTTTGTTAATAAATTTTTACACCCTGGAGGAGGAGGAGTAATTAATTTCTGAAATTTTGTTCGTGTTTTTTTTTAAGGGATGTCCCAGATTAGGAAAATCTCAGCAAATCTTGACCGTTTGATTGATTGATTCAGAAACAGAGAACATTGCTCTAAAAACTACACGTGCAGCTCAAATCTTGCTTTTGTTTTTTCAATTTTTCTTTTATTTATTTTTTTCAATTTCTCACATATTTTTGCTTCCATGCATGGAATTCTCCTCCAACTACAACACACAAAAACAAAGATGGTATAAATATATAGAGTTAGAGAGAGAGTGAGTGAGAGAAAGGGGGGAAATGAGGAGAGAGAAATTGGAAAGAGTCTTTGGTTGATGTTACAATTGTTTATCCTTCGTAGGCTGCCGCTGCTGCCTCTGCTGCTGCTTATGGTTTTTATTTTTTTCTTCTTTTCATGGATGACCCATCTTATCAAAACCTTTGAATTTTCCTTACATTAAATCCTTGGAGCAGAAAAGGATTTTTTTTTTTTTTTGGTTTGCAGCATTTAATAAAAAGGGGTTCTTTAGGTTTCTGTAGTTGAGAAAGGGAGATTACATGGATATGGAATTTTAAGAGGCTGCTTTCCTTAAAGTTCTGATCTTTTTTAACTTGCCCAAAAACTGTCACTTCTGACTTGTAGTTTTTTTCCAATCCCTTTTGTGTTTGCTCAGCAGAATTCCCAAGTTAAGGACTTTGTGATCTGTGTCCCAACCCCACTTGCCAGATTTTGTTCAACTTTGTGGTGGGTTAGTTTTTCATTTTTTTTTTCTTTTATAAATTGATCTGGACTTTGTTATGTTTTCTTTCTACTCTGTTGTTTATATCTTTGCTTGCTACATCAAAACCGACTGAAATGTGTTCGATTGTACTAGATCAATTGATGATGCTGCATTGCTCCCTGATTCAAGGTTTTTAGTTGCTTCATTCATTTGGGTTCTGTCTTCTGGTCTCTTTTTTTTTCTGCTCATCCCGAATTTGCCGAAACTGCTGTTGAACACTGAAAATGGAGGATCAGGACTCAAAGTTTGTGTGCAAGTGGTGTGATAAGAAGTACCCTTGTGGGAAATCACTTGGCGGTCACATGAGGTCTCATATAATGGCTCTTTCATCAGCTGAATCAGAGCAAAGGGTTGAGGCCAACATGAAAAAGTTGCTGTCTTTGGAGGAGCAGAGGGTTGATAATGGTTCCCAATCTGGCGGCTATGGTCTTAGGGAGAATCCCAAGAAGACCTTCAAGGCTGTTGATGCAACTTTCCCTATGCCTCAAGAGAAGGTTTGCAAGCAATGTGGTAAAGGGTTTCAATCATTGAAAGCTTTGTGTGGTCATATGGCTTGTCACTCTGAGAAAGACAGGGGTTTGAAGGATGATCACTCATGGACAAGTGAGAATCCGAAGCTGATTATGGATGATAGTGAAGAATCAGATACTGAAGCAGAAGCTGAAGCTGAGGAGGAGGAGGACGACGAGGAGGAGGACGAGGAGGAGAACAGGCTGCTGAGGAACAGATCAAAGAATAATAAGAGGTACAACAGAATTGTAATTAAAACTTCTTCAATGTCATTTGCTAATAATAGTTCATCTTCTGCTTCTGAGATTGATGATTTTGATCAAGAGGAAGTAGCTATCTGTTTGATGATGCTGTCTAGGGATTCGGGTACTTGGGGTGGTGTGAATTCAGTTGTAGAATCTTCTGATAACAATTCAGTGGTTTTAGAGACTAAATCGTCTTCTATCGATATGCGAACTGGAAGAAAAGATAGTTTACAGTTTGTTCATAGTCGGGATGATGAGGTTCGTGAGACTAAGAAGTTAGAGAGTAGTAAGTTAAAATGTAGTAACTTGGATGCTGAGGTTGTTGAGCCAGAGAACTCTGATTCTGGTTACTTTTTAGATGAATATATAAAGCTTGAATCGGATGCTTCTGTTGATGGTCGGCATAGGAACGGTTCTGCTTTCATGGACAGCAGCAGCAGGCCTAAAGCAAGTATAGGAGCTAGGTGCGAGGAGACTCTTGCAGCTATTAGGAAGGGGTTTAACAAAACTAAGAGTTACAAATCCGAGTTAAAAAAGCAAGTAGGCAGGGACAATGGAAATGATTCTTCCAGTTTTTACTCGAAGTTGGCAGAGTATGAAGCAAGACAGAAAAGTAAGGATAGTTATGAGGATGTGGAAATGATGAATGATTCCTGCAGGAAGAGAAGACACGGTAGTTCAGATGTTCAACAATCGAAGAATACTAACAAGAGGAGCAAATATGAGTGCTTAAACTGCAAGAAGACTTTCAATTCTTATCAGGCTCTTGGAGGACATCGACCCTGCCACAAACGAAACAACACCTATACTGAATCAAGATATGAAACCGGTGAGAACAGTTTCGATGGTGATGATTCTTTTAAAGATATACCTAGTAGGAAGCTAGGAGAAACTCTCAGCAGCAGAAAGGCGATTGCTAAGAAATTGTCATACAATGCAGAGAAAAAGTTGAAGTCCAAGAAATCTAAGGGTCATGAGTGTCCATTCTGTCACAGAATATTCAAGAATGGCCAAGCTCTGGGTGGTCACAAGAGGTCTCATTTCCTTAATGGTGGTAATGGTGGTGGTGGTGGTAGCGGTGTTGCTGGGGGTGGGGGTGGGGCTGTTGTTGAGGTCAATAACAATCCACCACCTGTGTTCAAGGCAGAATACCCTGAACTAATTGATCTAAATCTTCCGGCGCCTTTAGAAGACGAGGGCGATGACCAGTTTATGCCTTGGTAGGTTTTGTAGTTTTACAGCATGACTCATGGTGAACTGATCTCTGAATTCAGAAGTTCTCTTTGATAGAGCTTGTGGAAGGTTTAGGAGTGTACAGACAGATTGGTGGATACCGTTTTGCATTATGCTCTTTTCGCTGATATCGAAGATATCATTTAGGATGCAGTGGCCTTTCTCCTCCTCCAGCTAGAAGAAGGCATCAGTTTTCCCCCCATTTCATTCCATTTTTTGCAGGTTCCAAAGATGCAGCCATTTTTTTACCCCCATTCCATTAATCTGTTCCGACTGTTCTTTGTCCAATTGGGACATGATTGTTATTAACAAATTTCTATCAAATTTTGGGTAAGTGAACTTGATGGATTACAAAATGCATTTAAACTATAATGTGGTTTATTGTCTTTGTCATCACAGCTTTTTGTTATGCTTTTTGAATATTATCTGAGTTATAAACTAGGTGAACTTGTCTAACTATTTAAAAAGCGCGAATCAACAATGGAGCCAGACCATAGAAGACTGACATTGGTGGATAACCTACATGGTGTAGCAGAGGAAATCTGTGCAAGCTTGAGATAGTTGCCTATTTCAGTGAACATGTTATTCCTGCTAAAGGGTTGGTTAGGAAATGCAAATTAGGCTGCCCATCCCCATTATTTGTGGAGTTTCCTTTAGAAAGCAACCCTTTACAACAAAAGGTACAATGGGGGAATCATGAAGTTTGTCCCTCCTGCTACAATCAAATTATTAACTTCTTCAGTTGTCTATATATATATATATATATATATATATATATATATATATATATATATCCCGGCGACGATGAAAGCGCAAAACAGGAAGAAAAAGAAAAGCAAATTTAAAGGGCTTCAGTAAGAAACCTTTCTCAGTAGAACAACAGCCTTACTTTACTTTAAGGAAAATGGTTCCTTCCAGTTAAATAGAAGCAACCTCTGAGGTGAAATGGGGTAGGTAATTAGTTGTGTGGTGTTCAAGATTCATATAAACATCATTACTTGAAGAAAATCATGATGGAATAAGGCAGAGTCATTAGGATTTCAAGTTAAGCATTGGCCTTAATTATAGATTTGAGAACTCAATGACAATGGTGTAGATACCTAACCTAACAGGGGGCTTCTAATTCATTATCCTTCTTCTTGCTGAAATTTTGCAAACTTAAAAAAGTTCTGATATTTATTTGACAGAATAAACCAACAATATAATCTAACAAAGTTCTGATATCGTTTATACACTCTTCGTCCTAAAATAATTGTGTCCTATGAGATTATGTTTTTTTTCTGGATTTTAATACATCTCCATTGTGGCTTTACTTTTTGGAAGTATGGAGTTGCAACTTTTTTTTTTTTCCCAAGGACGAATCCACACACTTCAGAGAATCATGAAACATGTACCCTTTTTGCTATGCCTAGGCTAGCATCACCAATCCTAAGTAGACAGGTGATCAATTTTTATTGTTTTTCTGCTTTATTGGAGACATGAGACAAGAGGGTGATTGCGTAATGTTACTCACAATGATTAATCTAAATGGCTTTTTACAAGACAATTTACCAGACAGTAGACACAAGAAATAAAAGTAAACTCACATACCCATCGAATTCATGTAGAATGGTTACTAGAATAAAAAAATCGATATAGTGAAACTAGAGAGTAAAACTTGAAAACTGATAATTTTGATGTACTAACAAAATGAATCCAACTTGGCTTATTGATTCACAATGAGAATTAACGAATGGGTCTAAAGAGCAGTGAAATGTGATTAGTTGGCACGTAGTAAAACTCAAAAGCGTTGAAACTGAAGTAAGTCAATATGTGATGAATAAATATAAGCATCGGGAATGTGAGTGAAATGAGTGGATATTTTTCTAACACACACTTTTTCTTCCTAATTTTTTCTCCCTTTTTTCCACATTAGGATCATGATATGGTTCATCATGAACACTATTTTGGTAATAAGTACGACTTGGGGAAAGAACAGAATGGCATGACTATTGGAGTTTTGGACCATTTTGCTCGTACTTATGTTCATTCTTGTTTCTAATACTGTTCGCAAGTGATTGGAATTTGGGATGATTTTTTTGACCTAAAATTAGTCGAGAAAGTAAGTTAAAGGTTGAGCTTTGGAGGCCAAATTGTCATGCCTCCTTCAAAACCACATCATTTGGTCTTCTCATTTTTTAGACTAAAGCCTCCACCCCGAGTCCAAATGTGATTTGTCTTGTTTACTTTTTATTTTTAATAAATTTGTACTTACAATGAAAGTTTAACTCGGATAATTATTTTAAAACTGAAAAAGATATATCGAGTTTATTTGAAATTTACGGCGATGCTATTTGATCACGATCTTAGTTCATACTCTAGTTTCCCTAAACTACCCAAGAAATATCATGTCATGGTAACTTGATAGTAGTTTACAATAGTTCAGACTACAGTGGGTGGTTTTTACATTTTGAGCTCTCATTTTTTAAATTATGGTTGTGAGTCTTAATTTCATGGAATCCAAATGCTATTCATAAAATTTTTTGGGGAAAAGGATAAAAAAGTACTACCTATGTTTATTACCTCTTTTGTGCACTAAAGAATGGACTCCTCAGCTAAGGTAGTTAGGCCGTTGTACCCAAATAGGGATGGAGGGGGCCCTTTGCTAATGCTTCATCAGTGGACGAATCAAGAGCTGGGCCAATATATTAGTGTCAGTAATGGGCCCGGTAACAAAAGAAGTGTTTAGTGATAGATCATGTTCTAAGTGGGCCGTCTTTTGGGTCATAGTTGTGGAAGCACATGACTCTGCCCAGGTTGTTGCTGGTTTTTCAAAACCTGCTTGCTTGTGTCAGTTCTCTCTTTTTTTTTCTTCAGATATTAGACAAATGCACTAATAGCAAATTCAGATTACAAAATGCCAACTGATGATGACATAATTCCTCCGTCCCATTTGAACAATTCAATCTTCAAAACTAAATTTAGGACTTACCGAAAATTCTTACAAAATGAATTTTTATTTTTTTTAATCAAATGAATTATTATTATTATTATAGAGATGAATAGAGTATGCATTCTATATAATCGTTACAAATTATAAAGATCATTTTAAAATTTTTGAAAAAGGAATAGTAAAAAGGGTAATAGTGAGTATAAGTTTTCGGTACACATGATTTATCTGGGGGGTCAAAATTGCAGGCACAGCGTTTGAGTTCACGCGTGGGGGATGAAATGTGGTAAATTTTGGTCGGTTCATAGTAATAATTATGCTACTCATGAAACAATGCGCAGTAGAGAAAGGTGAAAAAAAAGGCAGGGTTTAGTGAATTTTGAAAGATACTGCCAAACTTAAAAGAAAAAGTGTTAAAAAAAAAAAAGTTAAAGAAGATGTCGGTAAAAAGGACGGCCGATTGAGACACAGAAGCAGCATCAAAATCCTCGCAAGTGTGAGCTAATCACATAACGATTAGCCGATTACTGTGTTTTATTTTGAGTATTTAAATGTTTCATTTCTTTTTTTATTCCAAAATTTGGTTTTTTTTTTTTTTTTATCAATTTGTAGGCAATGGGATATTAAAGTTTCTTTGAGATTGGGGATGTTAAAGTTAGACCTAGGGAATAAACCCTAGGAAATATTTTTTTTTTTTTTTGCTACACTGACATCGTCGAATTTGGAGAGCCTAAAACAGCTGAATTAAATGTTTGTTATTGAAGTATTAGACGATGTATGTCTTCTTATAATAACTGTAGGAGTGTCACATTCATTCCATCAAAATGATGATTAATATAACAAACTGTCAGTGATCATTACTTAAATAATTTGGAACTAGAGATTGATTTGATATAAATAGATTACAACTAAATTACCGTTAATTAGAAGTGTACAAATTAAATGATGCTATATAACAGGGAGAAAAACGGCGAGCCTTTGGGCGAACAGCTACAACCGCAAAATTGCATAATGTTGGCTTGGCATACTACATTAAAATTTACAAGGCCAAGGCATTAGGCATCATAACAAATTAATAATGATTAGCCAAATGGGTTCTACTGAAATTCAATACCAATATCAGCTAATCTACTTAAATAAAACTCCCATCTGAATCGATCCAATACCTGAAATGGATAATTAGCCGGAAGCAGAATCGTTAGTTTCTAGGGCGTACTACTGGATCATTTATAACTTAGCTACTAGCTAAGCTAGCCAATTGATTCAGAGTTCAGAAGAAGGAAAGAGCTAGGGTTTTCTCATGCCAAGAAAACCTGCCATTAGTGTCAGTCAGGCTAAGCAAAAACACCAAGCTTGCTTTAGCCTTTTAATTAGCCAGTCCTTAAATTTCTCATGATCATCATATATATATATATATGAATGATCTCTGCCGTTTGTTTGATTCTCTTGCATGAAGCATGCATGCAGAGCCGTTCCTGTTTGAATCAAAAGTACATCCAAATGTTAATGACATCAACAAAAAGAAAAAAGAAATCCCAGAAAAGAGGGGATCCAAATATTCAAAGATATATAGCCAAAGGCTTAAAGCCATCAAAGTTTGGATCTTTTTCACATTAGGGCTAGATAAACTGGTAAAGTTGTAATGACTTGGAAATAGTAGCTTATGTATATAATGGGTAATATTATAAAATCAAAGGCATGATCATGGAGGGTCCTACAAATGCAAGCTACAAAACCCTCGTATATGCTTTACTTCTTCATGCTGGGCAAACAAAGCGTGCTTTATTCTCAAAGATCTTGCATGTGTTGGGATGCTTTGCTATAATAATATCTGGACGAAAATCATGGCAACTTTGGCAACTTGATCAAATCGTGCAACTGTCGTTTTCATGCCAGTCCTGACGTCCAGTTGCCTCACATCATAAAAGGAATTTCTAGTTCTACACACGAATTGATTATATTGAACGAACTTTATTCCTTCCTTGTGTTTTTGGCGTTCATACTCACTATCCAGAGTAATTAGAAAGAACGAAAATGCGAATGCTGTAAGAAATCTAATCCAAAATGAGTAGCATAGTGTATTCGAGATCTAGAGTCAAACAGGGCTCCTGTGCAAGTAAACCAATTGCCAATTAAGTTAAAACACATACAATTATCAGGTTAGACCAGGTTCGAATTAATGAAGTCAATCAAATGAATATAACATTTATCTTGCTGGTGGAATAGTTATACTTTATCTATTCCGAATGATTGTTCAGTTTGAATTTTCATTTCTACTATAAATTGTATTAAAAGTGAAAATCTAGATTAAATAATCATATTGAGACAAATGGAATAAGTAGTTTTAGATTGATAGGTTTGTGGATTGCTCTGGCAATGGGAGCGGAGTGAAATATTAATTTCTTGTGGTTATTCAGGCAGATGACAGTAATGTACATAGATTAAGGTGACGGAAAATGTACAATGTATCACATTTACTCATAGTGTTGTTACACAGCCGGAAAAGGGTTTTGGACTCTTCAACTTTTATGTACTAATGGTGTCTTGTTAATAAGTTAGACATTTCATTTTGCAACAAAGTGAAGACACCATAAATCACGGGGGCCAGCAATCATCAATCATCATATGTATAAGAAAAAGAAATTAGATGGAGCAGACAAAAGCACCAAAACGCTGCCGCACGTGGCAGGCATCAAGCACCTAATCCGTAAGCATGCATGGGAAGCATTAAGGTGGAGCGACACATAAAACACAGAAAGTTATGCTTTGGGAAGCTATTCAAAGCTATGTTTCGGAAAAGAGCTTTCATTATAACCCCTTGAGACAGATGCTTTAGAGTAGTACTACAAACACTTTACTTCTCCGATCCCAATAAAACTTGACTTTATTTACACCACTTTATTTCCCATATTTCACACTCACAAGATTCTTTTGGACAAATTTCTTTAAAAGAAACGACTCTTACTGTACGTGCATGCACACAAAACCAATTTGGATACTAGTTTACCTGGTCAAGTACTGAAGCTACTCGATTATAGGACACTATATCTTACAATCTTTAGCTAGTGCCTAAATTAGTAGTATGAACCCCTCCCATCCAAAATTATTGTGCGGTAAATTTGAGCTAAGTTCAACTAACTGATTAACAGGAACCAGAAAATGACAACACCAAACGCAGAAGTTGGAACTCACGGATGGAGGATGTAAAGGATATAAAGGGAAGAAGCTGCAATAATCAAAAGAGACATCAAATCCTAAAAGTTGCTCCTCTCAGATATCTTATGTGATCTTTCTAGTTTTATTTTCACGTGGAAAAGGGTCATCAAATTAGGCAACTCTTGCAATGTCTATGCCGGTTCTTTCATGCTGTGCAGTGATATTGCTAATAAAATTAATAATAGGTCTAAAGTTGTGGGCATTGAAATGCTTACTACTGAGACATAAACCACAGTTTGAGTAACTTATTGAGAACAGTATCAATCAACTATATGTAAACTTTTGACAGCGCCCAACATTCTGATAAAAAATTGCACAAAAATGCTGAGACATCTCTCATGTATTTGGCCCTCCAAAGGCAAAGATGATAGAACCAGTTTCATACTAAATTTACGTGCACAAAACTGCTTTCATTTGGATCTTAGCCAAACAAAAAACCAAGGATCAAAGTGAACAAATGAAACTCGACGGCTTAGTACGTAAATGTTAAACGATTAATTCGTGGCAAGTTAAAAAGAATGATCAGAGGACATACATACCTTCATTTTATGAATTTCGAACTCCAGGGGGAACCATATCCCCTAATAACCCTTCATCGGCAAAAATTTGCCCAGTTGGCCTTGGTAAGATATTGTTGGATTCGCCAACTTCATGACTTCCAGAGATTTGAAAGGGTTCCCTGAATCCAATAGAACCTTGGGGTGCAAATTGAGGTCGAGGGCTATAGAAAAATTGAGAGGCAGAAGGTGTAGTACTCATCAAGTGGCTCGCAAATGCACCTTCATGATGATGATTAATGAGACCGCTTCGAGGAAATCCAACCGTATGATGGCAGTGTTGTCCTTCGTATGTGGTGATCACAATTGCTGGATCTTCAGAGGACCGTTCCACTCTTTTTTTCACTGTGCATTTGCTATTTGTACAGCGGTAGTAGCTCCTGCAAGATCAAAAGTGAACCTTGAAACTAAAATCACCCCATTATATGTTATGCTTCTCATGCATAATTAATCTCATACCAAGGAATCTTTTACTTATTGTGAAGAGCAACTTCTTCGTAATCTATACTTCTTACTATGTACTTTTAAATTATAAGTGAGTACATGATTTTGGTAAGTTTCACCTCCAGGGTTCTGACTTTTGTGATTAATTTACTTTTCTTTTTTACTTTGTGGTCCTTGACTTTTCTTCATCATGCTACTAAAGAGAGGTTTTTGTGGTTTCTGAAATTTTTCAATACTAACCCAAGCCGGCAGCCTACACCTTTTACAAATGTCAACGAACAAGCTCAAATGTTAATAACTTAGATGTGCTATCTAATTATATTAGTTGAAATACTAAAATCTTGCATGACAAACATTGGCAGACAAATTTGATTAACGCATTCGATACCTTGGCGTTGTAATTGGTTCTAATATCTCAGTTTTAGAAAATTTCAAAAGTGTTATCAAATATCAACCACCATTCTAACAAAGTCAAAATTGGGTCTTTAGCCTCCATTGCTCATCGCACCTGATTGATCAATCTCACAAATAGCCAGTAATTATTGAATCAACAAGATTAATTTGAAAAGTTTGTAAGATGATGAACTTACAACCGGAGCGATATATAAACTTAGTGGAAAGTACTACTAATTTGAATGTTTTCCATATAAAGGACTAAAGAGAATCGGGGGCGAGGGGGACAATTCATATAATTATTTTAAACATGAAGTTTTCTCCAAGATAATTTCTTTGATCCATCACAATCATCCAAATGTTGAATCTGGGGAGAACAATGTGAAGATCCCGCATTACCATCAATTGGCTTTCCCATATTTATAACACCACATAAATAAATAAATAAGAAGCTTACTTTTCATGTATATGCAGTATCCTAAACCAAGATACTGGAAAACAATGCGATGCAAATAGTGAGGGGAAATTAGTGCCTCTATCACGAATTATAATCCTTTCGTTTCAAAATAATAAGTATTTTTTTTTACCGCAAATATAATAATATAGACAAGACATTTAAAAAAAAAATAGAATGGTGCAACGAATCATAATTCATCAAATGATGTTATTTCAGCAAAAGATATACAATGATCAACTTAATTACCTGGGAAATGGACTATTTTTTACTGCCTTTTGTCCATATTTTCTCCATCTATAGCCGTCTTCTAGGTGATCAACTTCACTTTTAGTCATGAATGCAAAACGGGGCTGCCTTACTCTCTTTTGTCCCTTTTTCTTAACTTTGCTCCTGCGGAAATGTGATCAGCACAAAGCTTCGACTTAAATAGCTTAAAAAGTAGTAATAAAGGCAAACTTCATGAAACAAGAATTAAATTTTCAGAAGATAAAATTGCAAAGGACAAAATGCATGAAGATAACCCCAATTTTGATCTTGCTATGCTAAATTTAAAAAAAAAAAAAAAATCAGGAATAATTTACCCAAAAAAAAAAAAATCAGGAATAGTACTGCAGTACAACTACAAAGAAATGATGTCAAATCTTACATAAAAAACGAAACACCTTATTAATGGATGTATGTACAAACCTTATTGTTGGAAATTCACAAACAACAATTATATGCATGAACAATACTGAATCTTTGTAGTAATTTTATTAGCAAAAAAGACACGAGAATCAAGTAGTGGAAAAAAAAACAAGAAAAAAAGGAGAAGCTATTCATGTTTTGGATATAGACCGATAAAACCTGGCAGCGAAGATACACTGGACCATGAAAATAGGGGCGGGAAAATAAGAAAGAAAAATAGAAGAAGAAGAAGAAGAAGAAGAAGTGCTTCGAGATTAAAAGAATTAAGAATAAGAAATATATATAGTTACAATTCAATCCTTATATTGTCAAAAAGAACTAAAGTCTCCCTACAAAAACATTTGTACAATGAAAAGAATTGCTAATTTGGGAAGAAAATTTTTTATTATCATAATATACACCTCTACGTGGTTGCTGCTTTGCACATTTTGAGTAATTATTACGATCGATTTTACTCGTTTTTCTTCAGTTCCATATACTATTTCACAAACCGTTGAATAAAAAATACTAAAATTACCCAAAAAAAGCACACTAGTAGTAATGAATCAATCATAATTAAGGACGTAAATACATATATATTCCTGGAAAAAACCTTTTAATAATGTGAACGTGTGAGTTGTGTGCTGGAAAATTTCCCAAAAAATCCCCACGGCATAATTTGTGTGGAACAGCTTAATCAACAATCAATGGGGTGATGAAGTTATGCTTCTAGTACGGACACAAACGCGGAATGACTTTTCCTTTCTACTACTAATAATTTTTATTTAATTTTGATGTTGTTGTTGGTTTGTTTTCGAAATCAGCGTGCTTATGATAAGAACCGAGTTTTTCATGCATCTTCCTCGAAAGTTTCAAAACAGATTTTTTCTTTTTCTTTTTCTTTTTCTTTTTTTTTTTTATAAAAAATCCCCCTAACCCAGGTTGTTGTTGATGAATGATTAAAAGCCCTTCAAACCCCAATTAATTACTAAATCAGTCCACAAAATCCGAAATGCCTAAATCCTACACCACACTAGTACAAACTCACGCTGTCTCCGTCGGCGGTATGTCGGTGGAGCCACCGGAGGTTGTGGTTATCGTCGACTTCTCCGGCAGATCCTGATCCGACGAGCTCGACGACATCATCTGCTGCTGCTGCTGCTGTTCGCCGTCAACCACCCCTGTCGTCGTCCTCGTCGTCGCCACCGTCGCGGTATTATTAACGTCACCACTCATGTCGACGCTGCTACTACTAGCGGCGGCGGAGGCGGCAAGTCCGGCAGCTGTAGTTTCCGACGCAACCAGATTATAGTCGTAGTAGTAATTGTTACCAGCCAAATCCGAGTCAATCATCCGGTGAAACTCGTTCCCCGGAGGAAGAAGATTCCATCCGAAGTCGTTGAGAATGGCGGTGTCTCTGTCGTGACCGGTTCCGAAGAAGTAAGCGTTGCTGCTGCCGTCAACGACGGAGTTGCCGTGACTCAGCAGCGTCGTACTCCAACTCGACTCGGACTCAGCGAAATCCAGGTCCGCAACTTCCATTTCGTCTTTAACTTCGTCATCCATACTTGATTGATACGTAAATTGAATGAACAGATTCGAATCGAAACGGAATGGAGGAAAAACAGGGGAGAAAGGAGCTAGGGTTTTGAAGAGAGGGAAAGTTCAGTGGAACAGAGTGTGTGTGTGTGTGTGTGAGAGAGAGAGAGAGAAGAAGAAGGGGACAGAGGAGGAGATGATAACGCGTAAATTAGAACGGATATTTTTTATTTAACTAGTAGTACTAGATTTAATATTTGGGGGGTTTGGAGGAATTTGGATTTTGTAAAAATTGGGGTTTTTTGGGGATTGGTTGAATCGGGAGAGGTTTGTCGCATCAAATGAAGAAGAGAGAAGAGAATTGGGGGGAAGAAGAAGAAGAAGAAGAAGGAGAAGGGGAAATACTAGAGAAGAAGAAAAAGATAAGTTAGAAAAATCGCCGTCAAGCTCTCTGAGTGTGTGAGTGTGTGAGAGAGAAAGAGAGAGAGAGAAAGAGGCTGATATTTTTGTGCGCGCAATCCCGATGCTAACCTCATTTCATATTACTATTATACTCCCACCATTCACGCGCTCATTTGTTTGAGTGATGTTATGCCTTTCATTTTTTCTTGCGGTTCCAAAATATTTATTTGCTCAACAACAAAATAAGTTTCGGGAATTTTGCTGTGATATACTGAAAGTAAATGCAAAACAATTTTCTCTCTTGAGAAGATGTCCAACATTTATGAATTTAATGAAGCTTATATGTATTGATGAAAATATACTTTAAAAGCAACTTTTTTTTTAAATGCTCTATGTAATAAATTGTTTAATTACCACTACATTTAGAAATTCTTCTCTATATTCTTCTCTATAAAGCTTAAAATTAGATTTACGATCAATAAAATTTCTGATCGACAAGTAAAAATAGTATAAGATACTCCAAAAAAATATATTTTATAAACAGTTTACATTTGTATGTATATTATAATAAAAAATATAACAGTTAACAAATTACTATGTGAATTATTTTTTGAAATAGAAGGAATAACAAATTAGTACTAAAAATAGTCATTTGTACAAACCAATAAACCATTTGTGTTAGAATTATTATATTCGTTACTTTAATTTATTTTGCTTATATTCGTCTTCGTTTAGAAGGGGAGCATAACTTCTTCAGCAACTACTAGCAGTAAAAAATTTGTGATCCAATTCCAACTAAAGGCGCCACACCCTCTCATTAAAAAAAAATAAAAATAAAAAGCAAACATAAATAAAATAAATAAACGAAAGAGACAGTTTACTCAATGTGTAAAGGAGTTCATGGTGGAACAGTCGATGAGTAACGCAATTAAGGTAAGAAATGGTCAAATTACGCGAAAAGTTCCCATTAGGTAGGTAGTAGTAAAAAAAAAAAAAACTCAGCTTTAAATAAAAAGAAAAAAAAAACATTGACTATATTGACTTACTAGAAGCATGCATTTATTCACCGTCTACTTAAAAAGATGGGTTAATTAATAAATGCTTATCTTTAAAACCCTTTTGGTGTGTTGCAAATTAGTTGGGGTTCTTTTTCTTTCTTTTCCCTTTTTAAGTGAACGTGCAAGTTGTAATTTGGTCTTTCTAATCTCTCCTTTTAATCTTCTTCGAGTAACTAAAAAATGCGTTCATGGACGATTATGGATTTTGTTCTTACATGCATCTTTTGCCCCCCGTTTTTTTTAAAAGTTTATAAACTATATATTCTCTTCCTGCAGATCAATTAATTAATCTTCTTTTTTTGAAAACTAAAAAAATAAAATTGTTCCATCTTTAAGTATTCTGTGCTGGCCCAAAATCCAATGTGTTTTCTTTATAGTGCATTTCGGCCTAAGTTGGTGGTATCTACGTTCCGCATGAACCATCGACTACGGGCTGATTGAGAATCTTTTGGACCTTTTGTATCTCAATAATGATCAAATTGTGTTTAGTTTTTAAAAGGGCTACAAACTAGGTGGAATAAGCTATAGGATCTGAATTGCAAATAATAACGAGAGAGAAATACAAAGAGATTGATTATTGAGAGTAGACGCATGATTTGGACGTCAATCCATGGTAAATTTTGGTAGTTAATTAGTAGTATATTATATTGTTTGTTAAATTTTTTTTTTTATAGTTTATGAAGAACCTTTTATTTTAGAAGAAAAAAAGTTTGGACCGATCAATATTATACCGGTGCCACGAAGATTAGTCATATGAAATATTATATCCTTTAAAAAAGGGAAATAAGAGTAAATTGAAACACTAGCTAAATTTGAGTACCAAATGAGCTAGTGACGTATTTTACTCTTTTAACTTTTCTCATGATGTGCTTTGTATCCAAGCTTCGATCGATGTAGCCCCATGGTTTGAGGCTTTGAGCCCACAAGAAGAGACTAGCGACGTTGATGTCTTAACAAAAAGCTTTAGGTTGTTTCCAATGTCTTGTAAATTCACTTGAACATCAAGAGTCAAGACGACTCCAACCCGGATAGACAACATCGGAAAAGCAAGTTTCCCGTTATCTCAAATAACTATGTTTCAAAAAAAGTCGTTCACATAGAGTTTTCAAATTTGTATTAAAAATAATACAAAATTCAAAACTCAACATCGAATATTTTTTTAATACAGAAAGAGTATTTAATATAAAAAATATGAAAATTATGGGGACCAAAAATATAAAACTGATATTGTACGTAACACATGTTGCTACGTACACGTAAGTCGCAACTAGTAATATATACGCATGTCTCTTCATGATAATTTGGATTCTTGTCAAATTCTGGGATAATCCAGTTTTAGTGAGGCCCTCTCCTACAACTTATATCAGAGAGTTCCATTTCATCCGTACGTTTTGAGTGATAGCCAGCTTTCAGCATCTGCCTTGTGGATGGTATAGCAATACTAATAATTTATCCAGAAATGATAATTAAACTCCGTCTCATTTTGTTTGTCATGCAAAAATAGTGTAATTATATAGAATAATTGTTTTAGCACAAGGTATAAACACATCAGTTTTTAATGAATTAACCAATATATCTATATATATGTATATATTATTCTTTACTTGGAGGCTTAATAGTACCAAATAACTGGTCTACCAAGTCCCACAATTGAAGATCAAAGATTTGATCTGTGAAAGGCCATGAAAGGGCTGATCGAACATTGCAAGTTCATCAAACACCCGCATAATAAAATTCATGGGAAAAAAGCAAAATGCAATATAGGCACTATATATCTAATTCATGGTTTTCTTTAGGGAGGCATGCAATATAATAATTCTTCTTGTATATAGGGTCGATTTGTTTTTTTAAAACAATAAAAAATAAAAAACTTCTTCTTGTATATTCAGAGAATAAAACCCTTCCGTTTGCGATGGCTTGATAATTTTTATGAGTGGATGACAGAGTCTAACTAATAGCCTGCAGTAGCCACTCATGATCATTAGTTTTTTAATTAAGATTAAGGTGAGGCTTAAAGCTGATCATTAGGGAATCCTAGACGTGTTCTCGTATAAAATGGCAAACTTCATCTTCAATTTAGTCCGTGCATGGTCACCAACGTGGGTTCTTCTTGTCCATAAATACAATCATCATCAACTTCACTTCAATACTAACTGTAACGATAGAGATAATGAAATTACATGTGTAAATAGTACGATGATCGAAGTATAAAAGTATAAAATCACTATTTTTTTTATTGGACAAAATCACCATTATCTCTATAATTTTTAAATGCCAAACAAAATAAAGAATTTTTTCACAGGATTGAGTCGAGGCAGTAATTGTGATTAATCCAGGTTTTCTTCTAGAGCGTGAACACAAAGAAACAGCAATTAAACATCCATTAATTCAGCAATTAAGCATCCATTAATTTCGGCACCACCCAAGTGGTCCATTTTATTTATTTATTTATTTTTTAATTGTGGAGGTTCCTTGATCACTCTCGCCCTTTGTCTAGTGGGCTAAACTTAGTTCATAAGCTATGATCTATATTTTTATTTTTCATGATTACCCATTAGTACTATACTGCTTTAGACCACTTCAAACTGATCAATTAAACCTCTAATTAGACTGATTTTTCATTTTTAGTTTGAAAACATTACTTGGAAAACCCATACGTTTAAATCAATTGTAGGGAAATGCACATAATTTTTACACAAATTATCAGAATTAATTTGGAGAGCTTTGGATGGAATTGGATGGAGGTAGTGGACATGTGGGTTTGGGGGGGCGTGTGTAGATGTGAGTGGGGAAAAATAACAAAGAATCTTTTCCATACAAACAATAGCCTAACTTAGGCCCCAAGCAAGCCACGTCCTTTTCAATCCACCCACATGTAAGTAACAGCAACAAGTCCTTTAATTATAGTCAGTCACCAAAACAAATTAATAAGACTACTAGTACTCTTCCGCATAACTTAAAACACATCGAAAAGTCAATTTTGGTTCAGATTATATTCATGTTTTAGCGTTCATTTGATGATTTAATCCATTTTTAGGTGAACCCAGGTTTTAGATTTGGTTTTGTTCGTCGGAAAATAATTTTTCCGGTGTGTGCTGTAGTAGCTGGAAAGGAGAGACGAGAAGATCAATTTGAAACAGTGAAAGAAAGAAAGGAACAATGTTAAGAGTGGATCCAATTGTAAGCTGACGATGATAAATAGTAAAATGTCTGGTCCACCATTGTTATCCATTTGATAGAGACAGAGAGAGACCCCTTTAGATAGTTAACTGTATACTTCTCCAGGAGCGTCCTTCTCGTCTCCATATATATCATGTCACCAAAAAAAAAAAAAAAAAATTGATTCCTTCAAAATTATTGAAGAACTGTTTTAGGAGTGTTACCGTGCACACAAACACACTTCTAGATAACTTGAGGCTTCCAACTTGGAATGTGTCATAATATATGACCCTTAAAAAAGTTGCAAAAGTTAGCAATAAATGTTTTTATTTGAGTATTTTCCTTTTTCTGACATAAGACAAGACTAAGGTTAACAATCTTACATTGTGAAATATTTCCTCTGGTACT